AACATGACTCTACCTCAGAGAGGGGCAAAAAGTCTCTGCTGGACCAGATATTTATAAAGGTGATGAACTGCATCACAAAGTGGGATGACAAAGTTTGGTCAAGGTATTGTTTCCCGGCAGGCCAAACATGAGAGGCCTGCCTTGTTTTCCTGACTGGCAGGAAACTGGAAACAAGGACACAAGTATACAGAAAGCACTTGTATTTGCTTTGGAACCATTGTTTTTAAAATTCTTTGAGGCGGCCCATCTAGGAGAAGGAAAACTCCAATTTCAAACCCCCCATTGCCTTGTGGGTATATCCACTGATGGAAAAGGCTTCAGGAGTTAACCTCGAGGCAAAATCTGGAGCCGAAGTCCAGAAGCAGTTCATGTCATTCTGTCAAATCCTGCATCGTCGCTGAAACCAGTCGTGTTGGCTCTTGCCTTTCCATTGGACTATTTCAGCAATGTGGAGAGGGGGGATTTGCTGCTTGGGTAACAGCCTATCCTCCATATTATTTTACCCAGGCTTCGTGCCCTAGAGAGGACAGCTTCGCGTACAGCGTCAAAACACTAGACACTGTTCCAAGTCCTCCATACAGAGCACGTTACCATAGTCTCTCGAGACAGAAGGATGCCTATGAGGTGGTCTTCAACAAGGCACATTTCTATGTCTAGCCCACCTGAGCGCTGCTTCTAATAGGACAAAGACATGCTTCTGAAAAACCTGACATGCTAGCTGTGGGAGCAGTGTTATCACCTACAAGTTCTCCATCTTGTTTGTCAAAAAACAGCTGATTTTAGGGCCAAACTGTTCTCTGTTGGTTTTGAAATCGGTAAACAGAATGATTGCAAGAAAGCAGATTTTAGATAAGCATTAGGATTAACTTTTTGGCAGTACAGGAGGCTCAACTGTAGAATAGACTCCTCAGGAGGTGATGCACTCTCTTTTACTGATACTTAAGCAGAAGTTGGTTGACCATCTCTCAGAGATGCTTCATTTGCATCTTGTTGAATCTAACTGGATTACATGACCTCCCTTTCTGTTCCAAGATTTTATAACTTCTTCTCAGCATCTGCTGCCATCAATGGTGAATTGCAAGTAATCTGCCTCAGTCATATAGGCTGTGTAACAGTGCACACTTCCTATATTCAAAAAGTAATAAAATAATTTGTTTATCAAGGTTTTCCCATCTCCTTTTATCATATGGGGACAGATGCTATTGCGTTGGATAAACACCTTTAGTGACATTCAGAATAAAAAGCAGCATTGCCTTCCTGGGGAGATTGTTCTCTTAGGAAGCAGGGCCTACAGTGACAGCCAGAATTCTATTGGTGTTCTTATCAGGTTTGCGTAACTTGCAGCAGCTAATTTGCAATAATTTACATGATGTTGGAGTTTATTACTGTTGCATAGTCAGACTTGTGAGTAGACACATGACCAAAATATAGTCAGTCATTTTGTATCCCTCTCCTGTTAGCACTACTCTGGGTGGGTTACATCATGTAAAATAGAAAACAAAAATAAAAATAGAGACATTAAAACCAACAGCAATAACCCTTAAAAAAACCCAGACGGCAATGTCCAATCTCACAGCGGATAGAGTAAAAGATGGGAGGGAAGAAGAGGAGGGGAAAGAAAAAAGGGGGAGAAGGTTGTTAGCTAGCCTCAGTGTGGAAAGCCTGCCTGAAAAGCAATGGCTTTAATTGCTTCCTAAAGATTCACAGGGGAGGGGGCTAGGCGGAGCTCCTCTGGAAGCTGGTTTCATGACGTTGGAGCCACCACAAAGAAAGCCCTACCTCTTGCAGAGGATTTATGGGCCTCCCTCGGAGTCGCCACCCAAAGGAGCCGTGACCTAGAGGATCTTGTAGGTTGGGCAGATGACATTAAGGAAAGTCGCTCTGACAAGTAACATGGGCCCAAACTGTGGAGGGCTTTGTATGGAAGTGTCAAAACATTGAACCTGATCCAGGGTGCCACAGGCAACCAGTGGAGGCGAGCCAGAACCAGAGGGGTGTGGTCAAATTTACTTGCACCAACCACCAGTCTGGCTGCTGCATTCTGGACCCACTGAACTCTCCGGATCAGGTTCAAGAGGAGCCCCACATAGAGAGCATTGCAGTAGTCGATCCGTGAAATGACCACAGGCTGCACCAAATTCCTGGGGGAGTCCTTGTATAGGTAAGGGCAAAGCTGGGCAATTATCCTAAGCTGATTAAAGGATGATATGGAAAATCTAAAGGAAATCTGTTTTGTTCGGGTTCAGTTTGAGCATGTTAGCCCTGGTCCATTCCAGTAATGCACCAGGCAGTGTCTGGATGGCATCCACTGCAGAGGTTAGTAATGCACCAGGCAGTGCTCCAGTGTCTGGATGGCATCCACTGCAGAGGTGGTAATGGAGAGACAGAGTTGCATGTCATTAGCATACTGATGACATTTTACTCGAAAACTCCTGATGACCTCCCCCAACAACTTAACATAGATGTTCAACAGCATCAGGGATAGCGCCAATCCTTGAGGAACCCTGTACCAAAGGCTCCAAGTTGCCAACACCTCCTCCCTTAGCTAAACTCTCTGGACATGGTTCTCAAGGAAGGATCAGAGCCAGCTCAATGCTAAGCTCCCAGTCCCAACCTCAGAGAGCCTGTCGAGGAGGATACCCTGGTGGACGGTATCAAAAACCACTGAGAGATCTAGGAGTACCAACAGGGTGCATCTGCCCCGTCAGCCTCCCTTAAAAGGTCGTCCTGCAATACGACCAGTGTTGTCTCAGTACATCATCGTGACCTGAATCCAGACTGGAATGGGTCAAGGGAATCCTGCTCCTCCCAGAATGACTTCAGCTGATTGGCCACCACCCACTCGATCACTTTGCCCAGGAATTGTATGTTAGTGACTGGACAGAAATTGTTAAGATCACCTGACTCTAATTGGGGGCGTTTAATGATGGGTCAGATGGTGGTTCCATGATGAATTAATAATGTTCACAACTCAATCAATCATGGCCCCCTTGGTGGCTCTGGTCAGCCATACTGGGCAAGGATCCAGTGAGGAGGCGCTGGGCCCAGCTGATTATCACCCTGGAGGCTTCCTCCTCTAATACAGGGTCAAACTGAGCCAACATTGCAATGGGAGATGGGGCATCAATGATCACCCCTAGATCAGCAAGGCTGCTGGTAGAGTCAAGGTCAGCATAAATGGCCGTGATGTTTGCTCTAAAAAGGCTGCAAACTGATCACTAAAAATAAGGCCTTGAATGCCCAGAACTGGTAAGATCATGGACAACCTAGAATAGTTCTGCTTGTCAGTTCACAGCTTCACCAATCCTCTGGATGTTAAAAGTCTTTCTTGCCTATTTCAGGATATTAGCATATTTATTGTCCATAGTCTTAACTGCAGCCCTATTTTGTGCTGACTGATCTTTTCTCCACCTGCTCTAGTTGTCCACTCAATAACTTCATAGCTCGTGTCCCTACAGTATACCAAGCGGCAGCGCAAGCTCTGGAGTAGAGAGGGTGTTTGGAGGTGATCGTGTTAGCCGGCTGGGTCATCTTCAGATACCATCTGTCGACCTGGGCTTTGGCAGGGTCATCTATTGGGTCGGCCGGAAGGTTTTACGCTCCAGAACCTCTTGGAACTACAGTATTCTGGGTCGAGAAGCCTGTGAGGGTGGATCGTTTTCATGGGTCCATTCTCCCTGTGGAGGGGAGTTGTGATAGACAGGTTGAATCTCAGTAGAAAGTGTCTTGTCCATGACTTAAACTGTCCATTCCATCATCGTTTAGCTGTGACAAGTTATGGAAACCTTATATGATCTCCACTAGAATTCTGGCCAGTACAGGCTTTTGAAGAAGATTCTGGGACCAAATATCATTTGTTTAAATTAAGCAGTGATATTGCTTTTACTGTTCCTTAGCCCAGGGGTCCCCAACCTTTCCCAACCGTGGACTGGTTGGGGGAGCGTGGCACGCTCACGGGGGCATATCATGCTTGCGAGGGTGTGGCACACTCGCAGGGGGCGGAGCGTGCTCACACGCATGCGCGCAGTGCACTAGCGGGGGGCAGGAGATCTGTCTCTGCGGCCTAGGCCATGTACTGCTGCCAGGTTGCAGACCGGGAGTTGGGGACCTCTACCTTAGCCACGGGGGGCAGGAGATCTGTGTCTGCGCCCCAGTAGTGCCTAGGCCATGGACCGCTGCCAGGTTGCGGACCGGGAGTTGGGGACCTCTACCTTAGCCAGTAGGTACGTATGATTATATTATGATCCCTTGAATCATATTAGTCTATCGGGTATGAGAATTGTATTCTGGAATCCTGGGTGAACTTGCAAAATAACAGCAGTATCTGGGGACAATGCTAGATGGTCATTTTAACAAGCAAGATTACTCCAGATGCATTCAGATCTCAATTCACGAGGCTGAGTGAGTTCTAGCACTGACCAAGGATTCCATGGCTGAGCCATGACTCAGATTAAAACCCATCCCTGCATCTCTTGTAAGGGATTCTTTGTCTAGATCGGAGTGCCTTTGATGGTTCTGGAGGCCAGATTTTCACCCGAACACCCTGGAAGGCCACAACAAGTCAGTAGTGATTTAAAAAACAACAACAAAGAATCAAAGGTGGATTTAATTTCCAGTTTTAAGTGGGGGAAAGAGGTTGATGAAATTGTGAATCGCCCCTAAAAAGAAGTGGCTCCTGGAAGCCCACAGAAGGTCCTGTGCCCAAATGTATTCCCAAGGGGGGAGCAGGGTGTGGCATCTTGGAAGGCTGCAAAAATGGCTTTCAGCGGTCACTTGCACTCCCTTTGACCACATTCAGTCTCCGTCTGGAATAGAGCAGTAAACTGTGCTTCGCTTGCAGCATGATATTGAGAAGTTGGACCCACGTGGCCGAACACCATTGGAGCTGGCCGTGTCCCTGGGGAACCTGGAATCTGTGCGAGTGCTCCTGCGACACAACGCCAGTGTGGGCCAGGAGAATGCCAATGGCTGGACAGGTATGGTGCCCTCTGTGGCCACAGGCACATAGTTCTTGAACAAAAGCACAGATTCAGTTTCTGGATTCTTCCAGTGCTTCCCAACCTTGAAATCCTGCCCAGTACAGCTAGTGATGAAGGCTCCTGGGAGTTTTGGTTCGTGAGCATCTGGGGACTGAAGGTTTGAAACTATTAAAGGATGTCAGGTTGCATAACTTTAAAAGATCTGTGCTTGAAACCATGGAGACCTGCTGGCGCTCAGTGCGTATAGGATCTCTCAATTGTTCCTACTTTGAGTAAAGCAGTTCATTATAGGTCAGTGAGTTAAGCAAGAAGTATGGAAAGGGTTGTCCTGGAAGTGGAGCAGAGAAGCGAAGCTGTTGAGAAAGGAAGGGTTTGATATTGTGGTTGACGGGCTGGGCTTGTAAGAAAGATGCAGTAAAAGATGAGGTCTAGAAGTTAGTTTCTCTGCTTTTCCAATATGAGTGTGTTTTTCCTTCTCTGAGCTTGGAAATGACTTCCCAGAAGCTGAATGTGAGATTCTGGGAGATGCAAGTGGGGGGAGGGGAGTCATTTGGCCAACCTTCATTCCTTCTTCTCTGCACTTTTGTGTGGGATATCTACCCTGACCTTTCAGACCAGTTTGTCTGAGTTTTGTGGCAGAATTTCACCAGGAGCTGAATTCCAAGTAACACTACTGCCTTTGGGAATTAGACATGCCTTTTTGACAGTCCAGTAGACTGGCTTGGCTCCTACTGGTTGGGAAGAAGGGTGAAAGAGAAACTTCCTTGGACTTATAGGTTGGCCAGTGACCTGGATGTGTAATGGAATGGATTCAAGAAGCCACACAACTCTTCTTTTTCTGTGCCTTTGTCATTGCCCTCTAGTCCTCCAGGAGGCCGTGAGCACAGGGGACCCGGAGATGGTGCAACTGGTGCTCCAGTATCGCGATTACCAGCGTGCCACGCAGCGCCTAGCTGGCATCCCAGAACTGCTCAACAAACTACGCAGGGTATGTCTGCCATCTCTTACTTGACTTGAACCCATTTTCCATCCTCCATCAGAGGATACAAATTTTATCCCAGTGTTGTCATATAGGAAAGCTGGGGGCAGAGCAGGAACCTTGCTATAAGTGTTCTTCTATTGGAACGTCATTCTTTTCTTTCCAGAGTTCTGTACATTTAAATCAAACAAAACACTGGCGATCAAGGATAGTCCCACTCTATCTAGCAGATGGGGCTGATGGCTTCATTCTCAGCACTCCTCCTAAGCTGTCCATATAGGAAGAAGTTGAACAGCAAATTCGATGTTGATGTGACTCCACCCCATGCTCCTCCAGCCCCAGTGGATGTGTTTTGCTATGGCTATAGAATCTTCTCCCCAAGAGAGCATCAGCCCTACATCCCATACTTTTTCAAATTTGGGTCAGAGCTGTTGCAGCTGAATTGTCCCTGTATTCCTCCAGTGCATCCTTCAAGCAGGGGGAAATTTATGTCTCCTTCTGTATTCCTTTACAAGCAAGGTTGGAGGAAAATGCAGCTGAACACCAAATTTTTAGGATCACAGAAGTAATTTTTATGAATTTGAGAAATCTCAGGCCTTCCCTTTTAAACCTCACCCCTTTAGGATGCTTTGAAAACATCCCTGAGATTTTTAACAGTGGGTAAGTCTAAATGAAGATAGAACTTCCATTGACAAATTGCCACCATGTGATAGTTGTATGGCAACACCCAAACTGCTTCTAAAAAGCAGGGCTTGCCCTTTCTTCTTCTTCTTCACTCTCATGAGCTAATCCGTCCCTTCATTTCTGGTTTTCCATTTCCTCAGGCTCCTGATTTCTACGTGGAGATGAAGTGGGAGTTTACCAGTTGGGGTAAGTTGGTGCTTGGAGACCTGCCTTCTGGGAGTAAAACAGAAAAGCTCATAAAAAAATAGATGACCCGCATTGGTGGCTGGGACTGGAGAAAAGAGGTCTTCCTTAAAAGTGGCACATTCATTGGACCTCACTTGGCCCACCAACATTGGTGGCTGGGACTGGAGGAAAGAGGTCTTCCTTAAAAGTGGCAGCAGACTCTTCCACATTCATTGGACCTCACTTGGCCCACCAGTTGCTCAGTGCTCATCACTAACATATCATGGGAATCTGGTCTACATGTAGGGAAAGAGAACAGCAACCTCTTCCTTTCTGGTCAAGCCATGGTTTCCAGTAGCAGTTCTATCAAGGAGCAGAGATCCCTTGTTGCTGCATTTGACCAATGACATCACAACAGCCCTCCGTAGGTGGGAGTTGACACTGTGAAGGAGGAATGGGGAACTTTTGGCCTTCCAAATGCTGTACGACACCAACTCCCATCAACTGTGGCCAGCATGGCCAGTGGTCAAGGGAGGGTAGGAGTTGTAGTCCAACAACATCTGAAGGATCACATGTTCTCCACCCTTGGTTTTGTAGGAATGGGAGTATCCTAGGAAGGTGGGGAAGGAGTTCCTCTTGGCTGTTAACTTCCCTTCATATCCTTGGAGAATGTTACTAGGTCTCATTTCAACCTACCTATGGAGTGTAATGTTCCCCCCCCCCTTGGGAAAAAAGTAGAGGACACCTATAGAAAATTAGTAAATGATTCTGGGCCATGTTCTTCCTATCTCTGTTTGCTCTCTCTTTCTCCATTCCCAGTTCCCTTGGTCTCCAAAATATGCCCAAGTGATGTGTACCGAGTGTGGAAGCGAGGTGAAAATTTGCGAGTGGATACAACCTTATTGGGATTTGAGCACATGACCTGGCAGCGAGGCCGGCGCAGCTACATCTTCAAAGGCGAAGGTCAGTCTGTCCCTTTCCAGGGAGATCTGTGTGTCACTGGTGACATTTGCATCTTCAATACTGACCGCTCTGTCTGTGTTACCCCCCTGCCCTCTTTCTCTCTTCCTTGCTGGACAGATGAGAATGCTGTGGTGATGGAGGTGGACCATGACAAGCAGGTTGTGTACACCGAGATGTTGTCGCTAGCCTTGCATGAGCCTGAGCTGATGCTGGCTGCCATGCAGCCATCCGAAGAGCATGTGGCCAGCCGCCTCACTTCTCCCATTGTCTCCACCCACCTTGACACCAAGAACATTGCCTTTGAGCGGTAAGGTTTGGCAGGGGATGAGTAGACTCCAGGGATGTATGGCATCTATGCTGGTAACATCAGAGGCTCCCCTCCATGATGGCTGTATGCTCCCTCCAGTATTTGAGGTGACAGGCCTCTGAGCTGGGAAATGGGGCCTTTTTATCTATAACTTCCCAAGTTTCCACATGGCCACTAGCTACATGTTTACGAGATTTTGGAGGCTGTACTCCAGAAATCCCTTTCCCAAGTTCTTCTCTGAATACCAGTTACTGTGGATTACTTGTGACTTTCCCATGGGGATCTGGTAAGCCACTGAGGAAAACCGGTTGATGGGCTAAATCCTGCAGGGATGTCTTCTTATATCTGATATGATAGTTAGATGAGACGCATGAGATCACAGTTGAGATGGGACCAAATTTGGGGGGAAGGAAGTCTGCCCACAACCTTGAACAGCAAGCTTTTCCAGAGAACAGGTGGTCCAAAGTTCTCGGCCCTGCCACTAAAATAGCTTTCAGCCTTGTTAGCATAAATGCCACATGACAACATCTTTATTTCGCCTTTGGTTTGGAACTGGAGGTGAGACATCTCACCCTTCAGAGGGCAAGATTTGGCCCAGAGAAGATCTCTACTTACTGCTTCCTAGTCTGTCTTTTAAGGGCAGATCTAGAAGTGCAGGAGTGTGAGTCTCATGGAGTAGAGAACAAAGAAGCTGGCATTTTGAAACCAGCATTTTTAGGTGGAAAGGTAGAAGTGTCTCCTATCTAATAGGCTGTTTGTTGCTTGATTTGGGGCAGGGATGGGGAACCTTTGGCCCCTGGGCCAAATATAGTCCATGAACAGCCCCATTCAGCCTACCTGCTTCTTCTTCCTCCTGAGGTCCCACCATCACTGGGTTTTCCCAACTCAGCATTACAGAAAGAGCTACCTTGCTTCAGCAGCAGCAGCAGCAGCTGGGAATCCCATTTCATATAATCCATTACTGATTGTCGAGAAGGGCTTGGATTTTCAGTTCAGTTGCTGCAAAAAAAAAAAAGGCATTCGTCTCTGCAGTGCAAAGTTTGGGGATTGATGACAGGCTCTGAGGAAGAAGCTGGAGCTTGGGATAAGAGTGGTCCACCTCTGATGTCCTTCAGCTCCTTGCTGACTCCCGGGGAGTAATCGAACTAAGGCTGAAATAGTTCTCCACCACTGACTTGAATGTTTCCTTCTCTTCAGGAATAAGTCTGGCATCTGGGGTTGGCGCTCTGAGAAAATGGAAAATATCAGTGGCTATGAAGCCAAGGTACAGCCCTCCTCAGTCATATCATATCCTTCGGTGCATGATCCCCCAACACGAGTACTGGGCCTCTGTGTGCAAGATCTTACTTCTTTATTTTTTTAATGTATTGCCTTGATTTTTATCCTGCCTTTCTCCCTATAGACAGATTCAGAGTGGTCTACAAGTAGTCTGGAAAACACAAATGTTAGAATAAGTGGAAAATGGAAAAATCACATTATTAAAGAATGATTACAATCTGTTAATTATTAAAAAGCAGAAAATGAAACCCCAGTAAAAAATCAGTTAAAACACAAACATTTCAAAAGGATAGGAGAATAGTTCTCCCCTTAAAAGTTTTAGTTTTTGGAATGGGTTCAGGTGCCATCCATGGCTTCTGTGTTTCTTCAGGTTTACAGTGCCAGCAATGTAGAGCTTGTCACCAAAACTCGCACTGAGCACTTGTCAGACCAGGACAAAACACGCAACAAAGGTAAGCATTCCCCAACCCTCTCCAGTTGTGACATTATGGATTCAGCTAATGACTTATTGTGCTGCTAATGATTCCCTAAAACTACCCTTGAAAGCTCAGTTCCTGGTGGATTGTTCCTAATTTTATGCAGTTGTTTTGCCCTTTTGCCTCAGGTGACTTGTCTTCATGCATTTCCCCTTCCTTCTTTAAGCCCTTTTGAGAACCACCCTCCTAAGCAGAGCTGGGAGGCAGGCTTGAGATGAACATTTGAAAAGCATTGGGGTTAGAGGCAAAGTGGAGACTGGTTTGTAACAGCAGGAAAGAGGACTTAAGCTTTTTTTGCATGCCAGTCTGGCATACCCAACCTGGCCTCATAGTAGTGTGGGGAGGATTGAGAAGTTTGAAACATGCTTTTTGTTTTTAGAAGGGCTGAAGATGTGAGAAACAGACGTACTTTTATGCCCATCTTTCGGAAAGCTAGCGCTAAGTGCTATGAAGAGCAACGGAGCCTTAGAAGTGCTTTGTTCTGTGTACCGCTCATAGGATGGGCCACTTCTTTTTCTCTTCCTAATTTGCTTGTTCTCTTTTATTTGTCCAATTTATATCACACCTCTCAACTGCAGATGGTAACAGGGCAGCAGAGAGCAGGCTTTGCCTGTTAAGCAATTCATTCCCATCACCATCATGGTCCTCAAAGGCTTCCCTTCCTGTCTGTACTCTCTGGAAGGGTATCTCCAAAGCTGTAAAATTTAGCAGAAAACAAAACAAAACAAAAAAAACCCCTATCTCTGTGCATGGAGAAGGAAGTCCACTAGTGGAGAAAAAGATCTGCTCTTGCCGGCCAGCGTACTACAAACACCGAAGCCTTTGTTGCCATTGCTGCACACTGTGGTGGCACCAGCAGTAGTACTGATAGAAATGGAAGGAGGCGTTGGGGAAAACATTTCAGTGTTTAGAATCCAGATTAGACCTGAGGTGCCCCACTTCAAAATCCCACGTAGCCATGGAACTAACTGGATGACCTTGGGCCAGTCTCTCATCCCAACCTACCTTGCAGGCTTCTTGTGAGAGTAAAATGAGTGGGAATTGCCTCTTTTATGCCCCTGCGAACTCCACGGAGGAAAGGTGGGGTATAAATGTAAGAAATACAGTGATGCCTCACACAACGATTGCTTCATACAACGATGAATTCACACAGCGATGGGTTTCCTTGAGGAAGTGCCCCCATCGTTTAACGATGTTCTCTATGGGGGAATTTCACTTAACGATGTCCCTTTTTCGCTCCTGTAAAAGTGTCTTAAACTGTTTGAAGCCTGTTCTAAATGCTTGCAGTCGTTAGCCCACCTCCTGATCCCTATGCAAACTTCATTTGGTGTTGTTCTGAGTCGTTGTTAATTTTTGGTGATTTTTTAAATTCTCCATTGAAAGCCTTTGTATGGTCCGTTCAAAGGCTTTCAATGAAGAAAACAAAAAATCACCAAAAATTAACGACGACTCAGAACAACACCAAATTAAGGTTGCATAGGGTTCAGGAGGTGGGCTAACGGTGGTGCCTCGCTTAATGATGTTAATTGGTTCCATAAAAAAATCGTTATGTGAAAACATCGTTAAGTGAAACACCATTTCCCATAGGAATGCATTGAAAACCGGTTAATCCGTTCCAATTGGAATAGATTAATGCTTGCAATCGTTAGTCCACCTTGTGTAATGTATGCAGACTTAATTTGGTGTTGTTCTGAGTCTTCGTTAATTTTTGGTGATTTTTTTCTCTCTCATTGAAAAGCATTGGACGGACGGTCCAATGCTTTTCAATGAGAGAGGAAAAAAATCACCACAAATTAATGACGACTCAGAACAACATCAAATTAAGTTTGCGTAGGTTTCAGGAGGTGGGCTAATGATTGCAAGCATTAATCTGTTCCATTTGGAACAGATTAACCGGTTTTCAATGCATTCCTATGGGAAATGGTGTTTCACTTAACAATGTTTTCACATAACGATTTTTTTAATGGAACCAATTAACATCGTTAAGCGAGGCACCACTGTAAATAAAATTGCTCCCTCCTTCCACTACACTGATCTACGAGGTAAGTCTCTTCTCTCATGTTGGGTTCTTCCTAGCCAACATAACAGAAGGGCAAAGTTTGGAAGGACTCTTAAATCTGGCATTTCCAGTTCCCTTCTAGCCGGTGTGGGGTTGGGCAGGGAATTTGTGGCGCTCTAGATATGGTGGACATCAAACTGAAGCACCTGCCTGCCTCACTGCATATAGCCAGTTAAGAGTAACGGTGGAAGTTGCAGTCCAAGAATGTCAGGAGGACCAGGATCCCTGACTTACTCCCAAAAATGTCAAAATTCAGGGCATAGTTACTTTGGCATGGACAGCTTTTCCTAGAATATTGCTGCAATGATGAGGAATGTCACCAGATTTCTCTGTACTAGGCAGCTTCTACTTATTGTTATTCCTGAATTGTATTTAAAATGCATGCACACACACGTGTGTGTGTATAATGTTGGGGGGGGATCACAGCCTATGGGTGTTGCTACTAAAAAAAAGGAAGAGCATCTTTTCTCCAGTCATGTTTTGGATGCTTGAGGCCATTCTTGCCTCCTCTATGGCAGGTTACCACCACTGCTCAGGTAGTCTCCCTTTTCAGTAGGCATTTATTTTTGTCTTTGATTTTGCTGCTGATTTTATCCCGGGTGTCATGTTAAGTTTGCTCTAAGAGCTTTTATCATCTATGTCTGCCTGTTAATAATACGATAACTGTTGTTGTTGGGTTTTTTTTTGTCCTTTCTTGTATCTTGTTGTTTCAGAGCTTAAAGGCTACATCAAACTGTGGCTTGGGTAGTGAGGATAGGAGCACTTTATAATAATCAAAAAAATATAACTATCAGTTGAATAGTTTTAGGCAGTGAGATGAAGGGAAGGGTTTCTTCGGAGATCAGGCCAGGACTCATTCTCTGGAGTGCCTTCTCTTTGCCATCCAGGTTCCAAGACTCCATTCCAGTCATTTTTGGGGATTGCCCAGCAGCATGCAGCCCAGAATGGGGTGAGTGGCAAGGTCCGATCCCTTCCCTACATGCAGAAACAGAATGCTGGGGCCGTGGAGTCAATGAGGAGGGATACGCTAGAGCAGGGAGAAGGGTTTGTGAATGGAGAGTCTGGGCATTTACAGGAACTGCTGGAATCTTTTACATGAACTAAACTTTACTCCCCTACACTTTTGCAGGCCCCAGTGCAACAGTCAGCCAGCCCCACCAACCCGACATCTATTACTCCAGAGGAATATTTTGACCCTGACTTCAATTTGGAGTCTCGCAATATTGGCCGCCCTATAGAGATGTCCAGCAAGGTGCAGAGGTGAGTGAGCCTGGCGAGGGCAGGAGAAGGGGGGATGCAAGGCAGGATGGGATAGCAGATGCAAAGTAAGAAGCCTGTATGGAAGGCCTGGTATGTGACTTCTACAAGGGTTGCTCTGCAAAGCAGGACATACCAGGGGAGAAGTAAGAAGGGGAAGACCAGCTGATATTTACCCATTCAAGTAGCCTCGTCTCTCCAGAACTTGGAAGAGGCCCTTTTTGGGCATCAGTTCCCATAATCCCCCCAGCAAGCTTGGAGACTTGACTTGCAAGCTGGGGGATTCTGAATGCTGCAGTTCAAAAGGATGACTTCCCCAAATTCAGCATGTTAACTAGTGGAGGGTCGTAAATGGGTCTGTGGTGAGTCTGATGTGTTTCCTTTTTTGTTAGGTTCAAGGCCACTTTGTGGCTCTGTGAAGATCATCCCCTCTCCCTGGTGGAGCAAGTGACCCCCATCATTGACCTGATGGCCATTAGTAATGCCCACTTTGCCAAGCTGCGTGACTTCATCACCCTCAAGTTGCCTCCTGGCTTCCCGGTCAAAATTGGTGAGAGACAACTGGCTGTAGGAGAGAGGAACTGGACTGAGAGTACCAGGAGGGGCAGACAGTAAAAGTGGGATAAAAGTGGTGGTGGGGAGGGCTGTCGGCTTTTATGGTGGGGAAAAGATCAACAACTACTCTTCTTGATTTCAAGATTTTACCTCCAGTATGGGAAAGGTTATACATCTGAATACCGGTTACCAGGGAACACAGGCAGGAATGTATTGTTGCATTTGTGTCCTGCTTGTGGGCTCCTCCTAGGTCTCTGATTGGCCACTGTGACAGGAAGATGTTGAACCAGATAGACTTTGGGTCTGATCCAGAAGGGCTTGTATTTGACAGCTCAAAAAGGAAAACATCAAAAAGCTTAGAAGTAGAGATTTTTCATCCACACACACACACACACACACACACAACCAACCATCTTCTTTGTATGTTCCCCCTTTCTCCTCCTTTTCAGAGATCCCCCTCTTCCATGTGCTGAACGCCCGGATCACTTTTAGCAACTTATGTGGCTGTGACGAGCCGCTGAGTTCCGTACGGATCTGTACTCCCACCCATACTCCAGGAACTGCCACGGAAGAGGCAGCAAGTGCTGGAGCAGAGGCCACCAATAACACCAAAGGTAGGTACTGGGGCCTTGGTTCATGGGAAGCCGCATTGGGACAAGGCCAGTGGTTTGAGCAATTTCACTGATCCAAATTTTTGAGAGAGGAAGGAAGAGGAGCTTCTGCAAGAAGTAGACTTGGAAGTGAGGTTGATAAAGGATGATCCTCCTTCCCTGTGGACAAGTAAACAGTTTCTGGGACAGAGACTCCTTCAGGATCCAATTGATTCAGCTGACAAGAATATTTTAAGAATGCCCACATTGTTTCAGGATTTTGATCAACATCTGTTCTAAGATCTCTATCAGGTACCATGAACCTTCATCTGAGGTTCTTCCCTCTGCCTGATACCATGTGTATATACCAGGCTGGGCATAATCCATGGGTCTTGGGGCAATTTTTTGACCCTTGATGGGCCATATCAGTCCCCAAAACAAGAAGCATCCCAATGTCCCGTTTCAGTAGTGAGGTTTTTTTGGTTTATTTTATTTATTTTATTTTATTTAACTTATGTGCCACCCACACTATCCAAAGGTCTCTGGGTGGCTTACAACAATTTAAATACAGGGGAGAGAAGAAGACACAGAAAAATAACCAGTCCTAGAAGCTTTGCAGTAAGAAAAATGATCTGCCTCTTAATTTTTGGGTAGAGATTAAGACATAATGGCTTAGGAGACCACATGCGGCCCAGGGGCTAGACCAGTGGTTCTTAGCCTTTGTTACTCGGATGTTTTTGAACTGTAACTCCCAGAAACTCCAACCAGCACAGTTGGTGGTGAAGGCTTCTGGGAGTTGCAGTCCAAAACTCCTGAGTAACCCGCCACATGCGGCCCATGGGCTAGACTCTGCCCAATGATGCCTTTTAATCAGAAGCTGAAATTCATCAGACATACTGCAGTGACTGCAATGTGAATTCCTGGGCATGTATTCACCCATTTGGGGTATGCAAGAGATGAAGGGGCTGGTCCTTGGTGAGACAGGACACAAGTGTTTCTAATTCCCTGGCAAGCATGCTAACCATCGTGATGTCTTTCTCTTTGTCCCTAGTGTACCCTTTTCCTTGTGAGGTGGACCCAGTGGTATTCGAGGTACCCCAGGGCTACACAATGCTGGGTGCGGGCCGAACAGAACCCATGAGGGATGAAGATGATGACTTGCTCCAGTTTGCCATCCAGCAAAGCCTTCTGGATGCTGGCACAGAAACAGACCAGGTGATTGGGCTGGCCTGTGTTGCGAGAGGGTTTCAGGGCCCATTTAGAATAGCTAACCAATTCTTCTACCTAGGGCACATGTTGGCAAGAGTTGTGTTGGTACAAGGTACCAGGTTAATGTTGGTCTGTGTGACATAGGAAACTATCTTTGAGATGTTGGCACTCAAGAAAAAAGTCTTGGCTGTCAATTGTAGGGCTAGGAGAATGCTTTATAAATCTCCATCTTATTAACACTTCCTTACTTTCTTTTCACAAGTGTGCCGGGTGGTAGAGTGATAGTGAGGCCAAGATAGTGGCTGAGTTAAGAACCAGTGATGTGTAGTGCTTGAGAGTGTTGGGATGAGACCTGGGAAATCAAGGCTCAACTCACTGTTTGGCCACGAGGCTCACTGGGCGTTAGCTTGTGTTAGTTATACTCTGCCTGTCCTACCTCAAGAGGGTTGTTGTGTGGGGAAAAGTAGAAATGAAGGGCCATATGTTCCCTGGAAGAAGTGCAGGATATGAATGTGACAGATAATCAAAAAAAATAAAAAAAATAAAATCAAGAAGCCTCAGATGTTTTCTGCAACTGGAGAATACATCAGTCTCCCCCTTTCTCTCTCCTGCTCTCTCCTGTTCATGATTTTAACATGTACATAGAGTGGTCCAGTGGTCCAGATAGGCGGGGTATAAATCAAATAATTAAATAAATACATTACACCACCAGGTCACCATCTGGGAAGCTCTGACCAACACACGGCCAGGATCCAATCCTCCACCTTATGATGAGGAACTGCAGTTGGAACGGTAAGTGTTTACCTGGCAAAAAGCAGAAAGTAGTCTGGATTCACTTATAGAGCAAGTGCCAGCAGAAGGGTAATTATTTTCATGTGGAGGGGAGACAGTCTCTAAGAGATCATCTGTCAGGGTACATGTTAGAGGTGGTGGGGCCAGAGCCAGCAGCAAATGGAGCAAGAATGGTCCCTCACAATCACCATATAATGTATCTTTTTCTTATATGAATCTCTAGGAAGAGAAGGTAATTGATACGTTGCAAGGAGTGATCATTTCTTCAATTAAGATCATCACTTCCTCACACTTTTTTCTTTCACATAGAAAGACACAGTCTTTCACATAGAAACAGACCCACTCTGTCCCTTCACACATACATGCTACCCCCCTGCCTGGCTCTCTTTTGTTCCCTTTGCTGCAGCAGCTGCTACAGCAAAGAATTTGAAAAGTTGGTGAGGTGGTGGGGGGAGCGGTGCCAGCAGAGGTATGAAATAAGTCTCAAGTCCTCAGACCGGAGTTTTATCTCTTTTATACAGTTACGTAAATTAAGGCCAATTTAGGGATGTACACCAGCACCAAATTCAGATTCAGAATTCAGATTTGGATTTGGAATTTTTAAAAATCAGAATTTTGGGATATACAGTCAATATGAATACTATACAGTTTATTTTCCCCTTCAGAATATGACAGGCAGGCAGAACCTTTTTAAAGGATTTCCCTGTGTCCTCTGACACCATTTTGTTTTGTGCCAAACAAAAAGAATGCATAACAACATCCAGCAGTGCATAGGTATTAAGAAACGATTGTCATGGGCAGACTGATTGAATGTTGGACAATGGGAATGTTAGCAGGAAATGTCAGCATCAATGGGGAAACAGAAGATCAGTTACGCTGGGGACAGCAAATAACCTGGACAGGACCGGGAGGGAGATTGAAGCAGCGGATAGCCTGTGGTGGGTGGGAACTGTGCCAGCAGCCCTGGGGCACAGCACAGTTGAGCAAGTAGGCACAACCTTGGAGTAGCTGTTAGAAGAATGAAAGAGGAAGAAGGAGGGGGCAGCCGACCAAAGCATGGCATACCTCATCCTGTGAGCAGAGTGTGCCCTTCTCTTTTTCTTAAACAGGGCTTCAGGGAAGCCCAGCAATGGTAGCTTGACCTTAAGGAAAATATGTTTTTCCAGAAATCCATGTTCCTGGTGTGAACAATGAGGATTGACCATGATCACTGAGAGAACACTCTCTCACTGGGCACATTAGTCCCATTGCTACCTTGGCCAGGCCTCCCCGGACAGACTGCTCAGTCCAGTAAGACAGGGGAATTGGTCTCTTTCAGCTTGCGAGGCTCCTGCATTTAACACCTCTGCCTCTGCCCTGTCCTTCGTCTGGGGTGGAATCTGTGGGGTTAGGAAGCTTTTAAAATCTACTTTAAATTTAATGTTTCTGCCTCGCAATTCAGATTATGTGGTATTAAGGAACACAAACAGGATTTTGCCCATAGTGCACCATATGCTTTAAATAACATATGACTGCCTAATGAGGGCAAAGGGGAGCCATATCTTTTGTAAAATAGCCATTGTCACTTGGAATTTACATAAGTACTAATATTAAAAACTAGTATTTATTGTATTTATCTGCTACCTAGTTGATGGAAAGCTTTTGAAATTCATCAATCAATTCATTGCAACCTTTATTGGATTTTTTCGTTCCCTGCCCATTCCGGCATGGGTTTATGGCATTGACCCATGGTCATATTTTGCAAGTACATCATTTTGTAGATTATGAAGTTTAGCACCCTGAAAGGAGTGCCTAGCTGAAGGTTGCCATCAAATGTGCACCCCAAACCCCAGCAGCCTTTTTTTTAAGAGGCAGAAGTGTATGTGTGTGCATGTGTGCGCACATGCAGACTTTAGACTGGAGAAACTGCTGCAGTTGCAGGCAGGAAGCATTTGTCCTTCCTCTGTGTGCCACCCCAGTGTCTCCCACAGCCCCAGCAAGCCACTTTCCCACAAATGAGCCGATTCACTTAACTTTGAATTTCTGTGTTTAGAACTACCCAAAGTGAAAGGTAGCTGTTAATGTAAAAGGATTAATTTACAGTAGGAAATGTGTGGCAAGATAAAATGGTTTTATCCCCCCCCCCCATCTGTCATTTTTTTACTCTTAAGTCCAGGACAGCTTTTCTCTTTACACAAAAAATGTCCCCGGGCTTACTAAGCCCTTCATTCCATTTAAACAACATACTTCTGACCTATATGACAGTGGTGACAGACTTTAAAGTATGTATATGATGTCTACTGAAATCTCAGGAGGAGGGGAGCCAAATTTTGTATGTTATAAGTAGCAACAGTTGTCTAGCATTGCCCTTTACTCTCTCAGTGGATAGCAGATGCAGAATGAAATTGTATAAGTTATACAAGTTGAAGAATTAGCCTAATTCATAATGCAGTGTTTGTTGATTTCTGTTTGGATAATTGATTTTTAATGTAAATCAATTTTGAAAATATGAAAGACAGAACCCTTGCAACAACAATGTAATCCAGTGATCAATACTTTGGATTTCAAGTCCCAGAAACCCCAGGCAGAATGGCCAATAGTCAAGGATTGCTGAGGCTGAAGTCCAAAACGTGGAAGGCCACATGTTGTCAGCCACTCATGTAGAGTCTCTGGGACATCGGAGGTAGAACACAGACATATATGTACAAAATGCACAGTTTCACCTACTCACAGAAGTCTATCCGAACATTCATTTTCTCTAAAGCTGTTGGAGTTGGGACTTTTCTATAATATGTACAACTGGATTCAAAGAGGAGTATCCCATTAAATACTCATCTTCATTGGCAGCCAGTAGGCTGTGGGCCCTTGGATGGGGATGGAGAAAGTCCAGTAATGAGGTTGGTCTCAGGCTGGGGGAGAGAGAGAGCGAGTGAGGGTGGTGGAGTGAGGGTGGCCTGTTGGGAGGGAAGGTGGAATGAGGGTGGCCTGTGGGAGTGCTGCTGAGCAGTTGTTGGGCACCCTTTTCATTCATGGCTCTTCTTCCATACTTTCTGCTCTTTCCAGAGCCATCCAAGAGAGCATGTTCCTTCAGTCTGGGCCAGGCCTGGGCACAGCAGAGTCCGGCAGCAGCAACGGAGATCCTCCTCCCGACAGCAACCAAGCTCTCAGCACCAACGGTGGCACTGGAGGCAGCTCCTCCAACTTGCCTCCACCGTATCCTAGTTTTGATGAGCAGCTGCGTCTGGCCATGGAGCTGTCCTCCAGGGAGCAGGAGGAACGGGAGCGTCAACGCCGTGAGGAAGACGAGGAGCTGCAACGTATCCTCCAGCTCTCCCTGACGGAGAAGTAGCGTCCCAGCCTGCCAGCAAGGGGCCCCTTGCCTCCCTCAAGCCTCACACCGCCCAGCCTAACTGTCCTTGCCATCATTGTATTTTTAATCTCTGGGGGTGGGTGGGGTGGGTTCCATGCTTTGCCCCCCTTTCCTCTTGGGGACAGGCTCAATGTGAGAAGACAGCACCTTCTGCATTTTCTGGGACTCATGCAGTTTCATCCTCTGGTCTTATTTCCTGTAAGATTTTTTTAAATTGCTTTATATTCCTCATTCTTCACTGAGGAAATGTTTTATATAGCACAGAGTGGGGCAGAGAGAAGGAGGTGAGGAGGGGCAGCTGATAGGAGTGGAAAAAGAGGAAGAAGTAGGGGAAATTTTAATTACTCGGCATGAGCATGATGTTTTCTGAGACTGAAACAAGTGCACTGCCTTCTCTGCCCTTGCAAATGGGGCTGTCTTGTAGGGGAAGTCGTATCTTGAACCTTGATGCATAACGCAGATGTTTGCAGTGAGCTCTGAAGCCAGGCGGTGGTGTGATGAATAATTTTCAGTCCTGCATTTTTCCACTCCTCATCGTGAGCTGCTGCTCTCCCCACTCCTCCCCTGCCCTGAAGTTTAATTTATTTTATTTATATATCTGAGGATATATACAAGAAAGGGGAGTGGGAGGTGTGTATTTGTTTTTTTTAAAAAAAAAACTAGAACCCAGTGGGTCTAAAGGGAACAGCTGTGCCCACTCTTGAGTGGCTTTCTCCTGACGTCTGGAGACCAGGCACAACAGGGGGCTCTGGGCAGCAGGAACTACTAAATAAAACTACGAAGCCAGCTTTTTTGTGATGGTCTTCCCTTTTTTCTTTCTTGGTGTCAAGCCACGCAGCTGGCTCTTCACCATAAACAAGGTCCAATGTATTTTCATGTTTCTGTGGCTCATCTCGCAATGTTATATGTAAAGCCCTGAAGAAACTGATTGATTTCAGAGAGGGCAACTTCTGATCCTCAAGAGGCGGGACAGGGATTATCCCCTCACAAAGGGAGCAAGGAGCTGCAGTTCAACGAGATCTGAAAGTGTACACATTGTACAGTCCTGAAATTGTGTGCACAGTAGTTTTTGATATCCATCATGTACGGTGGTCTTCTCCATACAGTTGGAGTCTAAGAAACCTAGAACGTAACAGGCTGGGAAGATTCATATGTAGGAACCTTCCAGACCACAAGTGGGCAACGTGTGCCTCTTCAGACATGATTGGACTTCCATACTTCACCACATATGCTGGCTAGATCTAGTAGGAGTTGCAATTCAGCAATATTTCCAGGTGATTCACACACACACCCCAAAAAAGGGGGGATGACAATTCCATTTCTCAAAACTGGAAGCCTGCAGTCAAAATGAGATCTGGCTCATTTACATCACTGTGTGAACTGCTCACCACCCATACTTACAGTTTTCATGAGCTTTTTGTTCACAATGTTCCGGATTTCCTGTGTGTGGGGGGGGGGGTCCGGTCATCTTATAATGCCCTCCCCATCCTCATGACTCAGGGCTCTGGAAAGGACTTAGACCCCTTTACTAGCAATTTTTCCACACCAGTCATTGTTTTCTCTGGTCCCTACTTCTCACAACGGCCTCATTTATTCCGCTTACTAACATTTATTCCCTGATCATTATCTAGCAAGGCAGATGGAAGCTATAGTCAGCGACCATCTGGAGAAACACATATTTCCCACCCCTGCTTTAGCCATTCTTGAGCTAGTCCTCAAGCACACACTCCTCTCTCTCCGCCCTGCCCCCCAGCATATAGTGACTCCAGATTAAGCAACACAAGTCACCCATTTCATCAGTTTTGTCCCTTGCCTTATTTCTGCCTTTTTCTGAGAGTCTGTACATTTCCCACTACCTCTTTTGGCCGGTTCCTCTTTCTCAGTCCACTGCCCACTCTGTTTGGCCGACATCACCTGGCACAACCTTTCCTCCTACCCCATTTTGGAGCAGTAAAATTGTTTGTAAGCCTCCTCACAAATGGATACTTGAAAAAATGTCAAAATGCTTCTAAAAGTCCTTTTAAAAAAGAAGAGTAATCAGGAAATGTCACTTGTTTGCCCAGTGCTGTAACTTTGTTCCTGGTTGCTGTGTTCCTTTTAACTGCTCTGCCTTGCTGCTACCCATCCAACCCTCATTACAGATAGCGGTTGTGACTCATCACTCCAAAGTTTTGTCTGTGCCATGGTGGGTATTATGTAGCACAGCTAAAACTTGGAAGCACAGTGGGAAATTGAATGCCCAACCAGACAACTAAACCTACTTGAGCTATCCAGCAAGAACAAATATAAGCCAAAGTGCAAGCCCAGCTATGTCAGGATGTTGCAAGATGAAGCGAGATTCTTTGGAAATGAGACCCATGCAGGGTTCTTAACGACAGGACTTTCTGGAGGTCATTAACTGCTAGGGTGGCCATACATCAGACCCGACTGGATGGCATATAACAAGATGAGGATGAAGCAACTTAAAATATGTGCATGCTGCCAAGTTAATTCTGGCTTATGGCCACCTTTTTCAGGGTTTTCTCAGTACTGAATACAAAACAGGTTTACCATTCCTTTCTTCTGGGGTACCTTTTTCAGGGTTTTCTCAGTATTGAATACAAAACAAGTTTACCATTCCTTTCCTCTGGGGGGTGTCCTGAGACTGTGCAGTTTGCCCAAGGCCATACAGGCTGTTTCTACTAGCAGCAGGCACAGCAGAGAATTGAACTCCCAACCTCTAGCTCTGCAGCTAGACGACTCACTGAGCTATCCAGCAACTTACATTGACTACAAAAATAAATAAAGGAGTTGGCCCAGGTATGAGCAGCACATTCTCAATCCACTGTTGAATTGAGCACTCTCTAAACTAAATAGGGAATGTAATGTTTGCTTGCTAAAAGAACTGATCTGTGAACTGTGTGTAAGGTACTGCCCCCCCTTCTAACAATTCACAAACGCGGCGGGCGGGGGGGGGACAATTTATTCAAGCCGCTTTAAAACGACTGGGTTTAATCAAAGCTGCTTCCAGCGCTTGTTGCGATTTGAGCTTTCTAAGCCGCCTTCCCCGAATGCAGCTCCCTCGGGACGCCTCGCTCCGTGACCATGACGGCTGGGGCTGGTGGGGTTTGTAATTCAGTCATTCTTAGCACCGAAACACCCCGCGGGGGGAGGCTGTTTTAAAGAGACAGGTAAGACCTGCCAGCCGATTGATGGCTGCCTTCCTCAACCCTCTTCCCTCCCTCCGTCCCCCCGGCGCCACTCCGCAAAGACTTTCAGCACTGCGCCGTTTACTCCGCCCTTTGATCCTCAGCAGGCCCGGCTCCCCTGGTAGAGAAGCGGATGCTGTTTTGCCGGCGCCTTTTGCCGTTCCTCCTTGCGCGTGGGACCGAAGGAGATGGGCTCATTTCGTGATGAATGAGTGGCGCGATCCCTAGTTTCGGGAGCAGCCACGATGCGTCGTGGTTGAGGACGAGCGGGGAGGAGAGGCGTCGGTGCGGCTTCCCGGGGCTGGGATGCTCGGCTTACTTGCTCAACCTCTTGCTGAGTCATGTTTTAAATTCATTTGACATACAGGAAGCCTGGGATGTCGCTCCCACTCGGGCGGAGGCTTCTCGTTGAACTTCAGACTCGGTGTCAGGGCGCTCGTCAGGTTTCGAATCTGCCTGCGTGGAAACGAGCGCGGGAGTCGCCGTCGTCCCCCCCCCCCGNNNNCGGCGGGCAGGCCCCCTCCCCCCCCCCCCCCCGGTCCCCCGGCCATCACATCAGCTGGGCGGCAGTCAGGCCTCCCTCTCCTCAGCTTAACGAGAAGCGCGTGGCTGGCCATGCCCTGCACAGCACACCGTCCACACACGGCCCTGTGCTGTCTTCTCCCCTCCCGTGCCAGCCCAGCAGCCACCGCTCGGAGGTGCTGCGCTTCTGCCCGATGGGAGTAATTTCTGGAAAGAGCGGGGCCCTGGGGGGGGGGAATGGGAGCGCTACCCTGGCACGGCGAGGGGAACGACCTGGCACAGGGCAGCGAGGTGGCGGAGGTGTGCCGAGGTTCTAGTCCACCCAGGGGGGGAAAGACACTCTGCGTATCCTCCGAGGCGCTCTCCTTTTGCTGACGCGAATGAAGGCTCCCTCTTCCTTCAGCGAGGCGCCCCGGCTGAGCCTTGACCCAAGCAAACCGCTGTCGGAGGGGCTGCGGCTCCGCGCACTCCCCTGCCTGCCTTTCCCCCTCCTGCCGTGCCCTCCGGGGCGGGGGGGGGGTGAGAAGAAACGCTCTCGCCTCCTGGGCCTGTTCCTTTAAGGACCTCCCCTCTCCCCGCCTCGCCAAGGACGGTCCCTCCGCCGTTGCCTTCGCTGCAGCTCGCCCGGGCTCTGCTTCCTCGAAGCGGCAGCCCGTCGGCAGAGACGGGAAAGTTTATGCCGGGCAGGTCCTCCCACCTCGGGGGCCAGCGAATGAGGGGCTCCTTCCCTCCGCCCCCTGGAGACCGTCTGCGGCCGCGCGGGCTCCCCGGGACACGATCCTCCGTAGCGCTCGGCGAGAAGCGGAGGAAGGGCGCGCAAGTGGGCGCATGGCGCTGGTGACGGTCTGTCGCTCCCCCTCCGGGAGTGGCCACTCGACCCCCACCGGCTGCAAGGTGAGCGGTGCCCCCCCTTCCCAGAGAAGCAGGGCTTCCCACACCCCGCCCGCGCAGGGACCCCCCCCCGCACCTTGGAGCCGCCTCACCGCGATCCTGTCTCCGCTGCCCCCGTCCTCCACCCCCGCTTCCTGGGCATGCCTCCGCTCCACCCTGCTGCCTTTCCCCCCGAAGGCACTCGGCACGCCGTCCCTTTCGTATCTCCCGTTGCAAGCCGGGTGCCAGAGGGTCTCTCCGCAGAAAGGGCCATTGTTCTCGCTCTTTCCTGCAGGGGGCGCCGTCGGGAAACGAGGGCAATTTAAGGAACGTGGCGGGGGCGTCGAAGGCCGAGGTTTTCCGCAGTGCCTCCTGTCCGGCCTCTCGGCCCAGGCGAGGGAGCAGGGTGGCGGGAGCCCCCTCCACAGCCCCGGGTGGGTGTCCTCCTAGCCTCCTGGGCCAAGGGCAAAACAGGCTGGCACCGTCTCTGTCCGCCTTTGGCTGGAGGGAAAACAAGACCTTCTTTCTTCAGAGACGCACGTCTCAGCTGACTCGTTGCTGCCATGCACTGGGTTTTTATCTGCAACTTTTAATAGATTTGCGTTTCATCGTTAGCCGCCTGGAATGCTCATTGTAGTGGAAAAGCAGAGGGTATAAATGTTGGGACTGAACAGCCTTGCGCCGTTCTAGCCAGTCATTCTAACTTCTCCGTAAAGGTTGTTTACCCTCTGGTAGTTTAACCACTTGCTAGGCCTGCGGGGAGGTGGGGCTGGGTCATGGGCTCAAAGACTGGGGCCCTGTAGGCCCGCCTTGGTGGTTCCAGAGTGTGGAAGAATATTTCTAGTAATGGAAACTCTGCAATCAGTTTGGCCAGATTTGCAATCAGGACAGCCAAAAATAAGCAAAAATGGATTTCTTCTTTTTTAAAGGCCAGCCTTTGCATATTTTGTGGAGGATATTAAGCATACAGTTGAAGAGGTCCTCATAGAAGTTAGAGGAATGCAAAATTGGGGGTGGGGGTGGCCATTATTCTGAGTAATTAAACAGTGGAAGAAAGACATAGTCAAAATGCAAACACTCTCCAAAAGTATTGGACTACAAACCCCATATCCCTAAATCAGCATGGCTGCTTGATCACTTGATAAAAGATATAGTCCATCATACGTGGAGGATGCCAGGTTGGAGGAAAACTTGAATGTGTGGTTGAATCTGTTGCAGCAGCAGGTGTTTGATTATACCAACCTGTACCTTGTATTGAGAGAGGGGTAGTCTGGCTTCTGAAAGGCTGGCCCTTTGAAACTCAGCTGGCTGTGGTAAGCAACAAAAAGAAGAGGCCAGTTGTGAAAAGCAACATTCATCTCTTTTCACATGGGTCTCTTTTCCAACAGAGGATAACTTGTTGTAGAGCTCTTCCCTTCCCTTCCGAGCTTTCTCCAGTACCAGTTTCTCCTTGTAAGGGAACAATTTAGGAGCCCAATCAAAAGGATGCCAGTGTCCAATGACCATTCTTTCCTGGTGTCCCTGTGAATGGGGGGGGGGTCCTCTAATCAGCGTTCTGACAGCTCTGGATCCTGTGTGGAGAAGTGGGCAATAAGAGTGACATGTCAGTGAGTTTCACCATCTGCCACTTCCTGCCTGCTCTTTGCTGATTGCAACATCAGAGACCCATGGAGAGCAGCAAAAATGTCCCTTGCATGGCAGCCTCCCTCAGAGAAGGAAAGAGATCCAGCCTGAAATACCAGCAGTGGGTTATACCATTGCTTAATGCTGAACTAGGGCACCTGAATTAACACCTCAAGTTTGGTAGACTGCATGACTGGTTGGGTTTAATGTGTAATGAGACATTGTGCAAGCAACTGGCAATTAGGAAATGGCAGGAAGACTGTTTGTTTTGTTTTCATGCTTAATAATGTCACAGGAAATTGCCAGCTGACTGGGAAGCACAGAGATAAAGTTATACAAGAGTATGAATTCAAGGATAGTCCAGGAAAATATTAGCTATTCCAGGGAGACAAGTCATGGAAAGTGGCCCACAAGAGAAATTGTTCTGGCCCTTGCACCTAAGGGAGGTTTTCCTGTTGCTGCCAGGCAGTGACAGAGCCTAGGTCTAGATAACTTTTATTAAAGGATTCAGTCTAGGTTGGGGTGTTTTTAATGCACAATTTGTGACCAGCCTTACCTAACCATATATTGTGACGGGTCTGATGAACTTTCTGGTTTTGCTATCTTGTTGGTAAGGAATATGTGGCCCTCCAAATGTTGCTTCATCTTCTGTCTGCTCTGACCAGCATAGTGAGAGGGTTAAGAATGATGGGAGTTGCAGTCCACCAACAGCCATATGATTGCTATCCCTGCTATATGGAACTGGGGTACAAACACTCCGTTGTCTGCCATCTCACAGCCCATAACACCTGGCATAGCAGATAGGAAGTCCTTGGCTTGGTAGAAATACAGTGGGGTCTCTACTTAAGAACGTCCCTACTTAAGAACAATTCTACTTAAGAACAGCTCCGTTTGCTAAATTTTGCTTCTACTGGAGAACAGAAATCCTAGATAAGAACAGGAAAAAAAACCTTTCCTGCTCTTTTTTTAATCTTAGGTCATCTTAGGTTAAAAAAAATTCTCCCCCTAGTGGTAGAGTACGTATTAACCCGCTTTGCATTAGTTCCTATAGGAACTAATGCTTCAATGTACGAACGCACCTCTACATAATAAAAAAACAGCCAGAACGGATTAATTGGTTTTCAGTCCATTGCTTCAAAATTAGCTTCGTCAGAAGTGCTTTTAACACTGTTCCCTGACCTAAGAAAAAAAAGAAAAAATATCCCCCTCTAGTGGCAGAAGGCGGAATAGCAGCTTCCCATTAGTTTCTATGGACGGAAAAGAGCAGATACGGATTAAATGGTTTTCAATGCATTCCTATGGGAAATGCAGATTCTACATAAGAACTTTTCCACTTGAGAACCACCTTCCAATACGGATTAAGTTCTTAAGTAGAGACCCCACTGTAAGACATCCATACTTGGTACAGAATAATGAGTGTTAGAGTTGCAACTGAGAATCTAAGTTGGAAAGCCCTTGGTTTCAGGGTTGTTTATACCTGGAAATTTATTGTGTAGACATGGAAAAGTCACTTTTCATTGTGTCCTGTCATCTTTGGTGCAAGGATGAGCAACACTGGTCTGCCTTATAGGGTTGTCAACAGAGATAATCTGTGTGAAGTGCCTTCAGAACTGAGTAAGTGCTATGGTATAAGTGGAAATCCCATATATGTCGGAACAAGGATAGAGTTGAAAAATGGATAATATTATAGTTGTTTCCCTTTGCTCCCAGTTTTCTGTGAGCATATGTTCTAGCCAAGTGGGTCAAGAGTTTATGAAAGCAGCCATTATAAAACAGAATCCTGGATTCTTCTCTGTTGCCAAAGCTAGGAGTGCAAACAGAATTGACTCACTCACTGATGGATGATCATCTTGTCTTATTTATACCCTACCTTTCCACCAAAACAAAATTTCCAGCACTCAAGGTAGTTAGTTATTTACAAGGTGACTTATAAATATGTGGATTCCACCTAGTTTTCCTGGTACAGATTTCCAGAGGGATAGCTATATTAGTCCTTCGCAGTGGAAACAGCAATAAGTGTTGGGTGGCAACATAAAGACGAACAAGCTTACATCATAAGCTTCTGTGTCCCAGCCTCCATTTCATCAGCTGTATGGAGTGATACTTTGCTTTGCAGATTTTGACACACAAACTTGATGCAGAAGCTGCTCTCAGGCTGCTGTGGAAAGGGCCCAACCATTTCCTTTTTTGATTTGATCACTGACCTAATTCATCATCTATCTGTCTGTCTGTCTACCTACCTACCGATCTACCTACCTACCGATCGATCTACCTACCGATCTACCTACCGATCTATCTGTCTGTCTGTCTGTCTGTCTGTCTGTCTGTCTGTCTGTCTGTCTGTCTGTCTGTCTGTCTCTCTCTCTCTCTCTCTCTCTCTCTCTCTCTCTCTCTCTCTATCTATCTATCTATCTATCTATCTATCTATCTATCTATCTATCTATCTATCTCTACAGTGGTGCCTCACTTGACAACGATAATCCGTTCCAGCAAAATCGCTGTAGAACGAAATCATCGTCAAGCAAAGCAAAAGCAAAACGTGCTGCTTATATACCGCCCCATAGTGCTTCAAGCACTCTGGGCGGTTTACAAGTTAATTATGCAGGCTACACATTGCCCGCCCAGCAAGCTGGGTACTCATTTTACCGACCTCGGAAGGATAGAAGGCTGAGTCAACCTTGAGCCAGCTACCTGGGATTTGAAACCCAGGTCGTGAGCACAGTTTTGGCTGCAGTACAGCGGTTTAACCATTGCGCCACGATGCTCATTGCGAAATTAAAAAACCCATTGAAATGCATTGAAAACCGGTTCAATGCATTCCAATAGGTGAAATACCTCATTGTGCAGCGAAGATCCTCCATAGGGAAGCCGTTTTCCGGTGCCTTTTAAGCGAGGAATCTGTCCTAAACACAGTGGGGAGCCATTTTGCACAGTGGACGGCTTTTTTGAGAGCCACCAATCAGCTGTTTTAAAATATAGTCATTTAGTGAAGAATCGGTTCTCGAAGTAGGGAACTGATCGTCGTAAAGATAATTTTTCCCATTTAAACATTGTATTGCAATCGCAAAAACCTCATTGTAATGCGGATTCGTCATGGAGCGTCAAGCAGGGCACCACAGTATTTTTATTTATTTATTTATTTAACTTATATACCGCCCACACTACCCAAAGGTCTCTGGGCGGCTTACAACAATTTGATTTCAATAAAAGGATCAAAAGATAAAAACACTTAAATACAATCAAAATACAATGCTCTAAAAATTGCCATCAGGACCCACAGTTGATATTATTTCAATTAAAAACCTTCTGGAACAGGAAGGTTTTGATCTGGTGCAGTGTTTCATATGCTTTTATGATGGCAAGTTTGTGCTTGCCTTCTTTACTGTGCCTGACACCAGCAGGGCATAGTTTATGGTTTAATTGCATTTATAGCATTTGTATGAGTCAGACGGCGTATTATTCTGCCCTACTGCCTAGACAAAGAAAAGTAAAAGACGAGAGGCCTACCCAGAGACCTTTGGGTAGTGTGGGTGGCATATAGGTTAAATAAATAAATACTTTTTGGAGTTCCATCAACTCAGAGTAAGGGCAGCCTTCCTCAACCTGAGCCTTCCAGGTGTGGGGGACAACTCCCGTAATCTCCAGCCAATTTGGCTGTGATGATTAGGGATGGTGGGAGCTGTAATCCAAGACTGCAGTATTGCTGGTTAGGAAAGGCTGAGCCAGAGCCTTACTTCACCAGAATTCCACTACTTTTATTGGGTAGACTGTCACAGCCTCTGGAAGCTCATGGTAGAAACTGGAGGGTAAGTTGCATGGAAATTCAGCAGGGTATCAGTGCTGAGTATGTGGAAGCTAGCAGTCACCCACCACCACCTGCATCAGAAGGTTCTTCACCTCTGATCTGAAGCAAAAATGACTCCTCTACCTGGAATTCCCTTGCAGGACGAAGATGTTTCTTCACGGAGAAGACAGCTGCAGCGACGGTGAGGAGGTGGCCTTTATTGTTTTGTCCTTTTATATAAGGAAATGCAAAAGTCCAGCAGCAACCCTCATGGTTGTCCAGAACCAGGATATTTTAAAATCTTCAGGTTTAGATGTAGTGTAGCATCCCAACTAGGGCCCATCAGTGCTCATAGCACAATGTTGTATCCCAACTAAGAGGGGAACAGTTATCAGAGGTTTGTGGGTTGGTTTTTTTACAGTTATTTAAAAAAGTTCTGGATTTCTGCAGTGAAAAAATTCAGAACTGTATCTGTGTGAAGTGACTAATTATTAAGTCTCATTACCATCAGGGGGCCATCTGAAACTCACAGAGCCAAAATCCAAGTAGCAATTGAAGTTGCATTGGGACAGAAACACAATTTCCCAAGAGAACCACAGTCATAAAGAAGGACATCAGTGTTGTCCCATAACAAAAGAGCAATAAGTGTACAGAAAAAAAAAACCCTTAGAACAGTGGGGAGTAAAGCAGAGTGTCTACTTACGGAAAATATGTACCAAATAAGTGTATGGAAGGATACCATGCCCTAAATATATATGAATCATAAATGAAACCAAATTCTCCTTGTAATAGCATTTCCTATTATTATTCCTATCAGCTGAATTTTCTCTAGTTTCCCTCCAAACACAAGGGCTCTCTCATCACGAGCATTTCAGTTTCCCAGGCTGTTTTGTAATCACAAAATGTTTTCTAAAACTCGTTCCCATGGGACACGGGCAAGCTCTTTTTCCTAAGATAGAGCAACTCCCTGCTGGCTTTCCGCTGCAATCATGTCCGATTTTTATTTTTTACATCAGTGGTCTCTAAGACAATGAGAGGTGTTTTTTCCCCTTTATATCTGTCTTCTGTCCCCCTCCCCCACCTGCTTTTCTTCAGGCACAGCTTCGTCATGGTCAAAGGAGCTGCTTTGCTCTTGCAAGAAGAAGAAAAGCTAGAGTCTGTGCAGGAGGGTCCAGCAGCTTCCATCGACCAGGAGCCGAAGGCAGAGGATGCTCCAGCCGGACAGCAGGAAGTGCATTTACAGCAGATGGTTGGGCTCTTGCGGCCAGAAGACACAATCCGGCTGGTGAGAGGCTGTTAATGGAGAGGGCCGATATCACAGGGATGGGCAGGATGGAGGATGGAAAATAATTATGGTCTGAGCCATAAAATGTGGCTCTCAGAGAAACTCAGTGAGTCTGAAACAGTACATTGGTGCCTCGACTTACAACCATAATCTGTTCCAGAAGATGGACGTAACTCAAAGTGAATGTAAGTCGAATCACCGTTTCCCATTGAAATGACATAAGTCGAATCACCGTTTCCCATTGAAATGCATTGGAACGCGATTAAACCGTTCCAGAAGAAGAAGGAAAAAAAACAAAAATAAAATAAAAATAAAAGACTGCAAGCCCCATGGGAACATGCTGGGGCTGCAAAAAACAAAACAAAAACAAAAAAATCCAAAGATAAACAACGGAGCAAGCCCCGAAGGCGCTGGGGCTTTAAAAAAAAAACCAAAAATAAACAACAGCAAATCCCGAAGGTGCTGGGGCTTTTAAAAAAGCCTTCCAAAGATAAACAACAGAGCAAGCCCCATCCAAAAAAAACCAACAAAGCAAACCCCGAAAGTGCTGGGGCTTTAAAAAAAGCCTTCCAAAGATAAACAACAGAACAAGCCCCATCAGAAGGCGCTGGGGCTGCAAAAAAATCACCAAAAACCAAAACAACAGGACAGAAACATAACCCCCCCAGCCCAAACCCACCCTGCAAAACCCACCCAGAACAGGCAGTTTTTAAAAAGCAGAAAGCATCACCTTACCTTACCAGGCAGTCCCAAGCCTCCCTGCAAACAAACACACTCTCACTCAGAAGCAGAAGCCAGGCAGTCCCAAGCTTCCTCAGATGGCACATTCTGTAACTGCTGGGGCGAAAGAGCTGCAAAGAAGCAGCCTCTTTGCCACCAACAGTTAGAAAGTTGAACTTCCTGCCTTTTCCCCCTGCCTTTTTGTGTTCCTAACTGGAAGCTCCGGCCGCAGGTCGAAGCAAAATTTTGCAGCCGGAGCTGGTCGTAACTCGAAATGGCCGTAAGTTGGGTCATTCGCAAGTCAAGGCACCACTGTTCTGTAATTGTGTACTTTCAGTGTTTCGCAGTTATAGGGTAGTTTAATTACTTGCCATCAAAGTGATTTTAATTTATGGTGATGACTTTTCCCATAGTTTTGTTGATACAGGGTATTCAGAAGTGGTTTATCGTCCCTGTCTTAGCAGGTGGAGTGCCTCAAGACCATTTTGCTTGCTCAAGGCTGCACAGGCTGGCTCTTTTCCTACAAGGCGCAGTGCGGAATCAAACACCCAACTCCTGGCTCCACAGCCAGGTGCTCTGATGCACTGAGCTATTCAGATAACTCACTTGAATCTCTGTCCTGACCCACCTGCTTCTCTCACACTAGAGTTGGCTTTATTTATCATTTCAGGGCCTACTTTGACCAACCCTCAGGGCCTTGGTTTAGCGTTTCCTGCTGTAGGGTGAATAGCTGCCTTCAAAGACCAGTTTTCGTTTCCATCCTAGCAGTCAAATTCTTTTACTGCCCTTGCATTTTATGAGCCCGTCTGCCTTCTTAGGAGTATAAATGGGCTCTGATCCTACTGAACTTTCACTCTGACAAAAACCAACAGTTGTGCTCTGAATGCTTTTCAGGCTGTGACCTTCTAGAGGTGTTAGAAATTAGAAAGTGGTGTTTTATTTTGAGGAAGCAGCATTTCAGACAGCAGTGATGTGTGCTCACGCAAGAGGCACAAGTTGGCAACATAAAAAAGTTCAGTTGAATCTCTAAGGGACTCAATAGAGATCAAGGCTTCTTACCTCACAACATATATTAATAACCTGGCTTTTTGTAGTAGCTTATGGGCGTAAAATGTTACCGAAAGGTGTGAGATTCTGACCTCTGTCCCAGAACATATCTCAGCAGCCAACTCCACCTGCAGGTCAATTAGCAAGTCCTATCACTGTGGCAAGGACCTGTTAATTGAAAAAGTTAACTGCTTGATAATCCCATTCCTGTCTAAATGAATCATTGTGACTTTGTCTATTATCTGTATTCTCATCTGGTTGAGAGTATCTGTATAAAGATAGTGGTCATGTGCTTGTACCCCATTGTCAGAGGAAGTGGACTTAGATTCACAAAAGCTCACACTGAAATTTGTATTCTTTAAAGTGCCACGTATTTTTTTTACTTTTCTTTTCCCAGCATTTTGTCTACCCAGTGTCATTTCAGACTAGATATGGGGGTTCACATTCTTGAGTGTTCCTCGATAGTAGCAATAAGGAACATCTGGCCTTCTGGACATTTTGGATTTCAATTCCAAGAAGTCTCAGCCAACATGGGGACTGTGGAAGCTTTTATCCAAAATGTATGGAAGCTCAAAAGTTCCTCTCCGCTGCTCCACCAGGGAAGAATTGTCTGCTGCACACAGAAAACTAAAAGTCAAGAAGAAGGGTTTTAGCCTAGTCTTCTCCCTCACGTGCTACCTTTTTCCGCCCAGAGTAGACTATCTGTCTAGATGGGCAGGGTATAAATCTAATAAAATAAATAAAAATACCCTTGTATTTGTATGACTATTATGGGTATTTCTTACCATCAGTACTAAATCGTGTTGTGAGCCCATACCTATAAGCGGTGAAGTAGAGTCACATATTTAGCTCCTCCCTGGGAACATCTCGATAACACCCGGTTTCTATATACTAGTAATCTGAATATGATTCTTTTTTTTAATGACCTGACTTCGCCTTTGCCTTCTGTTCCATGTGAGTCCAGAATTTTCATGTCGTCCTTTCCCAGCCTTCTTGTGGTACATGAATTCAGCCTTGCCTGCCTGCCACCCCCCAGGACCTCATTGTCCTTGTTTGCAGAAGTTTGCAAAGGGTTGGGATGGGGGCAGAGAAGAATTCTTTTCCTTTTGGAATGTAGCTTTCCAGCCGACTGTCAGCTGGGAGCTGCAGCCACTTCCCCATTTATGGCCTGTGGGTCTTTTGCTGTTTTGGGCAGGCAGCCAGAGCAGGCGTCTCTACTGAGCCTGGTTGCAGCTCTGGCTGTGGGGGACCTTGTTGGGAAGCTTAAGTAACTTTTTTTTTCCTCCTAAAGAGTGAGTCACTCACAGCAGCCTCCAAGCACCAAGAAGAATTCCTTAAGGCTTTGGGGCAGCTTTCTAGTAGAGTCTGGTGCTCTGTAGAAGCCTGCCTGGGGTTGTTTAATTGGAAGATCAACAATGGCAGAGAAGCTACACGAAAAGGCAGCTGGCTTATCATTGCTGACCTTCTCTAACAGAGTGGGATGTTGAGAAGTAAATGCCTGCATGTGTCATGCATGCTCACAGTTCAAATAAGACAATAGTGAGACTAAACATGCTTCAGGACTTCACCGTAATAATGTGTATATCCTATTAGTGTTGTAGAGTTTTGAATTTCTGGTAAAATTACTTCTTGCTATGCAGTAGAAGTACACAGACTCATAGAGGAGAGTTGGTACCAGTTTCCCAGAGTCCACCCCTTTTTCCTTAACTGGCATTTAAAGTCTCAACTCACTTTGAGACATTTGTAAGAGAAAGAATAAAAAAACATTTATTTACAGTTATTTGAAGTTACAGAGTTGTCTATATTGCTTTCTTTATTGCACACATACTGAACAGATCAACAGCAAACAAACAACTGCCACCAGCCAAGGAAAGAAAGGGAAAGGGAACACTTAATAGAGACGCAGGGTTTCCTTTGAATTCAAAAGGCTGGAAGGAACAACTGGTTAGTGCTGGACAGACAATCACCCCAGCTCAGAAAAGTCCTTCCCAGTCACACAATTTACAGGCAGCATGCAAGGCTGCAAATAAAGTTCCTACAATTAGAACTTCCACCAGAATCCTTACCAAGATTACTGGAATTCCAGGGCAGATGTCAATGTGGAAAGTGTTCTCTTGAGGCAGGAATTTTGAAACATTCTGCTTGAAAACTCTAGCACAGAGGCTTCTTTCTTGAGATCCTACTATGCAATGCCAAACTGCATCTACTTACTGCTTTACAGCATTTTCACACACGAAGCTTAACATTATTTAAGGCTACCCTGTGAAAATGCCTGTAATGATATAGGTTACACTGGTTTGCAGTAGAAATATAATCAGATGTTACGAATTTCTCTTTTGTATTCATATTCACATTTCCAATTTGTTTATGTTTGCTTTTTTTCGACATTATGCCCTAAATTAGCAGTGTTAACAAAAAATTCAAATTCAGGGATGGGGATGAGAGACACTTTTAAATGTTGCAGGTTTAAAATCGCCAAAGAAATAATATAAAACTACCTTAAGCTATTTTGTGCCACTCCAAGGCACTCATCTTTAAAAATATAAAGATTTTTTTTTAATTTGCAAAAGTTTATTTTTGCACTTGAAAGCATCCAAGAACAGCAGCTTTCCCTTTGCGGATGGGTGAGTTACACTTCAGGTTCCTGACTCCCAAATTAAAAGGGGAAAAAATGTAAAGCTACAAGTGCTGAACCAGGCACTTCCTGCTCACATTTTAAATATAAAGTCCAAACCCAACTATTTCCAGGTATGGAGCAGCTTGTTGGGATTAGGGCAGAGCAGGGGGCCAGAAAGCATCCTATCACTCAAGCTCCCAAGATCACCCATCCCTTGCCCTATATGACAGTGGTCTTAGTTTAAAAAGTGCTAAAGCTCAAAGATGCTATTATGCAATAGGGATTGTTAATTCTGTGAGACAATATAATCTTTTTTAAAAGTTTTGAAATATGATCCAACAGTTCTTGGACTGGAGCCATGGTTTTGTGGGGTTCTCTACACTCCTATATAGAAGTGCGTTTCTCAACCTGTTCAACACCCCCCCCCCAAATATATCTATATGGTATGGAGAGGGGGAAATAATAGTGATTCAAATCAAGTCTTTCTGAGTAGTGATTTAAATCAGAGTTTAAACAGTGATTTCATAGAATAATGGAGTTGGAAGGGGCCTATAAGACCATCAGGTTGTACCCCCTGCTCAATGCAAGAATCTGAATCAAAGGCATGGTGGACTAACTTTCTCTTGAATGCCTCCAGCGCTGGAGCCCTCACCACCACCAAAATAATTGGTTCCATTGTAGCACCAGGAAACTTTTCCTACTATTCAGATGAAATCTGGCTTCTTGTAATTTGAGCCCATTGTTGCATGTCCTGCACTCTGGAATGACTGCAAACAGGTCCTGCCCCTCCTCTGTATGACAAGCTTTGAAGTATTTGAAGAGTGCTATCAAATGTCTTGTCATCTTTTCTCAAGGCTAAACATGCTCAGTTCTTTCAGTCTTTCCTCAAAAGGTTTTCCAGTCCTCATCATCCTTGTTGCCCTTCTCCGAGATTGGTCCAAATTATTAGCATCCTTCTTAAAGTATGGCGTGCAGAACTGGACTCAGTACTCAAGATGAGGCCTAACTAGTGCCAAATATATGGAGACTAAAACCTCATGGGATTCGGAGACTATTCTGTCAATGCAGCCTAAAATAGCATTTGCCTTTTTTGCAGCTACTTCACATTTTTGGCTCATATTTATTTTATTTGTTTTATTTATAGATCACTTTTCTTCAGATAAGGAGACCCAAGGGAGTTTGCAATGTTAAAAGGAATGGAATTAAAAACATAAGTTGAACATTAAAAACAATTAAACTATATGTTAGTTAGAATACAATTGAACAATTAAAAGCCAGTAAACATAAAAAAAAAACTTATTCAGTTTGTGATATTACAGTGATTCCAATGCATTTGGTTTAAATCAGGTCCACCCTAATTCTGACAGCTGAAAAGATACTCCTATAGTCTAAATTATTTTACTTTAATATTTTATATAGTATGACTTTTGAAAATGATTTATGGTTTTGAGAATCTGAATTTAGCAATACCAGGGTGCAGAGACAGATTCAAATGTAGTATAGTAATGTGAATTTCAGCTCACTTCTGTTTTTAGCAGTGTTGCAAAACAAATATTTCTGGATAAAATGCAATTTTTGTCAAAATGATGACCTCTTGTTATACTGGAAATTATACAGAAGACTACAAAGAAGATATCAAGAAATGTGTCTAGTCTGGCTTTGCCTGGAACCTGTCATAGCCGTAGCATTGGCCTTAGGAATAGTGGATAGCTTCCAAAGTAGCCCCTGATGCTAACTACGATGCCAGCCTTAGACTGAGGACAGCAGTACAGGTTTGGGCAAAACTCATTGGCCTATGTGCAGTTGATCTTGAAGGGCCATCTTCTGACAGTTGTGTGTTTTTTCCTCCAGGCTGTGAGGCTAGAGTCGGCTCGACCTCACAGAATCCGGTACCTGTTGGTTGTGTCTGCAGAAAAAGTGGAGAGAAAGAATGAGACGGTGTTGCTGGGAGTGGACTTCCTAGAAGAAGGGTGAGAACCCAAGGGAGGGAGCAGAAGGGACGGAGGAAGAGAAGCTATATTTGACTCAGACAGAAGTCCTACACAAATAAAAACCTCACTGAATTCAGTAGAAGTTACTTCTGAATAGACGTAAAATCCCTGTCAGTATCCCTGGACTCAAACTACCTGAGACATTCAGCTTGCATTTAGAAGCTGATAGCCTGTTAGTTCTCTCTAGCAATGCAGTTTCCTCATCGCTGTATACTTGAGCAACCAGGGTTGTACATCTAACCTGTGTTTATTTCTGCTGACCAACTGCACAGCAAAGCACGCTGATTTGTAAGATACAAGAAGTGAAAAATACTTATGCTAACAAAAGCCATCTTGCAGCACTTACGCAAGTCTTTCTTCCACCAAAATGCTAAGAGTAGCATCTAGTTTGACCATTGTGCGAGAGAAAGCTGTTTAAAATTTTCTGTACTGAAACATTAATAACGTGGTCAAACGTTTCAAATCAGTAAGTGTAGAGAAGGTTTCGGGCAGAGGGGAGGATTAAAAAGAGCCAGATGTTGACATAGGGGGTGCTGGTGCAAACCCCTGTTCGATCCTGAACATGATGGCCTTGAATAAATCACTCTTTTTCATGTTGCTTATCTCATAGACAGTGAGGAGGATGAAACAGCAAAATTCATATGCATGTTTCCTTCATGCTTTGGGAAAAGTCAGAAACAGAACAGATCAGTAACATATACTTCTGTGTGGCAGAAGGATGTCCCCTTTTCTTGGCTTAAGTTGCCAGTTCTGTCTTTCAATGCAGCAGGAAGGTGTATGGTGAGGGGAAAAGGAGGGCTGACCAGAGAAATTAATTGACTGCAGCCAGTCCTATATGCAGATGACTGCCACTATGTATGAGAAGCTGGGATTTCTCATAAGTCACCTACTCCCAATTCAGGTCCCTCTTCAGCCTCTACTACTCCAGGGAGAGAAAAGCATAATGACTTCAGGACCTGCTGTAGTTGTTTTTTCTTTTGTTACTTTTTTACTTGAACCTTGCTGCCCATCAGCTGAAGCAGGATATAGAAGAGTGGCTGGTGGCAGAGTCAGATACAAAATGGTGGCTTATACCATAGCCCAGTGGTTCTCCAACCTTTTCCCAACCACGGACCGGTTGTGTGTGTGTTTTTGGTGCGCCCGCAAGGGGGCAGAGCTCACGTGTGCGCATGCACATGTAGCACTCGGGGAGGGACCACTCGTGCATATGCACACAGTGCGCTCACAGGGGGTGAAACACGCTTGCGTGCATGCACACAACAGCGCTTGCAGGGGCACTTGCGTGCATGTGCACAGCACGCACACAGAGGGTAGAATGTGCATGTGCACGACAGCACTCACGGGGTAGGCACTCATGGGGATGTAGGAGATCTGGGTCTGCGGCCCAGTTCTGGATAGGCCACGGACCACTGCCGGGTCGTAGACCAGGGGTTGGGGACCTCTGCTATAGACAATTTCCTGCTGCACCTCTTAAACCATACTCTAGAATTAACCTGCATGTGCAAGTTTGCATCTGATCTTGTAACAGGGCAGCAGTGCTAACGACAAAATTAGAAAGAAGTGGGTGTGCTTTTTTGTTGTTGCCATAGTTAAACAAATGGGAGTAAGAGACTCTTGGCACTCACCAGTTGATTCCAATCGTCCTTCTTCCCACCTCTGCCCTACACCATTTAATTCTGTGCTAGTACAGGGGTCCTTGGCCTTCAAAGGAATGTGAGGTGAGGGAACAGCCTTTTTTTCCCTTTGAGGATTGCAAAGTCCACAGACAAAGAAGGAGCTACTGAGGGAAAGCAGATGTGAAGTTTATTACTGTTTGGCTTTGCAGAGTATTTCAGTTTGCCTTTCGGTAAAGATGTGATCTATCCCTGTGTTCTGTGATGAATCATTGTGGACTACAGTTTTTTCATGCCACTTTTAAACTAACAAGAGGAGGTACTGTATTGCTTATGTTTGCAGGGTGTTTTGTTTGCTATTATGTACTGTATTGCAGTTGCAGTAGGTGTGTTCTCTTTCAGGCAGTGATGGCGTCAGTCACACATATCCCCAGTGGGTGGCACCATCTGTGTAAGGGTGCACCCTTTCCCCAACCGGTTCCTTATTCATCATTCTAGTAGACCCACTGTTCTTCTCACTGTGTTTTCAGGAGCCTTGCCTCCATCATACTGTAGCTAAATCCTGCTATTTCATTCTTAATCTAAGTACATGTCCAGGAGGAGGGTACTCTTATGCTTTCTTCTTGATATTGACTTTACCCTCCCAGTCTGGAATAAAGAGACAGACACAGATATATGGGTTAACTAGGGCCTCAACTTTATTAACTGTGCTATTTCTACCATCAGCCTCGTCCTCCTGGGTCTGTGTACACATTGATGTCATCTGGGGTTGGCCTTGACTTGGCGCCTCACTGGAGTGATTGCCGCTGAAGATGCTCCAGAAGGTCTAGGCTGCTCTCCTCCTAGAATAGCAGTGTGAGATAACATAATGTCCCCCATCCTCTTAATTTCTGCTAATTTATGAGCCTTGGATTCTCTACGTGATCTCTGGACTGCAGAGGATTCCCTGGCCCTTCTGGCTTGTGCCCTTTCCAGCATGCTAAGCTTCTCCCACATAGACTTATAGTCTGGCCAGTCCTCCTCATCAGATGAAGAAATTACAGGTGGTGAACATGGGGGGCAGGGGGTTTACGTTTAGCAAGCTGTTTTCCTTTTCCCCCCCTTGCTCTTTTTTAGAGGCAATTTTGGCTGGCTGATAACCTTACCAACCACACTTGCAGGAAATTAAATATTAATTTTACACTAGCCAACATTGGCTGCACTATAACTCCAAATATCCTTACAACAATTTATTTATTAATTTTAATGTACTATATTTTTCCATATATAAGACTACTAAATATTTAGACTAAAAACTTAGGGTCATCTTATACATGGAAGTAAGCTGAGGAGAGAAAAAACAAATGGAGGGGAAAGCAGGAATCAAAGTGATCTTGCAGGGCTTTGATCCCTGCTTTCCCCTCCACTTGCTAAGCCTTAGCAAAAGGAAAACAGGGATCAGAGTGCTGCAGGATGGCTTTTTTATTATTATTATTATTATATAAATCCATCCATACTGGTTTAACATCGTGTCACCAGGGTACAGCTTATAATCATTTGTAAAACAACTACTACACACATTACACTCCTAATCTATACAACATCCTTCTAACCATTGATAGAATAAGTCCCATATTTGATAATATTTTGTATCTTCTTTTCCTTTGATTTTCAGTGTTAGTCTGTCCATTTCGGCGCAGTCCAATATCTTTTTAATTATTTCTTGATCCGTAGGTGTTCCTTTTTAAATTATTTTAACAAGCCATGTATGTATTTTGTTCCAAAAGTTTTTTGCTTTATCACAAGTCCACCAGAGGTGATAATAGGTTCCAGGTTTTTTATGACATTTCCAACATTTACTTGACCTGTTAGAGTACATCTTAGCTAATCTATCAGAAGGTAAATGCCATCTATAAAGCATTTTATATAGATTCTCTTTATAAGATGTTGCCATTGTCATCTTATAGTTTCTAGACCACAGCCCTTGCCATTTTTCTAAGTCAATATTGTACCCAAAATTTTTTGCCCATGGAACCATCATTTCTTTGACCTGTTCATCCTCCATTTTCCAATTTAGAAGGTATTTATATACTTTCCTAATTAATTTGTCATCTGATGTTAACATTATTTGGTCAAAAGTTGTCTGTTCTTTATAAAAAATCATACATTTTTAGGTCCCGTTCATATCTTGATTGTATTTGCATTATAGACCACCACGATGCATCTAACCCCTGGTCTATAAGGTCTTGTTTTGGCTTTAATTGCCTATCTTTGTCTAAAATATCTGTATAAGTCAAAATTTTTCTAACATTCAGAAGGTTGAGATGAACAAATGCTTCTATGGGTGAAACCCATCTGCAGGATGGCTTTGATCCTTGCTTTCCCCTCTGCTTACTAAGTCCCATGGGGCTTAGCAAGTGTAGGGGGAAGGATGAAAGCAATCCCATGGCTGTATAAGGGGCAAAGGGATCAAAATGATCATGCAGTCACAGGATTGCTTTGATCTCTTTCCCCCTCCTTTTGCTAAGTTAAATAGCACGAAGGGAGAAATCAGGCATCAAAGCGATCCTGCAGTGCTTTGATCCCTTTCCCCCTACACCTGCTAAGCCCCACTTAGATTTCTTAATTTTGGGTTAGAAAAGTGGGGGTGTCTTATACACGGAAAACACAGTATTTATTTCTTAACTATATACATCTGTATATACTTACAGGCCACTCAATCCCCCCGGGGGTTGAACACTCATCTGTCTGTCTGTCTATCTATCTCAATTTAAATATTAATTAATTAAATTTACATTTTGTGCACACACACACACACACACACACACACACACACACACACACACACACACACGCACACCTCCCCCAGGAATTAACTAAATAAGGGGCAGGGTCAAATCCAAACCGGCTGGGGCAGCTGAAAAAAGGCCGCAGCCCTTTTACCCTTGCCACCTTGCAGTCTTGTGCATCGGCAGAGCCCTCGGGTCAGGAAGCAGTTTGGGGATGGCAAGAGCCTTTCTTGGCACCCCCAAACTGCTTTCTGACCCAAGGGTTCCAACATCGCGCCGCATGGCCCGCGTGGTTAAAATCGAAACCACTAAGGGACCCGCTATGAGGCTGCTGCCTCCAATGCCAAAGAGGAAGGAAGAGCGATGTGAGGCTGGGAAGCCTTCTTCAAGGCTTCGCTCTTGCCCAGCCGCCTCACCCGATCCGATGCAGGAGTGCGTGCATCTGCCTCCTCCATCTGGGTGGGCAAAGGAGCCCCGCCAGCGAAGCGCCTCGCAGAGAGGCCCATCTGCACTCTCCCAACAATATAGTAGTAAAACAATGTGAAAGCCATGACCGACCCTGGGCACACTGTTTGAGACTCCAGAGTCTGGCTCTGTGTGTGATGCTATGATAACAGGAAGGAAAGGGAGCATGATACTATGATGGATTATGACAAACATTGCCACGTACCGTCCCTCAGCCAGCATCAGCATAGAGGGATTACATGCCCTGGCAGGTGATCCATGAAAGAGGCAGGGAGGCTCTGGTGGCTGAGGTTGTGTCTTCAGCTGCTGAGTCCCTTAACATGCCCACATGGGAATGGCATGTGAAACCCTCCTCATCCAACAAAGGTGTGTGTGAATTGTTGATATAATAACTGTGTGTAACAAATTGCACGGCCAAAGAAGGCAGAGAAGATAGTGAGACTAATATGGAAAGTGCATCTAGTAAGTTGTGGAACCACAAGAGAATAAAATAAGGATACATGAGGAAGTAAGGACCAGCATCTGCTTTCCCTCAGCACTTCAGGTGAGAAATATTGGATGTTGCTCTGTTCTCTCACCATATAAGCAGAGTGTTATAATATTGCACTTCAACAGCATCCATATTTCTTCCCCTGGGGTATTTCCAGAGGTACAGTGGTGCCTCGCAAGACGATTTTAATTCATTCCTCGAAAATCGTCTTGTGAAAAAATCGTCTTGCGAGGCTCCCTATGCATCGGTCTCAAAAAAAAAAAGTATTGTGAAGCATCGGTCTAAAAAAAAAGTCTTGCAAAGAATCGGTCTTAAAAAAACACACCACGTCTTGCGAAGCACGGTCATAGAGAAAGAAAGAAAAAGTCTTGCGAGGCACCATAGTGATCACAAAAACCAATCGTCTTGCAGGTTTTTCATCCCGTGAGGCAATCGTCTAGCGAGGCACCATGGTAGTTTAAATGCTGAGTATTGTTCCCTGTAGCAGAAAACATCAGCTAGATCCCAAGCTTGGTTCAGTAGTCAGGCTCAGAGCTCTCCTGTCTTTGGAATACCATCACTAGTTTCTTCACACTTGATTATATGTCTGCCTCTCCTATAGCCTGCCATGCTTTGTGTAGTCATTTGTAAAATGAATAAAGGGGGTCATTCTTTAAAGTTTGCTGATGCCAAATAATTCAGAATGATAAGATATAACACTGAGATAAAATTAACTCAATGAACAGACCATGAGGTACTAAACAGCACACAAAGACTGACTTCCTGTTGCAGTCCAGAAGAATAAGAGAGCATATCTAAGCTAGAGAGTTTTTAGTTGCTGACATATCACGTTGCTTTGCAGCAAGCTAGGGACTAATATAGTAGGGACGTGGTGGCGCTGCTGTTTAACCTGCAGAAGCCTCTGAGTTGTAAGATCAGAAGACCAGCCGTTGTAAGATCAAATCCACGCAATGGAGTGAGCTCCTGTCTCTTGTCCCAGCTCCTGCCAACGTAGCAGTTCGAAAGCATGTAAACACGAGTAGATAAATAGGTACCACCATGGTAGGAAGGAAATGGTGTTCCATATCTAGTCACACTGGCCACGTGACCACGGAAACTATCTATGGACAAACGCTGGCTCTATGGCTTGGAAATGGGGATGAGCACCGCCCCCTAGAGTCGGACACGACTGGACAGTTTGTCAAGGGGAACCTTTACCTTTACCTAGGGACCAGTATGAAACAACAGGGAAGTATCTTGAGCAACAAGCTAGTGCACACTTGCTTCAAATGAAGTCTCATTGAAATCAGGAGGGCCACTGAGCAAACTTGCAGTGTATCAGCCTGTGAGGTCTGCTTTAGAGCAAAAGGTTTCTCCATAACCATGGTTAGTTGCAGTCCAATGCCCTTGAAATCACTGGAAGAAAGCAAAGGCAGCTGGGGTCTGAAATGGGCAATCCCTTTTTTTTTCAGTCCGTGAACTTAGTACAAGTAAAAAACCTTCTCAAAAGCATCAGCTCTGAATGTTGTTTTCTGCTTTCTTGAAGCCATCTCAAAGTATTTTCCTCCCTGGTCAAACCAGTTTAGCAACTGTTCACTGCCTGGCTTTTTCCCTCACTCCAAAAGCCTTTGTTTATGCATTCAGTTAGAATGCAGGTACTCAAGCGTGAGATTTCAGGTCAAGATTGTAAACAGAATAGAGCTGCATTTCTCATTAACTACAATTTGAAGCCCCTGAATGGTCCCTAAGAAACTGTGTACCTTTGGCACAGCCGTGCATTGTTCCTTTCACTTTGCAGCTGGCAAATGTTGTAGAAACAGATTATCAAACTACAGCCAACACTGGCAGAGGGGAAAAAATGTACGGGAATAAATAAGAGAGGTCTACAATAACCCTTTGGGGTTCTACCTCGTTTATCTTCTCTTTGTACACACACTCGTCCTATTCTCATCCTCTCTCTCTCTCTCTTTCAGTATGGCTCGATGCACCCTGGGAATGGTGCTACCCCTCTGGAGTGATACCCAGGTCTTTCTGGATGGCGATGGGTAAGATGCCCCACCCCTGTCCCATTCACATTACAACTTCATGTTGAAACTGGGAGAAGTTACATTTTTTTTACTACAAGTCTCAGTAGTTCCCAGGTAGCATTCCATTGGCCATGAAGAGCTGGGGGATTCTGGGATCTGAGGTTCAAAAAGTTACTTTTCCAGGGTTTGCTTCATATAATACTAATCCTTACGTTAGCTATAAAACTTTAGCACATGTTTGCTTTGCAAACAGCCTGGGTCACACAGATAGTCTGGAATAATGAAAAGGCATTGTTTGTGTGTCTTTATTATAGCCTTCACATATTTGGGCCTGTGCTGAAGTGGAATAGGCAGGAGATCCTCCCTTCTAACAATTGTCACGGGGGTTAAAAGTGGTATGTAGTTTATCCTGAGTTAATTGTTCAGAAAGGGATTTGGGTTGCTTCTGGATTAACCCACCCTTTCTTCTGCATTGGTGGCAACCAGCATTTTCCCCCTTATTTTCTATGTGCTCTGTTTCTACCTCCCCCCCAAAGAGCCTGCCCTATGCTTCCTCTTCTTATTTCTCATCCTACCATTGTTAATAATATTGATAATAGTATAGCACCACCAACATACACGGCTCTTTATGGAATGCAAGAAAACTGGGCCTTGCTTCCAGTCCCTTCCAATCTAAAACCTGACATAGAGACAAGAGGGAGTGGAGGAGAAAATGGAAGAAGGATGCATGTTGCTTTCAGCTAGGCCTGGAGGTCCAAGGAGATATCTCAAAGTCTTCTCAGAAAATGTAGGATCTGAGGAGTGATTTGTGGGAATCCGGAGAGACTGCCTCACGGAGATGTTCTGAGAGGCCGTTCCAAGGCTGCAGGGCAACCAGGGAGACAGGGAGGGAGCAAGATAAGGTTCAGACTCATGAGGGGGAGGGAAGCTGGCACAGCAAAGATCTTGAGCAGGCATGTGTCTGGAAATAAGAGCAAAGAGACATCATGGGATGTTGATAGCAGCAACAATTTGATTCCCTCGAGGTTTAATGAGGACAGAGGGCCAGTTCAAGACATTTTGGTGCCTTAGACAAAATGAAGTGTAGATGGCATACCCCTTAAAGAAAAAATATACTGGCCTCTTTTAAATGGCACTCAACATTTGCTTTCTGCAGCAATCCATCTCACTCAGCCTGATGCTAGAGCCAGCTCTGTTAGAACATGGGGTCCACAATCCACCCAAACTTACCTGTATTTAATCCAGCCTTATAGGCTGCCTTGCCAGAGTTGGGGAACCATATTCTTTTCCCCACCCCTCACTGTTGCTAGACTGCAACACTCATCAACCCTTACCATGAATTTTGCTCATTAAGGCTGCTGGGAGCGGTAGTCTAAGAAAGAGCACATGGAAGGCTACATGCTCCTCATCCCTTGGTTGTATCCTCGCTATGTGACCCAGTCAGGTCTGCAGGTTCAAAGGTGCTATGAACTCCTTGTATTGGTTCCCCACTCATTTTCCCCCCCAAACCTGTATCTTTTCCAACAGGCACTTTGTAAGATACCTCACTGCCCAGGGTCATTCCTGATGTCTCACTCTTGCCAATTGCATTTGATCTTGGTTACAGCATACATAGCTTAGGGCAAACACAGCTTTAGAAAGTGTTTGAACTTTCTTTCCAGGTGTGATGGTTACATAAGCCTTGCAATGATAAGCACAATGCTGCAGGCGCACAGACTTGGACGTTGTATTTTGCTGTTTTATTTGCAGAACTGCATCATGCAGCTAAACCTATGGAATACCATTTTCATCAGTAATAAATGCTTCACTGAAAAGACCTAAACAATGATCAGTACTCAGATACACACCCTTCCCAAACATACATACTGTATTCTTCCAGACACTGTTTCCATACTGAAAAAGCATGTGTCAGCTTAGACAGGACAATAGCCACTCCTTAAGCCACGAGACAGACTTTTCAGATTTTACTGTCCATTGAAGGAGCTCTCTGAAATTGTACAGTATAATTTGGATTGTACGCTTGGACATAATGAATAAATAACTTGTTTTGTTTAAAGGACATTTCTAGAGACATTTTAAATGCATATTTTCAAGTGATGTGCCATTCATTTATCTATGCTAAGCTTGTTAATTAAAAGAAAACAAACAATGTAACAAGATACTTTTTTTGTAACAAGATATGTTTTTTGGCAACCCATTAAATGAGGTGGGGGAGGGGAGATTAATGCATCAATTTTAACAAGTAACATTGCAAACTCTGAGAACAGGATATAGGGAGACACCTACTGGAACATTGCAATCAGACTTCCAGGGGCCATGGTGAGTGCAGCCGACTGGAAGAACAGTTCATGATCCCAGCCCTTTCCTTGGTCTACATATGCTGAGCAATGACAGGAAGCTGAGTACTTTGCTTCTGAAAATACGTGAATACCCCTACCTTTTTATTTATTTATGTATTTATTTGTTTATTTATTTTATTTTATTTTATTTTATTTTATTTTTTTATTTATTAACAGTTTTTCTACATTTCCCTTACTAAATTCCCTCTTTTTTGTTAAAGGGATTTAGGGGGAAACACAGCATTTTGACCACTGCTGACATAAAGCAAAATCAAGGATGCCTGACATTTTATTTATTAACAGTTTTTCTAAATTTCCCTTACTAAATTCCCTCTTTTTTGTTAAAGGGATTTAGGGGGAAACACAGCATTTTGACCACTGCTGACATAAAGCAAAATCAAGGATGCCTGACTAACCCTGTTCCTCTGTCTTAACAATGGGCAGTCCAAGAGTAATAGTACAGTGCTATTAATCTCCTATATGTTGCCTGGTTCTTATAGAAAGACACTTGATTCCTGCTAAAAAAAAGGAGAATTTCTATATGAAAGCAAATACTCTTTTTTTAAAAAAATCTGCAGAATTAATGGAGAAAATGCTTGGTCTATTAACTTGAACTGGTACAATCAATTTTTTAGAACTCATAGATTAAGTCTTCTGCCGTTGCACAACCAACTTGACTTTTAAATCCTAGGGCCAGAAAGGGCTCATTGTTTCTGCTTCCAAATAGGATTTGGCATTAGGGAGTATCTCAAGAGAGTTATACAACCATGCCAGCCTGTAGCATCTTTATTTCCTTCTTCTGGTACTGCTTCATCCCTGATGGATCATTTCCAAGTGGATTGTGAAATGACTGCCCCCTTCTTTTTCTTTAGGGGCTTCAGTGTTACATCCGGGGGACAAACCCGTATCTTTAAGCCCATCTCGGTCCAGACCATGTGGTGAGCAAAGCTATGGGGCAGGGCACAAAGTGGGTGGGAGAGGATGAATGCATACTTTTGGGGAGAAGAATATAAATGTCATTTTTGCTTTGGGGGGTGGGGTGGGGACTAAATGTTATAAAAGAAAAGGAGAACGATTACTATTAGCAATGGTAAACTCAAAAAGATTTAAAATTTATTCTCTGGAGGAAGAAACTAGATAATGGAGTTCCTCCTCATTTTGTGCTTTACCACCATCCTTGTTTTTCTGTTTGTAACAAAAGACCTCTTTCCCAATGTTCTTTTTTTTTTTTAAAGCAGGGATGGTGAGCCTTGACTTGCAGACTGCATTTGGCCCAGTCCTACCCTTTCATCAAAGTCCTCTTGAATGGCTCTGCAGTCTCAGGGAAGGGAGTAGCGTAGGAGGGGGGTCGCTCCTAGCTAAGCCACTTGCTGAAGAGCACTCCTTGAACTGTCAGCTGGGCCTGCTTTGCTCAGAAAGGAGCAAGTAGAAACAGCTCTTGACTGGTGTACCGGCTTGGCTTGAGGAGTGCCCTTCAAGCTGGGGGCTCTCAGTGTATTTATGTATGGAGGGCATGAGTAGATGCAAGTGAATGGAGTTTGTGTGTGTGTGTGTGTGTTGTGGGGAAAGAAGTACTATGTAAATAGAATCTGTATGATGGCTGGGTGTGTGTGAGAAAAAAGCACTATGAAGCAGTGTATAAGTTAAACAAACAAACAAGGGAGGGGAAAATAAGCAAGAGGGTGATGGGATCTTCCTGTGTGTTGGGCAGAGGAAGGGATTATGCATGTAGTTGTGGGATGTGTGTGAGAAAGAGAAGGGTGAAAAAAATTAAAGGGAAGGTGAGATATGTGAAGAGGGTGGGCGTGCTTGCAGCATCCGTGCAAAGGAGGTCCAGGCAAGCAACCCTAGTGGTAAGAATGTTACCACTCACTTGAGGCATGTAGCCCCTCCTTATTTGCCTACAGCCAATTCAATCCTTGGGCCAAGAAAGGGTGGGTCTAAAGAGGCTAATATGAAATCAGGCTCCCAGTCCAACCACTGGGGCTGTGCTGTCTACCATTCCGGGTCCTTCTTCTGTTCCATAATATTTTCCTAATGTTTTTCTGGCTGTCATCTCTGCCCTCAGGTCGGCACTGCAAGTGCTACACAAGGCCTGTAGCGAAGCCGTCTGCAACAATCATTTCCCAGGAGGCAGTGCTTTGAACTGGACAGAGTGGTATCAGAAGGCGGTGAACTCCGAGCAGAGCTGCATTCATGAATGGCTAGCCATGTCCGACTTGGAGTCTGTGCGCCCCAGTTCTCCTGCAGCCTTCTCTGACCAGTCAGTGATGCCCTCCCCACCCCCACCCCCACCCCCCAGGGCTGGTTGAAATGGTTCTCTTGGTGGCTCAAAGGAGAACCATCGAGTCCAAAATAAGGACACTTGGGGTGGTCTTGATGGGGTCTCCTGTACTCCTTTCCCCTCAAACCGTAGGTGTCCACTTCTGCAGCCCAGGCCAGTCACCAAGAGGGAGATAAGAATTTGGGGGAGAGAAAGAGGCTGATTGGGGACACTGATTAGAGCAAAATCTCCCAACCCCCATGCTTATATCAGCCCTATTGCATATTTTTTTTCAGTCCTGAGTGAATAAACTATCAAGGAAAAGGAAACACTTCAGGACAATATGAGATTTTATTACCCTGCTGCCATTATGGGGGTGGTGGGGTGGTGGGATGGCAATATAGGGAAGAGCTGGTCTGGGGTAGAGCCTGGTATGCCGAGATCTTTGCCAAACTTCCGTCTCTGTGCCTCAGGCGAACAGCTCAGGAGATGACAGAGCGAATGATCCGGGCCAAGCTGCGTGAGGTGATGGCCACCACCGACCTGGAGAACATCACCTCCAAGGAGGTGGGATGATGAGGCAAGAGGATGCTGCAATAGAATGTTAAGGGGTTTATGTGTGTGTGCGCACATGTATACAGGAAAAGACAATGTGATGGAAGGGAGATTTATGTATGAGGTGGATATGGGGTGTGGACACAGGAGAGGGACCCATTGGGGCAGGGAAGGAGAACCAATTGGGGGGGGCCCTCTGGGAACAGAAATTTTGGGAACGATGGGTAAAGGTATGCAATGAGAGAAGAGCCCAACTGGGGCATGAGTGACATATTCACAGGCTCCCTTTTTTCTTCCAAAGATCCGTGCAGAACTGGAGCGGCGAGCTGGCTGTAGCCTGAAAGACTACAAGGAGTTTATTGACAATGAAATGCTGCTCATTATGGCTCAGATGGATCGGCCCTCCAGGATCTTTGACTACCTCTTCCTGGTGAGAGAGTACAAGAAAGGATCTCTGGGGTTCCACCCCACCCCAATTCCTTCCAGCCCCTCAGATTCTTCCCATATGGTAGAACGATGGAGGTCTTGCGGCTCTTTGCGGCCTCCCTAATGACTACATCAAAAGCGATGTTCAGATTAAATTATGCCGCAGCATCCCATCAATTTCTCATTAGAGAACTGTTTTCTAGAGATGGAGCTTTCGTGCCTAGCAATTTATGAGTGTCGACTAATCCTTTACAGCTGATTGTTTTCAGCATCGTATGAAATTAACAGGATGTACTTTTTGAACAGTATAGTCTTAATTGGATAGTTTTATTGCTGCAGGTGTAAAACACAAGCAAAGTATGAAAAAGCAAGTTTTATTTTCTCCTTTGAATGGAGTTGTGCTAGAGCCTATGGTAAACAATTCTGCCATCAAGTAACAAGTTCCATTCTCTCTTCCTCTATTCTTTAGTTGTGATCCACTTACTCCATATTGTTTACTACCTGCTATAATTCAGAAATGAATGCCATAGTAGGCATGAAGTAGAGAGAGGGTGATAGACTTCAGTAGGATCCAGAGGAAGAAGTTGGGCCTTTCTTTTTCTGCAGTGGTGCTCCTGCTCTATTACAGGGAACATGGAAGTAATTTTATGTAGATGAAAGTCTGGTATTGTCCTCTTACCTAAATGATAAAACATAGGTGCAGGAATTTACATATACCTGGGAGTGAGTGCTATTGAACATAGAAAGCCTTACTTATGAGAAGGAATGTGTAGAACTGCAGTGTTAGGCGAAATAGCTGATTAATTTCTTGCATACATTTATGTTTAAACTTTTAAAGTTTTTTTTAAATAATCAAATGCAGATTGAAGTACCCATACCGTCCAAGTGCTCTGTCACCGTGTATGCCCTCTAAGGTGCATGAAAGATACATTGACTGGCTGTAGCCCCGGATATTAAAACAAAGCATTCCAGTAAGAGGGCTTTAAAAATATATTAGCAGTTGTTAACCATTGTGTCAACTCAAGCTCATGAGCTTGCTAAATGTGTCATCCAGCTCTAGGATCCCTGGGGCCAGAGACATTTAACGAGCAGGTCCAAAACATGTGTACCGACAGTAGCTTGTCCATAGTCAGACTGACTTCTGTGTCTTGTCCCATTTTTTCCTCAGGGCTCTGAGTGGAATGCAGCCAACCTTGAGGAACTCCAAAAGAACAGGTGTGTGGTCTATACCTATACAACATTACTAGCACCTTGAGGAAGTTCATCTGATTGAGAATCCCCAAACCTTGAGATGAAAATTTGCCAAGATTCTCGGTTTATACTTGTTTTTCAGGTAGAAGGGATGTCCACTTACACTTTTGATTTTATTCTCAGATCCTGAGGGGGGGGGTGAACTGGGAACAGATCTAGGTAACATTACTACAGTGGTGCCTCGCTTAATGATTTTAATTGGTTCCAAAAAATCATCGCTATGGGAAAACATTGCTAAGCGAAACACGGTTTCCCATTGAAATGCATTGAAAACCGGATAATCCGTTCCAATAGGAACAGATTGCCGTCCTTAAGCGAAAATCGCCATAGGAAACATCGCTAAGCGAAACACAGTTCCCCAACTGAAATGCATTGAAACCCATTCAATGCATCTCATTGGGAGGAAAAGTCAACAACAAATTAAAAAAGAGTCAGAACAAAGTCAAATTTGGTTAACAAAGGGTTTATTAAGTGCACTTTATGATTTCAAACATTTTACACAGTAAACTTTAACTTTATAACATTTAAAAAACAGCAAACATGAGGCTGTTTAAACCATCATTAAGCGAAACAGGGGACCCAAAAACCTAAGTGTTATGCGAAGCATGATCCCGAAATCGCTAAGCGAAAATCGCCCATAGGAAACATCGTTAAACGGAGCGCAAAAATGCTCCGAAAAAGTCATCGCTAAGTGAATTCATCATTAAACGAAGCGCTCATTAAGCGAGGCACCACTGTATTTTAGATTGCAATAGGCCACACTGGCTGAGGGATTCTGGGAGCTGTAGTCTAACAAAATGTCATTTTCCAGCTTGGATGTTGAGGGCCCAGTTGATTCCCTGCTATATTTTCTAGAGTCACCCACATACTTAATGTGACCCGTGAGATTGACAACTTCTTCCCAGACCAGTTCACTTACATGAATGTGCGGCTGTATGACGAGGAGACCTCCCAACTGCTACCACACTGGACAGACACCTACAGCTTCATTTCAGATGCCCGGTGAGAAGTGGGCACCAAGATAGAAGATGTAGACAGGAACACGGCTGCAGCATCGTGCATTGCAAAGAGGTTAATTAACATTGCCCCAGTCCCGTTGAGGGCAGTGCATGCACGGAAATGGGCCTCTGCGAGTGAATCCTTGGGCTGAGCTGGCTTGGCGTGGGAGGACCCACTTCATGAGAAACACTCCCCACTTCCCAAACGCCATGTGCATGTAGGGACCCATTTCAGCAGTTGTTTGAGAGGGCCTGCAAAAATGGTGGCCGTTTTGATCCATTCTCTTCTTTCCTCTTTTCACCGTAGATGTTCTTTGGGGACATCCCTGCTGCCTCTCCTGTCTCAACAGGATCAGTTTCTACCATGTGACTGGTTTCTAATTCTGAATCCAGCACTTTCTGACAGACAAGCATGGGAATTAGTAAAGGACAGGTATTGCCAGGTCTGACGGCAAGCAATGGGTCTGGAGGAGCAAAAGACCAAAGCCAGCTACCTCCTCACTTGTTAGAAGGTTGCTAGTTTACAGCCTCTTGTCACTAATGGGAACAATGCCGGCAAATTTCCTCTGTTTGCCAAAGCAGGGAGCCCTGCCGCTTGAACAAGCAGAATTCTTTCCAAAGGAGTCTCAAGTGTTGCATTCTTCCGAGATCACTATCAGTCACTGCTGCCTCGTCAGAATACAAGGAATCTCTGGCTTGACAACTGTTAGCCCCCTCCCCAAAAGAGGGTATCTTGTATGGGCTGAAATTGGGGCATCTGGATACTCAGTCGTGTGTTTTGCTTTGTTTTCTGGGTGGGGGTATCTTGTCTGGGCTGAAATTGGGGCATCTGGATAGTCGTGTGTTTTGCTTTGTTTTCTGGGTGTTGAGATAGCACTGCTTACAGCTACAGTTGTCCCTTGCAGGACACGAGATTGTCGAGTGCTGGTTCACTGCAAGATGGGTGTGAGCCGCTCAGGCTCCACGGTGATTGCCTATGCCATGAAGGAGTATGGCTGGTCACTGGAACAGGCCCTTGGCTATGTGCAGGAGCGGCGCCCGATCGTCCACCCCAATCCGGGCTTCATGAGACAGCTAGAGTTTTACGAGGGCATTCTGGATGCCAGGTAACTGCAAGACACAGGTGGGGAGAGAATGGCTGGTGTGCATACAAGAGGGTCCATGGGACTGGTGGGCTTGCAGCTCTTCAGGACTGTCTTAACACTTACATAAAAAATAAATACAGAATTATTGGTGTTTTTTCAAGGACCAAACAGGTTACATTACAGCCTGGGCAACAGGGCTCTGCAGATCTCATCTGACCTAGAAAACTAACTTCAAAGAGGTCAAGCTATTGAGATCAGAGAAGAAGAGGTGGGGGTGGATGCTTAACTCATCCCTCTGTCTCCCAGGAATTTAAGTACTTGTTTGCAAGGCACGTGTGCATAAAGTCCTCAGTGGGGGCATGAGGGAAATTAATGGCCTGAGCAAGCAGGGAAATATTGAGCACTCCCCACTGCTTCTTCAGTGCCCATTCAAAAGGGCCGTTTGGTATTGTTGTTACACACTGTCTTTGTTTCAGGATGTCTAGTCAATAAACTAGTTGCAGCAAAATTCACCCATAGAAGACTGCAGCTAAAACAAGAAAGGAATTTGTTATGGTTTCTAAACAGTTTCATTTTCCAGCTGTCACTGTAATCTGACCTTAAGTCTTTTGCTTAGTAGGTTCTTTCCCAAAAAGTGACACCACATTTTTACTCATTTGTGGTAGCAGCACAGCAGCATGTATAAACATCTGAATACATGGTGCCTCGCACAACAAGGTTAATCCGTCCCAGATTAACCCTCGCTGTGTGAAACATCGCTCAGCTGAAAGTAAAAAGCCATTGGAATGCATTAAACAGCGTTTAATACGTTCCAATTCGGCCGAATACTCACCGTTGTGCGATGTTTATTTATTTATTTATTTATTTACAATATTTTTTAGCCGCACCATTGCCAGTGGCTTCTGGGCGGCGTACAACATTAAAACCTAAAAACATTAAAAACATTTTAAGAAACAGTATAAAATACCATATATTAAAATATTTCTTAAAACAATTAAAACATTAAAATTAATTAATTAAAATGCTGGGTGAACAGAAAGGTCTTTGCCTGGCGCCGAAAGGCCAAGAGTGTCGGAGCCAGGCGGATCTCTACCTTCGTTCTGCGATTTTCGCCCATTGGGGCCATTGCTCTGCAATCGCATTAGCGATCGCAAAAGCGTCATCGTAGAGCGAATTCATCGCTCTACAGGGCGCTCGTTGTGCGAGGCACCACTGTATACCATTCTCACTATGTACTGTATCTTTCTGCAGCAGGAACAGTAGCCTGTGGGAACAGAAGGTTGGAGATACCCACTCAGAAGGCTCTCCGGATATAAGTGATGCCAGCAGTGATCTTTCAGGAAGCCCAGATTATGAGACTCTCAGCTCAGAAGAAGACTCTGTGGAGCCAGTGACAACCCCCCAGTATTGCTTTCGACCTTTGAGGGAACCGCCTGAAGAACCCAGCCACCCTCTTGACATCCCTCAAGGCCCCCAACTTGGCCTTCAGGCAACAGAGGAACCTGGGGCATCAGATGACTCAGGAGCTGAAGAAGTGCGAAGACATTTGGCTACCATGAGAGTACCTGAGAAACCAGCCACACTTCGACGGGAGCGCATTAATCTCTATGCTGTCATGCGCAGCATCAGTGAGATGGATAGCCCAGAACTCATCCCTGTGCCAGTAGAGAGTGCCACTGAGGAAGAGGTATGGCAGTGACAAAGGGGCCAGTTGATGTAGTAAGCAACCTAGAGGCAAGGAGTAACAGAGCCTGGAATACCATAAGAAACAAAGTGTCAGTGCATACTTAGATGCTGAGCGAGGGGCAACAAAGCTGGAACCTATGGGGCTTAGAGAGGAATGGCACCAGTAAAATGAAGGGGAGTCCTGATGAAACTCAAATTATCTCTTCTTCCCCCAACAGGTATTTCTTCATGCTGAGAAGAAGACCCCTGTGAACTCTGAACTATCTTCTCAAAATGAGGAGAATTTAAGTTCAGCAACTGACTCTACAGCTAAGAGGTCCTTGCCAAGGGTAGAGCAGGCACATGGTCGCAGGCCTAGGCAATGTGGGCGTAGGGCTTCTCGGGGCCATTCCCAGCCCTGCAAGCAGCTCTCATATCACCCAGCATCAGGTAGGGTGCGGAAAGTTGTCCGGCACATGGAGGGTCCTGTCCCATATGCCCGGAAGCCTGCTTTGCAGCACCGCCTCTCTGTGGCTCAGTTGGCAGATGCTGCTCTAGTGGTGAGTCGGACCAAAGAGTTTGAAGGACAGACAGATCCTGAAAGTCCTCAAAAGCTTCCATCGCCGCCTTCAAAAAATTCCCAACCTGGAGAAAACACTGCCCTCTGTTCCGTGCCTTCCTCCCGGACTCGGCGGATGGTACGTCAGGCCAGTGTTGACATGGACCCCAGCTTAGGATGAACAGTCACTGCCTTTCTCCTCTTCAATGTCATTCAGTGGAGCAATTCATGCAGCACAAAGGCTAAACAGAGGTGTTTTCCTTTATACTGGAGTCTTCCTCCTGCATAAGCATTAATGGCATTTAGCCATCATGAACACTATCGGAGGGGAGCACAGGGCACAGGAAGAGAAGAAAAATGCGTCAGTAGACAGAAATATTTTACATGTTCATCTCCACCCCTTTCCTTGAGGAGCAAAACCAGCATTTTTATGGGGCACTCCTTCCGTCCACTTGTCTTAGACCTCTTAATAACCTCTGAACCTGTACAGCTTTGGATTCTACATCCTGCAGACCAGTTCTGCTCACGTCTTTAGCTTGTATTGGATGCCACAGGGCTTTTGGACATGGGACCAGGGCAAGAGCTCACACTGTGATTGAGAAGGAGCAATTGGCCCCTTCTTATTTTTGCACACAGATACACTCATTGTGTCATTGCCAGCTTCGCTCTGCCTGAAAATAAAGAGTTTTCTCACTTTTCCACTGGTGGTCGCCTTAGTCTAGTCCTTTCTCTTAAATTACATTCCACTGTGTGAACTTCATTCAGCAGAAAGAGAAGGGGCAGTTTTTTTTCCCTCAGGACAGAAATCCTGAGAGGAGTTTCTGGCCTTAAACAAGACTATCAATTTATGTACATAGAACTGCAGGGCTGGCGCAAGATATGTTGCTGCCTGAGAAAAGGATAACATCTTGCCCTGACTTGCTGTAGTACAGGAGACGAGGCGGCTGAAGCCCTCTTGGAGTGCCGTTTCTCCCTAAGGCCAATAAAGGAGTACAAACCACGGCACCGCCAACTCTGCCCCGGATGGTACATCAATGTATAGACACCCAAGAGATGGAGTCAAGTATGAAAGGGTTGTGTGGCTACACAAACAGAGGTTTTGGCGGGAAAGGGAGGAGGAGGACAGTCTACAGTTGAGAGAGGTCTAGGAGATATAAATACCGCCCGGGACAATATACCGGGGGGTTGGGAATTGATCTGGGTGCAGGATCCCTGGACCGGACTATGGGAACAGGTGAAAGTCTCCAGGGAAGAGGCTGATTACAGACGGCGTAAAGGACTGCCCCAACGACCCTCGTACTGGGGAGAATCCGAGGCAAGGGAGTGACAGAGAAGGCTGAAAGAAGAACGGGAAGCAGTCACCAGAGAAGCTGAAGAATGTAAGGCATAGTGAGCAGAAGTACGTCGGAGGAGATACCCCCCCCAGACCGTGGTCAGGGAGAGGGATCACCGTTATGGGGATATGAGGGAGATGAGGAAACCTTACCCTTACTCATAGACGATGTGTTGGGAAGGGATTTGCCAGAACTCACCCCTCACACCCCAGGACTTTGGGAATCTAAAAGTTTGAACCCATTTGAAACGGAACTTTGGTTGCCCCAGGTCTCTCAGGAGAAGTTATCTAAACATGATGTTAATGAACAGTTATTGTTAGAAAAGGAAATAAAACACAAGAAAGCTTTGGAAATCAAAACATCCCCTGGTTTATTGTTTAAAACTGGGGAGGCAGAGACTGAACCCTCACACTTGCATACAGAGGCTGATGGGACTGCCATATGAATTTTACTTCAGCATCAACATTGAGGTGACCTTCACACCTGTGGCTCATTTAAAGTGTCTGGAACACACACATCGCTCTGTTTTCCTGTGGGGGTGGAGGAACAGTAGGGAGGGTGTCATTGCTGCCCGCCCCCAGCCTAATTCAGATCTTTGCCTAATAAGAGGACCAGCCTTGTTAGAACAGCCAGCCATTAAAAGACCTGATATCTTATTTGCACAGTGGTTTCAACCTGGCCTTAAATTAGCAGAACACACAACAGCACAGGCGACAAGGCCTGGCTTGCTGCCCAGAGATTGCTCTGCGCTAAGTGGGTCCTATACAAGCTGAAATAATAAATATAGTCAGTTTACAGACAGCGAAATAGATTGTTCTGACAGACTCCTTATGGGCAGTATTTGACTGAAATCCTCACAAACAACAAACACAGAGCAGGCAAAATGAATGAGCAAGGGTCTGTTTACAAAAGGCTGGGCAAAGGAAAAACAAACAATTTGAAGATTACAAAGTTGACCTATATAAACAGAAACAACATAACAGACATTCTCTGGATGGATCCACCCACATAACTGGTTGGTTTGTGAGGTGGCGTTAGGAGCTAGAGCAGTTTGGGGGGAAAAAAGGTTACTCGTTGTACTATAAGACTCGAAATCTAACAGCCAGCAGAGCCACTGATCCAAAAGCATTTTCCCCAAGGTTTGGGCTAGGATTTCACAGCTGCTGTGATCCCCAGACCGGCTTCCTCGTTGTGTAAGACCTGCACCCTTACAATCACTCCGTTCCTAAGGGGCTGTCGCGTTGCTGTGTTTCAGCATGTGTAACAAAAAAAAGCGAAAACCCTCTTTCAACACCCGTAACAAAAAGAAAGCAAAACTTCATATATATGTTAACTTTTAAGACTAACATAAGATTTCGTCCTGAGCCTTCCTTGGACACAGGTTTCGATCCACGGTGGTACCTTTCAAGGCAGTTTATAACCGAAGCGACGAGCCTGCTGAGTTATGAGAGGACTCGTTAAACCCATATTGGCTACAGCACCCATCTTTCTACACGGGTGGCCATTTTAACCTGCTTGTACGGCAATAAAACATCGCGGGTCGAAAGAACGATTCTTCCCAGCGTCCCTTTCTTTCTGGCTCACGCCTGCGCCGTGGCATTCTTGCTGCCACGCATTTTGGGATCTGTAGTTTTTTCGACGACCCCTTCCCCCAGCCGGTCTACGATTGCCTCATTTCATCCCTGTTAATGAACATAGATACAAATACAGTGGACCTTACCGTTTAGAAGGAAAAATCCAGGTGTATTTTAGAAGCAATATTGAAAATGGGAACTGTCTGCAGAAACCAGGAGTCATAAACCCATGGTTTTAGCGCAACAGCGACTGTGCAGCACCGCGTTCCTTCTGAAGCTGAAATACAACATTTTGTGCTCTGTCTGGTCCTATTTCGTGTCGTCGTAAAAGTCCCACTTACGGCGACGCTTCTTTGCCTTTTCCAGTTATTCCGAAGGGACTTTCCAGTGCTGGAGATGATCTGGGGCTCTTGTCACTTGCCCAAGGCTACACAAGCTGCCTCTTTCTCGCAAGGAGGCACAGGGGGGGATTGAACTCCAGTGGTCTAACTCAGTGGGCTATCCAGCCATTACTCTTAATACTGCAAATCAGATGCAAGGTTAAGGGCGGCTTGGATTTCCAGAACAACGCTGTATAAAAAATCTTTCAAGTTGCAACAAAATATTAAGCAACCTAAGTCCCCCGCAACTTCCAGCTCAAATACATCGCTTGTAGCTCGTCCAGAAGCCCCGTTTGCTGTTGACTTCCGTGCAGAACTTTGATTTCCGTGTGTCGCGCGGGGCTTTTAATAAATGTCCCCGCTAACATCTGAAGGAAGACAGAGGATTCCTTTGTACTGTATATGATCCCTTTGTAATGTATATCAGTCTACGGTTTCTATTCTAGGTGCGGAAATAAAAGCAAACAAAACTACAATTGCCTCTTTCTCGCAAGGAGGCACAGGGGGGAATTGAACTCCAGTGGTCTAACTCAGTGGGCTATCCAGCCATTACTCTTAATACTGCAAATCAGATGCAAGGTTAAGGGCGGCTTGGATTTCCAGAACAACGCTGTATAAAAAATCTTTCAAGTTGCAACAAAATATTAAGCAACCTAAGTCCCCCGCAACTTCCAGCTCAAATACATCTCGCAAGGAGGCACAGGGGGGAATTGAACTCCAGTGGTCTAACTCAGTGGGCTATCCAGCCATTACTCTTAATACTGCAAATCAGATGCAAGGTTAAGGGCGGCTTGGATTTCCAGAACAACGCTGTATAAAAAATCTTTCAAGTTGCAACAAAATATTAAGCAACCTAAGTCCCCCGCAACTTCCAGCTCAAATACATCGCTTGTAGCTCGTCCAGAAGCCCCGTTTGCTGTTGACTTCCGTGCAGAACTTTGATTTCCGTGTGTCGCGCGGGGCTTTTAATAAATGTCCCCGCTAACATCTGAAGGAAGACAGAGGATTCCTTTGTACTGTATATCGGTCTACGGTTTCTATTCTAGATCTAACTTCGCCCCTTAGATGCGGAAATAAAAGCAAACAAAACTACAATAACCACCATACCCTGCGGCAAGCTCTGAGACGCATGCGCAGAAAGCTTCTCCTTTTGTTGCTATGGGAGCCTGTTACAGGAAAGCTGTCAGGACAAAGTTTAGTCGGAGATCCTGCGTTCTTTTTCTTATTTCACGGCGGTGATTTTGAGGGTCAAGGCCGCTTTTTCGCGATCGTTGTCGCCATGGTGACTCTAACGCTGCGCCGGCCTGGCTAGCGATGCCGCAGGCAGAGGAAGGAGCCAGAGGGAAAAGCTCCGAGCCCCTGCCTGGGATGATGATGGCGCGCCCCCAGATCATCCACAGCGGCCACTTCATGGTGTCGGAGCCACACGCGGAGCCCGACCCGGATCCAGACCCCAATCCCGAGGGGGTCCTGAGCCCGGGGGGCTCCGCCGCTTCGTGCCTGACGGGGCCGGGGCCGGGGTCGAGGCCGGGGTTAGGCGCGGCGGAGCGAGAGAGGAAGGCCGCCTCGGGGGAGAAGTCGGCCCAGGCCGGGAAGGCCAGTGGCCGGGCCGGTTACGACTTCGACACGGTGAACGAGGGGACGTGCCAGATCTACCGCTACGGCCCGCGGAGCAGCGGAGCCCTCAACATCGACGCCTCCCTCACCAAGCTCTTCGAGTGCATGTCGCTGGCCTACAGGTGAGGAGGAGAGGGAGGGAGGGAGGGGGCGGAGGGCGCAGCCCGTGGCTGGGGAGGCGCGCGGGGGGGGGCGGGCTAACTGGGGCGGGGGAGAGTGCCGTCCACTGTGCAGGGCAAGGCAGTGCCCGCTTTCTCTCCAGGGTTTGCCCTCAGGAGCACGCCGCCGGGGTTGCTTACCTGCTTGGCTCAGCTTAGAAGCAGCAGCTTAGCTGCCTTACTTCCAGTCGTTGGCTGAGCTTATTCTTCTAAGGCCGAAATATCTGATCCAGTACTGCATGCCCACAGTGGGCGACCAGGTAGATGCCCAGGAAATGCTCCCAAGAAAGACATGGACGGCTCTAGCTGCCATCCACAAGCAGGCTGCCTCTGACGCTGGTGGGAAGGAACAGAGATCAGGAATCATTGCCAGGGATGCCCATTCCTTTGCAGAATCCCATTTTCAGACAATCCAACATGGTGGCCATCACTGCATCCTGTGGTATCGAGGAGCTGCAATGGAGAAGTATTTCTATTTGTCTTGAATTTTCTACCATCCAGCTTCATCATATGGCAGTGGGTTGTAATATTATAAGACGGAAAACACATTTCTTTCCCACTTCCTCCTCATGGATAATTTTATCCTTTTCTGTCACATCTTACCCTCTATTTGGAGCTAAGCGAAAGAAAACTCCAAATATTGTAATCTTCCAGTCTCTTGATCATTTCACTCCTCTTTTGTGCAATTTTTTTCCCTAACATATCCTTTTTGAAGAATATTGTCTGGTTGCCTAGTGTTGTAATCAGTGCTTTCACCTAGGGCATAAAAGTGTGTTTTGCATTTTTCTTACACCTCTATACTGCATTAAAGCATTCTAGTTTTAAAAGTTATTTTCTATTTCCACGTATCCCTTTCTTGGTTACACATAGATAGCATAAGTGAAGTTCAAAATTTCTGTTACTGTCATGTATGAACACAAAATAGCAGCCAGGGGAAGCAGACTGTTCAGAAACAGAGGAACATTAAATAGTTGAAACCAACACATTTTTCTATACTGTGTTTTTTTAAATGATGTTAAATGATAAAAGCAATAACAATAATAAACACAATAAAGAGTCTTCTTATCAGGAGAAAGGTGACAAAGGAAGGAAGGAAGGAGCTGAGGAAGGAAGGAAGTGTAATACAAATGATATTGTCTTAGCATCTATCCAATAAGATAGAGTAATGGACTATGTCTCAGGAGACTTGGGTTCAATTCCTTGGCTTCGTCATGGAATCTCACTGGGGGTGTGGGACTGGTAAACCTATTCCTTAAATCCCTCACTTACCTTGAAAACCCTACTAGGGTCACTATAAGTCAGTTCTGAATTTATGACACATAACAACAGTCTCAGCACCATCTGAACTATACATGTTAAATCTTTGGAATATAGGAACTTGCCTTATACTGAGTTAAATCCTTGGTCCACTTAAGCCAATATTGTCAAACTCTGACTGGATGAAATGGCTCTTCAGGGTTTTAAGCAGGATTCTCTCTTAGCCAGATTGGGACCTGTGGCATGCCTGCCAAGGGAGAGATTCCTGTTGCTCTCTTGCCAAATCTTTCTGGTTAGATTGTATCTTAAATACATGGCCTTCATTCACAATTAAGCATTTCTTAAACTTTGTCTGATTTGTTCAATTACTAGTCAGGTTCCTTAATCATAAACAAAAGTGTGTTCTCTTCAATATCTGGAAGCAGGTTGCTTTAAATAATAGAAGCTTATGTTGAGGTTGTGGAACAGTGGGTATACAATTGCCATGACTTTAGGTTAGACATGCACAAGGACTATAACTGCTATGCCTTCAAACACTACTAATGTATTATCAAAGAGCTGTGGGTAGGGAAAGAACATGAGAAAATTTGCCCACCATCGTCCATGTCTGTCATTTATTCCTATATGGTTAGACTACATGAAAACTGACAGAATTCTACAAATTACTAATTGTCTTGTCACAGAGCATATATTTCTGCCTCTGCTTCCCTTTCTTCATCCTAATGGAGATAATTTGCAAACTCTTGGGTGCCATTCTGATTACTAAGGTGAGGACTTGCCTGTTCTGCATACAGTAATTCAGTTTCAACTCTGTTATTTATGTTTATTTTGTTGAAACTGAAGGAACGTCCTAAAGCTTTCAAATTGGTTTCAATATTTCTGATGAGTAGAGGAGCAATTAAGCTGTGCAATGAAAGAAGGGCCCAGGAAAGTTATGAAATTTCCTTGGAGACATTTTTTAAGGGCTATGTAGCCAACTGTTTGGAATATTCATTGAGACAGTATTCAGACTAGATTGATAAGAAATCTGCAGTCTCCCGGTCACATATGGTGACCAGAGCTCTTGATTTATGGCATTGTGCCTCTTTCTTTCTTTTTTTTAGAAGTAACTTTTGACCTGGTTTGCAGAGATAAATTGAACATGTAATGGTAAAAACAATAACAGCCTCTGTTTGAATCTCAATGCCAAGCCATCTGTCCTCTTCTGGTCTTTGGGCTTTTCCCCAGTTCTATAAATAATTAAAATGAACAGTGCTGCATTAGAACAAACTTTGGTCAGTGTTGTGTCCCTGAGTGATGTTCAGCACGCAGTTGTAACATAGCAAAGACTATCCTGACCCTTAAAAAAAAGATGTTTTCCACATAGCATTTTTGCACCACCTCATTTAAATACTTTGACTTCACTTTTCAAGGCAGAAGTCCTGCATAAAGTAGCTTACAATATTTTGACCTATTATAAACAAAGAACAATAATTAATTATTTTACAAATTCCTAATTTTGTTGCAGTTTTACAAGTAAAATTCCAATAGATAGATCAAGCTGTTAGAATGTATTTCTCATCAGTATGTTAGCAACAAAATAACCATAATTGTGACTATATGTAAGCATTATCTTTTTGTAAGGGAAAAAGGCATGGAGCAACTTTAGGTCAAGAGAGGGGGAAATACCCTGTGAAGCCATCTTCAGTTATTTGGAATACTGCTTTCCTTTTGTCTAACATTCTCAGTAGAGATGACTAAGTGACAGTGACAAAGGACTTCTGGCTGGGAAGTTTAAGGAAGCCTCTAGGTCTAGACTAAAACCTGGGGCAGTGAGTGCTTGCAGTAAGGAAATGGCTTCTAGTTTTATTTCATTATCTCTTTCTTTTCCCTTTAATGGGTAGATACAGATTGCCCTGGATATGTTAACCAACATAGTTTTAATGCATTTCCTTTTCTATAACTGCCTAGGTTGTCACATTGGGAACCATGGCTTTATTTTGGCATCTCAGTATTAACATATTTACTAAACTATCAAAGGTTTTTGCAAATTCTTGTAAGTAATGTATTATATTTTTGATCTTTTCAAGGCTGTTTATTAGCCATGTAACTGAGGTATCAGCCTGGCCTTATTTACCATTGAGACACTCTCAGACTGGAGTGATTTTGACCAAGGTCCTGTCATTTGAGTAGAAAAAGGAATGTGGATTCTGACCTCTTTGGTCTTCATGCAGTTGCTCAGTGAAACAGCTGCCAGGTTTGAAATGTTAGAGAGTGCAAGGAGGTGATTAGAGAATGTACTTTGTTACACTTGACATGTGGGATGTTGGTGAGCATTCACGTGAACATCAGAAGGGTACGATGTCACTGTGTCTTGATTCTGATTAGACAGGGAGAGTGAGCAGTATGACAGCTGCTAATGTCAGCTTGAAATCCTGAGAGGTTGGCTTATTAGAACTAATTTTTGCCAAGTAGCAGATGATATCAAGGAGTATACGTAGATAGGACACTGTTCTTTTTCTAACAATGAAGAGAAGAAACAACTGAAGTAAATTCCCTGTACAAGTTTTTTCATCATTTCGGTTACTTAAATCAAAACTTAATTTGTGTGTTAGAAAGAGATACTTTTACTGATCTAGGTAATTACTGTTTGCAAAATACATCTCCTTTACTTAAACATGTTTCAAATTGTCCTTGTACCATATGCCTCCGAGTTGTTTAGTTTAGTGTATTCGGGAAGGCTTTCACGGCCAGGGTAGTTTCTGTTCAGAAATATTTGTCCAGCACTTCTCACAACGGGAGTTCTGCTACAGTAATGGTGCTGGCACCCGAACGAACACCTCAGGTAGAAGAGTAGAAGCATGCCCTACCTGCCACCTAAATCTGAGTGCTTCTTTCTTTCTTTCTTTGATCAGGGCCATAAGGCTTTCCACACAGAAATTCACATTGATCGTGTCATTTTTATTGCAAAATTTTTTCCTGACACGTGGAGGTACAACAGAAGAACAGGAAGAGAAATGTATGTAGAAAACTGTGTTAGGCTCAGGGCAGAGCTTCTGGGACCAGCAAAGCTTCTTTTACCTGTTCATGACCTCCAGTTGTCTTTCCATTTGTGATCCCACTGCTTCTCTCTCCATTTGCCATAAAATCCAAAGATGAAGAACCAATCATCCAAGCACTGACTGTATCTTTGCAAAGATGAAAATGTTATTGGTTTCCTTTGAGCACATAATTTACTTGCTCTCCTTTTATTACATAGAATAGAAAATACTGTGGCTATATAGTTGGAAACACCCAGTGTGGTGTAGTGGATAGAGTGATTGGCTAGGACTCTGGAGAATCAGGGTTCGAATCCCCACTTGACCATGAAAACTCATACAGAGAATGGAACTGGTAAAACCACTTCTTAAATATCTCACTCACCTTGAAAGTCTTATTAGGTTTGTTCCAACTTGACGGGACATAAATAACTTATATTGTCAGGATTGTTAGAAAAATATTCGTGCCTATTATATTTTGGCTTTTCTTGCTGTTCTCAGGTTTGTTGACAAATCTAGTTCCTCTTGAAAACAAGATACAGTATATTGAAAGTACTACAATGGGCTTTGTTTCCTCATTTCTAGTGGGAAAATTGTCTCTCCCAACCTATTATATTTTGGCTTTTCCTGCTGTTCTCAGGTTTGTTGAAAAATCCAGTTCCTCTTGAAAACAAGATATATTGAAAGTACTACATTGGGCTTTGTTTCTTCATTTCTAGTGGGAAAATTGTCTCTCCCAAATGGAAGACCTTTAAGGGGCTGAAGTTGCTACAACGTGACAAGATCCGCCTCAATAATGCCATTTGGAGGGCCTGGTATCTGCAGTGTGAGTACCGTGTAACAGAGTGATGTCAAGGGCTGACATGTTCATTTTGTTTGAAAGCAAGTGTTGTCTGTTAGCTTTGCAGCCAAGGGAATTATTTAATACAGAATTCTGGAATATAAGCAAAACATCACAAAAGCAAGAGTCATGTACTTAATAGCTTCTGGAGACAAAGTTATCTTGTAGTTTGTTGGATACTGAAATCAGAGTACAGTGGTACCTCAACTTACGAACGTCCCTACTTGCGAACAGAGCCTCGACTTATGAAGCAAAAAAAGAAAAAAGAAAAAAGAAAAGAGAGATCCTCAACTTATGAACCAAAAAAGAAAAAAGAAAAGGAAAAGAAAAGAAAAAAAAACACCTTTCCTGACCTTTTTTTTTTGACATAAGTTCACCTTAGGTCAAAAGAAGAAAAAAAGTTAAAAAATTCGCCCCCTAGTGGTAGAATACGGCTTAACCAGCTTTGCATTAGTTCCTATGGGAACTAATGCCTCTACCTACGAACAGCGCTTCAACATACAAACGACAAACAGCAGATACGGATTAAATGGTTTTCACAACAAACAGCAGACACAGTGCATTCCTATGGAAAAGTTTGCCTCGACTTACAAACTTTTCAACATACGAACTTAATTCTAATACGGGTTAAGTTCGTAAGTCGAGGTAGCAAATAAGCATTACATTTGAGTCTGTCCGAAGCTACGCCGAAGTGCTCAACTCTCTTTCATTCTGATCACAGATGTGGAGAAGCGGCAGAACCCTCCAGGCAGCAAATAAGCATTACGTTTGAGTCTGTCCGAAGCTACTCCAAAGTGCTCAACTCTCTTTCATTCCGATCACAGATGTGGAGAAGCGGCAGAACCCTGTGTGCAACTTCGTGACTCCGCTGGAGTGCAGCGATGTAGATGAGCACTGCAAACCTGAGGTGAGCAGGAGTTGCATTTGAGCCTTGCTGGCTTGTTGTACAATTTTCTTGAGTGACTCCTTGTTGTCCTTCTACTTGGCAGGCTGTCATCATGGAGGGAAAATACTGGAAACGCCAAATCGGGGTTGTTATTCGGGAATATCACAAATGGAGGACCTTTTTTCATACCCGAGTAAGTTCCTTCCCCCAAAATATGTACTTTGTGCACCCCCTTCCCCTCCCTGGTGCTGTTTTGTTCCCAGTTGTTGTCTTGACATAAGTCTTGTTAGCATCAGCTGAAGGTATATGCTAACCTTGTCCTAAGTGGGCCTTGGGAACCAGGCAGCAGAAGCTGGTAGCCATAAAACTAGCTGGTATTAGAGTTATCTACTATCTGGCTTTGTATTTTACTTTGATTGATGCCTTAGCTAATAGATTCATATCCCTGCCTGCATTCGGCTGATAGCATTTTTAGTCATTCTGCTGATAGCATTTTTAGCAAAATGCTCTTGGATTTCCATTTGGCAAGTAGTGTTTGATTTCCTCTGTTGTTCTAATGACTGGATTTAAGGCCAAATTGTCATTTGGTGAATGGTGTGGCTGCTAAAATAAAAAGTTTAGAAGAAACCGCTACAGCTGCTGTAACTTTTCCTCTATCACACTTATATCCTCCTCCCTGTGATGGGTCTTTGGGGCTCCAAGTTTGTTTGAATGAGCTAGCTGTGAAAACACAGAAGTCGAGAAACTGTTTCTTAGAATTTGTTACTTACAATTATAGTTTTACTTTCTCATTTATGAAAGGTAACTAAAAGAATTGCTTCAGACAGAGAATGCTACAAACCCTGGAATACCATCCACTTTGCCATCACCTAAATACCCACAACAGAGCATAGGACAGGAACACAAGTTTATACTAGGATCATGTGATATCCCTCTTTTACCATTTGATGAAGTCATATCCTGCACCCAGAAATAAAGAGTATTGAAGTTTTCATTAAATTGCAGTCATACTGTAACTTAGTAATGTATGTCTGATTGTAAAAAGCAATTACTTACAAGTAAATTTGTATTTGTAACTAGTTGCTTCCAAGCTCTAAATATAGTAATTGAATCTGTAGTGATCTTTACAATCCTGTTGGTTCTGTTTTAGATCCAAAAGAAGATGGACAGATCAGTCTATGGTCCTCCTCAGGTGCTGTTTCAATGTTCCATTTGACCTTGTTTTTCCACTGCACCCTATAGATTCCCCTCCCTCTATAGCAAGAAACTGAAACTGGAAATGCTTGCAGTTGTCTGCAGCTACTTAGCAATCCAGTCTTTTCCTGCTTGAGTGTTCTCAAAGGTATGTTGCTGCTCATAGTTCTTTTTCCTTGATTTTTGGATAGAAAGTAGCTGATGCTGTTCCAGGGGTGGAGCTGAACAGTGAAGTGGCAGGTGGGAGCCCCATGGACCTTGACCCTTTGCATGACCTGGAAGCATTTCTGGACACCATTTACCCCAGCCGCAATCTGTATGGTGGCCCAAACCTACGAGGCCTTGGTGAGTAGCTTTGCTTTGTGCTCTTCCATCCATCTTGGGATCTGCCCTCTCCTATCAAGTATCACATTTGAAAGCCTTCACCTCTGTCCCCAGATATTCATAATGAAGGATGTCTTCTTAATTCCTGCTGGTAGAGAGCCTTCCATATATCTTCATAATATCTTAGCTGTGGTTAATACAGTGATGGGCAATACTTTGCTATATAATAGAATGGCCAGTGAGTGATACTTTCTTGTTTTATGCCCTCAGCTCACCAGGGTAATGCAGACATGATCCAGCCCACCCTGACTCAACTACACCCATTCTTTGGAGAGGAATTCATGGACACCTTAGACCCCATTCATGGTAATATTACAGAGTCATCAACTTGTATTGCCCCCCCTGTGGGCCTTTCTGTTCAACACAACAAGGTTGAGGAAATTAGGTGGTGGGACTAATTTTGTATCCGTAGGAATGTTTTGAGTAGAATCAGTGTGTGCAGACCCATCTCCATATTTGATCATTTAAAATTGGTCATTTGTATACTAAAACAGTGCAGTGTAGGTGTGTATTGTTGGGATCTCCTGATAGGCTATAACTCCCTGTGATGTGTACCTGGATAGCAAAGCTTATTTTCCTAATATGATGTAAGGACTGCCTTTAGTTTCTTGAAATAGTATTGTGCATATTTTATAAATCTTTCTTTCTAACTTTCATGATTTGCGGGAAAACAGTGGAAAATGTGATAAATGTGTCTCTTCCTCTGCACATCTTCCCTGGTATTAAAATCTACCATGACAGCCCTTCCTCTGCTGTGTCCTATTGTAAGGGATTGCACATAATGGGAGAGAGGACCTTCTTAGCAATGGCACCTAAATTATGTGGATCACCTTCCTGTAAAAAGTCTACCTGACGCTGATAGTAGTCCCATTTCAGCATGGGACTTGGTGATTATCTGCCAAACTTTTAGATATTATCAATCATTGTTAGTTTTAGATTTAACTTCATTGGCAGTATATATTGAGTTATGGTATTTTGCTGTTTTATTGTTTGACAGTGATACCTTTTTATGGTTCTTGGTTTTGCATTATATTGCACCCTGAGATCTATTGATATAAGGCAGGTTAGAAATATAGTCCAGAATGCTGTTGATGATTTACTCGTAAGTTACATTGTTTAACTCATGGTGTTGTATTGACTCTAACTAATAATGCAGTGTTCACATTATTAGGTGTCTGTCTGTTTTGCAAACTGGGGCTTATCTTATAATGTGCTCCCAGATTACGAAATGCTCTCCCTTGAGAGGCTAGGTTGGCCGCCTTCCTCTTTTCCTTCTGGCAACTGGTGAAGATGATCTTGTTTACACAGGCTTTTAGCAAATTTTCATCAGCCGTGCCCTCTTGCCCAGAGTTATGTATAGAAATTGGGTATCCAGTTGGTGGTATGCTTGAGCATGACTGTGATCCAGTAGAATCCCCATCTTGCACTAACCTTTGGGTTCACAGTCACACATTTCACTCAGGAAAGGTTGCACGAAGCTGCAGCACTGTGGCTCCCATGTTTTAAACCAATCTTCCCTTCTCACTGGTTTTCTTTTTCTCCAACCTCTCTCTTTCTCTTTCTGCCTGGACTCTTAGCAGTCAGCCTGGCTAACTTTCCTTTCATCTTTCATGGCCTCCAGTGGTTCAGCGTTGCTTCATGTGCCACTTCTATTTCTCCTGACTTCTTTGAACTTCTCTTATCAATTCCAACAATCACTACAAGGAAAGGTAACCTGAGTAGGTTTTTCCTCCTACATATTGGAGCCTTGCCTGTAATCTATTGTCTTAATACAATCACTGTAGTTCAGTGCAGAGTTTGTGATCAGTGTTGTAAATGTGTATGATTAGAAAGGTTTGAGGTCAGAAGGAAAGCATATACAAAAATGTTGTCTTGTCCCATTTCTTCATATTAAAGATCAAGACAACCACTTATGCACATATAGTCAATGGCTGAAATCCAATGGTAAGTTTCAGCTAGAGTAGGCCCATTGAATCATTAGACCTTACATAGGCGTTTACTCACCATTCCCCACTGATTTTTTTCATCATTAAGGATACATAAAAAGGTGTTGATGTTTATGTTCAGCACCAAATCAAGTGGCTGCTTTAGGATTTTGAGAACATGCATTATATAACCCCAGTATTTTTACATAGTGTATACCTACATACCCACTATCTTCATTTTCTGATCCACCTAGGCCAAATACTACAATGCTGTTTCTGAGGACAGCCTGGAGAAATTCTGATTATTCTTTGGTTAAATATGTAAATACTGTCAGTTGCTTTTAAATTTTCGTGTTTTTGTCTGACTCCAGCCAACATCCCTTAAATTTCCTTTTCTTTCCACAGAATTCATTACTTCTTGCCGCTCCCAGCCTGCAGTCCAGGTAAGGAGCAGCGTTTAGCTTACTCTGCTTTTTTATAGGGACGTGGTGGCACTTAGGTTAACCCGCGGAAGCCTCTGTGCTGCAGGGTCAGATGACCAGCGATCGTAAGATCAAATCCACGCGACGGAGTGAGCTCCCGTCACTTGTCCCAGCTCCTGCCAACCTAGCAGTTCAAAAGCATGTAAAAATGCAAGTAAATAAATAGGTACCACCTCGGTGGGAAGGTAACGGCGTTCCATGTCTAGTCATGTTGGCCACTTGACCACGGAACCTGTCTTCGGACAAAACGTTGGCTCTCTGGCTTGGAAACAGGGATGAGCACTGCGCCCTAGAGTCAGACACGACTGGACTAAATGTCAAGGGGAACCTTTACCTTTACCTTACTCTACATTCTTAGGTAGCTCCAGCCTCTGGTGTTTGTTGCAACATCGTGGTCTGTGCTCACTTCAGGTGCTGTGAAGCTTTTTCTTAGCATTGCAAAAAGTAGGGGCAGGGTGAAGCCCCGCCCTTGTAACTGACTTCAGTGTGTCAGCATGACTTCTGGTGTAGCTTCCTCTAGGTGGATTCAAGTTGTGTTTGACTTGTTCTTTTTTCCCTTGCATGACTTCTGGTGTAGCTTCCTCGAGGTGGATTCAAGTTTGGACTGAGAAGTTGTGTTTGACTTGTTCTTTTTTCCCTTTAGGCTCCTACACTGCTGACAGACGCAGCTGCCTTGGGTCAGTGTGGCCCAGATGTGGCTCCAGTTGCCCTTGGCGCCAAGGAACTTCCACCTCCCAGAGACCCTCTCATCCCCCTTCCAGTCTCCCTGGATGTAGAGCCACCGACGCCTCTGAACGGACAACAGACTTTCTTGCCATTTTTCCCTACCTCTCCACCAAGAGTCAGCCCACCACCACCCACGCCTCCTGTCTTGCATGTTCAACCTCAAACTACCTTAGTTTTCTCTGTCATCACACACACAGGATCAGAAAATAACCCCTCACTGTCCCCATCTTCACCCAGGAGCACTTTTGCTGCACCAACGTCAGCTCCCGCAGCCAAGGGTGGGAGGGGCAGACAACTACAACGAATTGCTCCAGCACCCTCCTCTGGTCATCAGGCAGCACCGGCCTGTCCCTCTCTCAGTCACCTGCTTACAAATGGTAGGTGGATTTGTAGACACCTTTTAGATTCACCTACTCTTTGTTTTTCACTTTCTGCCATTGTCTTATTCCTAGACCTGAGGCTATTGTAAGCCAGCTTTCTTCATCGCTGCCAGCCTTGGAGAAGCTAGGAAGGGATTCTTTGGAGGTCTCACTAGAACTGGAACTCTTCATTTAGGCATCTGCATGGATTACTAGTCTTTATTTTCACCTGACTAGCTTATCTGAAAATAGACTTGATAAGGCTCAGTTGTCACAAAAACTTCTATAACTGTTGTATAGGAAAAATAGAAAATAAGATTGAGAGAGAATATTTTTGTTACTCTAAAATTTGAGCATTGAGCAGCAGTGCCAGCATGTGATGATTGTGAAAAGTTTTTACTGACATCTGTGCAACGACTAGTCCACAGACTAGCAGATTTTTTTTGTCACAAATGATGAAACAAAAAGTTCTATCTAGATTACACATCCTAATCTAGATTTTAAAACACTTTCTTGAGCTAGACCTAAACATATGTGTAAGCATATCTATACTTAGACACAGTAAGTACACCAAATTTACTCCCACATTTCTCTGCTGCTGGTTCCCTTAGGTTTCAAATGTAGAAGGGGGAATTTATCATCTGCCCACATTCCTGCTTTTATGAGCATTGTGATGCAGTGGTTAAACTGCAGTGCTGCAGTGAAGACTCTGCTTATGACCTGAGTTCAATCCTGGGCTCAGGTAGCCGGCTTGAGGTTGATTCAGCCTTCCATCCCTCTGAAGTTGGTAAATAGAGTATCCAGCTCGCTGGCAAGGCCAAGGTGTAGCTTGCATAATTAAAAATTATAAACCACCTGGCGACTGCTTTAAACACTTTGGAGCGGTATATAAGCAGCACACGTTGCTTTTCTGCTTTGCTTTTATCCACTTTTGTGTGTCTCCAGATATTGATTTAAATGGGTAGCTTTCTTTGCATGAGGTCAAACAGAACCATCTAAATAATAACTGTAGATAACTCAGTAGTTTAGGTATCTGGCTCAAGGTTGAGAGTTCAGTTCCCCACTGTACCTCCTGTGAGTAGACCCAGCCTGTGAGGCCTAGAGCAAGCTGCACAATCCAAGGATGCCCCTAGAAGGAGGGAATGGTAGACCACTTCTAAGGATTATGTACCTGGAAAACCCTGGAAAAGGTTGCCATTAGTGAGAATGGACTTGACAGCATGATTATTATTTTATTATTATAAACATGAAGGTGCTCCTGAACCTCACTGTTATAAACTAAATAAATAAAATGTAAAAACCTTTATCTTTGAGGTTAAAGTGAAATGAAAACTCTTTTAAGATGCAAAGTTCATTCTTAACAATACATATTGAGAAAAAAGTTTTAAGTTTTCTCTCCCCAATTTTTATTCATAGTCTGTTGTCTACAGGTTGTCCACAGATTTGCCCAACTCAGGCTGAAATCCTGTTGCATAGCTCCACCTGTGCAGGGGGGATGATGTCATGGTTAGCAGCAGCTTGCCATTCACCAAAGGCTTCCTTTTTCGATTTCAGGCTGCTCATACCTCATATGCAATAAGACGACACTGAGTGCACCCCAAACTTGAAAAAAATAAATCTTTTAATCAGTGTCAGTCTTCTGCTGTCAGTGATGCTATTTCCATTGTTCAAGTAGAAGTAGCTGAAGAGGATTTTAACTACAACATGGAACAGGTTCATTGTGGTTTTTAAAAACTGCTTTGAGGAGGTAGTAATAAATATAGCTTCTTCTAGCAAGGAATCATTCAAAGGGTAAAAGCTCTGCTTAACAAAATTCCTCTCCCATTTATATGCCTCTGTAAAGGTACAGAACTCCTTAAGTCCAGTTTTCCATATCTAGCAGTTGTGATAACAAGTAGTTGCCTGGCTGAGCAGTACACGCAAGAATGTTAGTGGGAACCAGTGATTGTGGGCTTCTGAGCACGCTTGCAGAGGAATGCTTTGAAGCAATGACACTTAGTAGCTGCTACAAGGGCTAAGGTTCCATTCTCTTAAGTGGCAATCCTTGGCTTAGATTTTTGGCTTTGCTTGTTGGGATTTAATGGGGCAGCATGTTAAGGTAAGCAAATCAGTGTAGATTGCCCCATGTTGAAACCAGTGCTGAGCATGTGTAACTGGAGAGTGTGGGAGATGTTGTTGACTGATTGGCCTCTCTAGCCAATCATGGGGAGTGGGGGGCATGTGTAGACTCTGGGAAAACAAGAACAAAAAGAACTCTTTCCCTCTCTCATCTCTAGGTCCTGCCCCAGTGCCCCTCACTTCAGTCACAAACTCTGTACAGGTATGGAAACGGTCTGCTGCCATGTTCTGGAAAGGGTAGGATTGTGCTGTGTTGCCTTTGCCACCTGCTTCTGCTTCTGCTTCTGCCCCACATTATGAACTCGGAGGCCTCCAGTTGATAGTGTTATTTTTACCTACTTGGGCTGACAGGCATGGTTTCTTTCCCTGTTCTTTGCTGGTTTCTCTCTCCTAATCCTGCCTGTTTACTCCCACAGGTGTGTGGACCCTCAAAGCTTCCTGCTAAGCTCATACCAAGCTCATCCACTGCAACAGATAAGTCTCCTCAGCCCATCTCTTCTGCTGCCTTCCCTGCCACCGGTAAGCAGGCTAGGGAAGATGTGAAGTCACCTGACATCTCTTCTTAGCAGTATCGTATCTGAATCTGCTGAACTAAGCTGATAATTTTCTCCTACAAAAAGCGGAGAAAGAAATTAGAGGGCTAGCTATCCTTGACAATTCTAACCAGTAGAGATGACTTGGTTGAGGAAGTGGCAGGAAGGGGCTCTGGGAAAGAATGACCACATTTTACTAGAATTCTTGATTTGGAAGGAAGTCAAAGGAGAGTGTAGCCACACATATATACTGGATTTTTTAAAGGCCAATTTTAATAACTTAAGACAGTGGTAAGTAATGTCCCATGGCAGGAGATCCTAACAAAAAAAAGGAGTCCAAGAAGGGTGAGAGCTTCTAAAAAAGGAAGTTCTAAAGGCACAACTAAAAACAATTCCAACAAGAAAAAAGACAGCAAAAAAGGCTACTGTGACTTCACAAAAAGGTCAGACAGGACCTGAACATAAAAAAGGACACATATAGGAAGTGGAAAGGAGGCCAGGCCACAAAGGAAGAGTACAAACAAGTAGCAAGGAATTGCAAAGATGACATTAGGAGGGCAAAAGCTGAGAATGACCTGAGGCGAACTAGAAACACTAAAAGCAACAACAAAAAAGCATTCTTCAGGTATATGTGTAGCAGAAGACAAAGAAAAGGCAGAAGTGCTCAGCTACTCAGTGGAGATAGAAAAATGATAACAGAAAATAAAGAAAAGGCAGAAGTGCTCAATTCCTATTTCAGATTTTCCCCAGGGGACAGACTATGACCTTCCAGACAAATGTCAAGCATGAGTGAAGGGGACAGGACTGCATCTGGAGATTGATACACAAATAGTCAAGGAACACCTTACTCCATGAACGAGTTCAAATCCCCAAGGCCAGATGCATCAAGAATATTGAAGGAACTGGCTGAAGAACTCTCAGAACAACTGTCCATTGTTTTCTTGAAATCATGGGAAATGAGTGAGATGCCAGATGATTGGAGGAAGGCTAATATCCCTGTCTTCTAAGGCAAAAGGGGGGAACCTGAGAACTACAGACCAGTCAGCCTGACATCAATCCCAGGGAAAATTCTGGAACAGATCATAAAGCGGTCACTATGCAAGCAGTTAGAAATAAAGCAGTAATAACTGGAAGCCAACATCAAGAACAAATCCTGCCAGGCTAACCTGATCTATTTTTTTTAAATCAGGTAACCTCCCTAATAGACAGAGGGAATGCTTTAGATATAGTATACTTCAGCAAAGCTTTTGACAAAGTGCCTCATGATATTCTGATTAGCAAGCTATCTAAGTATGGGCTGGATAGAACAACTGTCAGGTGGGTACATATTTGGCTACAGAATCGAACTCAGAGGGTAATGATCAATGGCTCCTTTTCAAACTGGGTGGAAATAACAAGTGGGGTACCCCCAGAGCTCAGTCCTGGGCCCTGTACTCTTCAACATTTTTATTAATGACCTGGATCAGAGGGTGCAGGGAATGTTAATCAAATTTGTGAATGACTCAAAATTGGTAGAATAGCTAATACTCTGGAAGACAGGGAAAAAATCAAAATGATCTGGATAAGCTTGAGCACTGGGCAGAAAACAACAGAGTGAAATTTAACAGGGATAAGTGCAAAGTTACACCTAGAGAAAAGAAACCAAACACACAGTTACAAGATGGGGGATGCCCTGCTCAGCAATACTAAAAGCAAGAAGGATCTTGGAGTCTTTGAAGATTATAAGCTGAATATGAGCCAACAGTGTGACGTGGCTACAAAAGAAGCAAATGCTATTTTAGGCTGCATGAACAGTCGTCTCCAAATCCCATGAGTTCCTCTCTCTTCGGCACTGGTTAGGCCTCATCTTGAGTTCTATGTCCAGTTTTGGACGCTGCACTTCAAGAAGAATGTGGACAAATTGGAATAAGTTCAGAGGAGGGCAACAAGAATGATCGGGGGCTGGAAACCAAGCCCTATGAGAAAAGACTGAAAGAACTGGGCTTGTTTAGCCTTGAAGAAAGAAGACTGAGGAAAGATATGATAGCACTTTTCAAATACTTAAAGTCTGTCATACAGAGGAAGGGCAGGATCTCTTCTTGATTATCCCGGAGTGCGGGACACCAGGAATCGGGTTCAAGTTATAAAGAGCCAGATTTTGGTTGAATATTATTAAAAACCTCCTGTTAGACCAGTATGGCAATGGAATAAAGTACCGCAAGAAGTGGTGACTCCTCCAGCACTGGAGGCACTCAAGAGAAATTTTGACAGCCATCTGGTAGATATCCCTTGATTTGTATTGAGCAGGGGGTAGGAATCGATGGCCTTACAGGCCCCTTCCAACTTCATTATTCTATAATATTTGAATCTGATGAATTAATCCACGTCTTACCAAGGTGAAAATGGACCATGATCTTTAAGACAGAACCTACCATCCGCTCTTCTTCTTTTTAATCCTTCCAGGTAGCAGAACCAAGGAAAGAGCTATGGATAAAGTAGTCAGCAATCCCCAAGATACATACAGCCATCAACGATGCACTGCTAAGGTAACAGGAGTAACACTATGCACACATTTTCATCTCCCCAGCACAGATCTTGAACATGGGACAGGAGACCTGGCTTTTAAGAATGGAGCCAAGGGTTAGGTACATACGTGGGAGTTTCCTATTGTCTGAAATCTAGCATCTCTTGCAGGGAAACTGCCATTCAAGTTTTACGTCTTCTGACTGTGTCCGTCGCATGATCATCAGCTCCGGCTTTAATACTCTTGCTAATCTGGTGCTGCCAGGATCTGATCAGACAAATGCTAAGGTATATATCTCCTCTTTGCACCAAAGAAAGGAACAGGCCATCTCTGCCATTTGTTATCCCTTTCTGGTTCCTGTGATCTTACTGGAGTTGTTCTTGCTCTCTTTACCTTTCTACCCTAGTTTACTTCTTTGCTCTTCCTGCAGCTCAGTAAAGCTATGCTTCTACAGAAGAGTGTGGCCTATGTTGGAAGGTTGCAGCAAGAGCGCAGACAAACTCAGGAGACAGTAGAAAAGCTGCGGAGTGAAATTGAAGAGCTGAGCACTGCCATTGAGTGAGTTGCAATCCAGGCATAAGTGTTAGAGTCACCATTGGATTAGGGCAAGGGTTAGAGATTCATAGGTGAAGGGACATCATTTGATCGTGTGTCTTTTCTGTTTCTTGCAGTGAGTTCCAGCGCCAGCTTCCACCTAGTGGAGCCCCTGTGGTGCCACCTCAGTCAGATCAAGCTTCTCAACTCTATGAAGAATATGTGTGCCGACGTACCTTGCAGGACTGGCGCTTTTGGCTTGTATCCACCTATGTGGGACAGGGTGATTTTGGGGGAAGCAAAAGGGAAACAAGTAAGGGAGGGCCATGAGATATGACATGATAGAAAAGCCCTGCCAACCATTAAAAGAGGATCCTTAACGCCTTCCCATGTGCAGTTCAGTGTGGTGATTAAGCCATTGTTTGAGAGCTACAGCAGAGCAGTGAACACAAGCAGTGTTAAGGAATTCCACCAATCAGTATTGAACTGGTTGGAGCAGCATTGTACCCTACCCGTCTTGCGTCCAGGTATGTGTGCCTTTAAAGATGGATTAGAAAATATAGCTACTGCAGAATGTTGCAGCCACATGACTGGAATCAGAACATCTGAGCAATTTTCAGGAGTGGCTATGCTGGTTGCCAGTACGTTTCTAGGCCCAGTTCAATGACTTGCATTTAGCCTACAAAGCCTGTGGCTTGGGACTCCAAAACCTGACAGAACCCATTATGAATTGACCTATACCTTGAGATCAGCATCTAACACCATACTCTTGAGTGCTTCTTCCAAGAAAGTGACGAGAAGGCCTTTTCAGCTGTTACCCTCCCCCGGCCCCTGGCTGTGGTATAATTTTCATAGAGAGGTCTGTGTGGCCCTATCTTTATAATGCCAGTTTACAATATTCCTCTGCCCCCACATTTCATGGGTTATGATTGTCTGATTTTAAAAAAAGCATTATGTCAATTACTGTATTAGCCTCATGTATTGTGGCAGAAGTCAGAATCGACTTGATAGCACACAATTATTGTTGTTGTTGTTGGTGTAGCTTTATATTTCAGATGGTATTTTTATTCTTGCTTTTAACTTTTGTAGATTTGATAATTACAAGATGCTTACAGTCAGCTTTAAGGTTTTTTTAGAAGCAAATATCTAATTAAATGAGCTGCTATTGCTGAACTCCAAAATTTTGATTATCAGTACACTTTCCTGCTTTGCTAAGCTACAAAGGTACTAAGGACAATTTTCTATCATTTGGATAGTACAGTATTCCATTTCATGTCTTAAAGCCAACATTCCTGGCATCCTGGCTTAGCTGTGACTCTGGAATAGTGGCTGAATAATCAAAGCAACCTCTTGGTCAGAAAGCATCTGGCTTGGATATGCTTCTAACCCTTTGCTTTTTTTTCTTACAGCTATCTCTGGCTCTCTACTAAAACTCAGCAAGATCACATCTATATTGACTCATCCGGCCCGTTTGCCTGAGCAAGCCCTACAGGCAGTGTCTTGCCCTCCACACAGCAAAGGCAATAGTTAGGATGAAGACTAGGTTCAGTTATACGTGGACATCGTCACACTGCCCAAGATAATGCTACAAAAACCAACAGCGGGGACTTATAGCTCAGGGATTCCTTTATCACACAAAGAAACTAGCCTATGTGATGGTATTGGGATTCTAGGGTTCCAGAGCGAGAAATCTCTGGGGATTTCACTTTGGTGCTGGCCACCTTCTTAAGTCTTGCTGTTGCAAAACAAAATGTGGACTTCCGATAGTGGAGTGGGAGATGCAACAGCACAGAGTCAGAATGCAAATTAAATCTTTAGAAGTTGGATACTGGGCAAGGCTTTACCATTTTTTGGTTGGAATTGGGGATGACACTTGCATTGAGTTCAGTGTGGCCTCTGTTCCTTGTTTTCCCATTAGAGGGCAGCACAGTGACTCTTCACAATGACATGCTTGCAATGTTGCAGAGAGGTCTTTCCCATCTGTAGCTCAGGGTTCTACTTGCATTTGAGTGTTTATGACCACTTCATAATCTGTTTATGATGTAGGAAAAACACAGTGGGTGATATAGGCTGATGACAGATTTTATCTGTGCAACCCTATCTGTGAGTCTCTCTTAGATGCAGTTCATGTATTTTGGTGTTCTTCACTCTGATTCTGAGACCTGCACAGTAATATGCTATTTGAGGGCATCTGCTGGATTTCTACATAAGGACTGAAGGCTTTTAGCACTTAAAATTTTCATAATGTCTGCTTGGAGGAGGCTGTACAGCTAGGATGAAAGGTTTGAAGTACAGGGACTGATGAGGACTGTTGATGGGTTGGGGCATTTTCGGATTGCAGTTCCATACATTCTCATTAGAAGCAAGGCTCTTCAGTGGGGCTCACTTTCCAGAATGGTGTAGGACTGCAGTCATATCTGTTCTTCTCTAGCCCTTGGCCTTGCACGCACACACACACACACTGTATGTGTCTCTCCGTTGCTCTCTGTCACAGACTACCTTTGTATACAATTGTAATCTTACAGGTACAGAGTCAAGCCATGTGCCATTATCTCCATGCTTTTCTTTTAGCTTCCTGTTAGGGAGCAGATGTTGCAATATCTGAATGTAGGCTAATACGGTTGAGGAAAATCAGTGACCACTGATCCATGCATCATCTCCATAACTGCAGAACCTTGAGGTGGAAACTAAATTAGCTCAAAATGTTTTAGCACCTGAGATAGAAAATACAAATGTATACCACTCTTTTGACCACCCTTTAATTAATATTGGCCACAGCCAAAAATAAATTTATCACTCTTGAAAGGGCAGGAGCTCAGTTAGAATGTAGCATGGTGTATTTGCATACCTCTTATTAAGAGGGCCTGGTGGGTAAACCTTTTCTACTTAATTCCTAATGATTTCTTTCCTGATGGTATCTCAAACTGAGCAAGAGACAGTTGCCTTATTGTATTTCATGGCAATTCCTGATTGCAATGATAATCAAACAGGAAATGGACTGCTTCAAAGAGTTTGCCTGAATTTACCTGAAGCTTATTCATTACTAACATATCTTACCTCTAGTATAAAGACATCAGCAGAGAACAAGATACAATCATGTTGTATGACAAAAGTTTCTTTCTCAGAAGCCAGGTTTTAGGGTTTTAAACGTTTTCTTCCGGCTTGCGTGTAAAGTGTATATGCATGTGTATGACAGAAACCATCTCTTAAAAAACTAGAAAGATGAATTCGAGATTGTGTTTGGCTCCTTGTTCATTTCCACTGATCTCTTCTATAGCTTCATTTTGATGCAGGCAAATAACCTCCAGCCAGCAGTAAGCCCAAAATACTAATCTTTTACATGTATTATAAAGTGGTAGTGTGATGGCTTTCCACAGCTTCAAGCTCAGGTGGTGCCCTTAGAGATTCCCAATATACAAAAGCCGCCTTCAGCCCTTATATCTCAACCTGCTCATTACACTTTTTTTTGAACTCCAGATTAGACTGTTGGCCTTGACTTGCCGCCTTGACTTGCATGGCTGACACTAAACTGGTTTAGCTCCTATATATCCCCACATTAATCTGGTGGTGGTAGTGGTTGTAAGGGGTCTACAGACCATTGACAACTTGCATGTATTGGATGATAATGTACCAAATACCAGGCCTTTTTGCTATTTGGAAAGCAGCCATTGAAGGGAGATTCGCTGTGGAAAAAAAGTTTAGTGAACAAATTATTGCTACCTGAGCAATAATTATGTATCACTTTCTTAGCTGTTTTTTTTAAAATGACAGTATACTTGATTGTAATTTTCCTGTTTCAAAATATATTCAATACATGCTTTCAGTTACTGTGTTCCTTTTTAATTTTTTAATTTCAGATGCTACATTCTTGTCTGTCTTAAATATGGTTCTAAAATGTATTTGAGTAATCTGTAATTAGTGTTCATTGATGATGTCATCCTTCTAATTTCCCTTTTTCGGCACTGTATTTCCCTTCATGGAAGACTGACGCACATTGCTACTACCTAATTCCTGCTTTTTATATCTTCACAGAGATGTTTTAAATTTTTTTTAATTGTTGCTATTACAGGTTTTCAACAAATGTATATTTTGGGTTGATTTTGTGGAGCAACAGTCTAAGTTACAGCTCATGTCTTTGATAGTGAATTCAAGCTATGTTCTCCACTGTTCCCGTGATGCTTCACAAGGCCAGAAAACCAGCATTTGTGTATTTGAATGGCCCCTGAATGCATGATGCTAGCACCTGGATTACAGAATCTTCTGCTTCAGCAATTGCAGATGATTAACTGCGGCTGAGTGTATGTCTACCAAACTGTTTATTAAGCCTTTTCCCAATTTCACAGTGGAGAAAATCTTGCAACTGTAAAATGAATTCATAACTGATGCTTATTACTTCTAAGCACCTTTACTGGTGGCGCAAACATCTTTGCATTTTGTTGTTCATAAGGGAAGCAGTCTATACCACTTCAGCACCTTTTGCTATGGCCATTTGGCCACTATGAAATGTCCTTTTGTCTGTACCATTTCCGAAAGGTTGCCTGCTTGAAGACAAGTGGGCTGATGTACCTTCAAAGCATGCTGTGCTAGCAGCTATGATAATGGAAGGAGGAGGCAATGAAAAAGTATTAGTATGGCTTGTTCCTGATGAGTAGCAGGTTCACTCCAGTTTGATATTCTTTTCCCCTTAGCCGCCACTATAAGGCTTCTATTGACACATTTCTCAGCCAGGCTGAATTGGCTTTATGTACTTGATAACAGTATTTCTGTATGATCTTAAACTTATACATACCAACTACTCTCACATATTCATACACAGGTGCCTTAGAAGGGTTAGCAGTTCATAATTGGTCAATTAGGATTACGATCTGAATAAATAGGGACATGAACTAATAAAAATGTGGTACAGGGTAAGGCAATGGCATATTTTTGTCACTTTCATTTATATATGCAAATTTCATGTAAATACAATAGATGAATAAGATCCACCAAGTTCCTTAGAAGCAAATATTGTCTAGTACAGATAGTTTTAGAAGAGATAGCCGTGTTAAGTCTGTGCTAGCGTATCAGGCCAAAACAAAAGCATAATAAAGACAAAAGTGGTGGCACCTTAAAGACTAACTGCTATATTATAATGTGAGCTTGTATGGATAAGGAAGCAGACTTGTCCACGAGAGCTCACAATAAAATGTAGCAGTTAATCTTAAAGGTGCAACAATGTTTTTGCCTTATATATACACAAAAATTAAGATTTTTTTAAAGTATTGGTTCTCTGTGTGTGTGTGTGTGTGTGTAACTGGTACTGACTTCTCCAAACCATCTCTTTGAGAACACCTTAGTCGTAGAAGAGGTAAAGCAGTTAACAGTGAATGTGTGAGATACATGTGGGATGAGAAAAGATATTAAAGGTTTTATCCATCACCTAATGGACTAGAAGTGGCCACCTAATAAATAAAGTTGCACCTTTCTAAGTGATGCATTAGCTATTTGTGAAATCCTTTCAGGTGGCATAGGACCAAAGATTCTGCAAGTAACAGGTATAACATTTAACACCTTTGCAAACAAACCAATTTAAAAAATCCCAGCATGTGAAGAAAGCGTGTTTTTCCTTTTAACTAGTCCTTGAACTCACCCACATGGAGCTGCTTATGCTTATGCATTCCCCAGAGTTGGTGTTTCCCACTTCAGTGTCTCACACAAAAATCAATGAGCAAAGAGAGAACGAAGTTTGCATGTTTGACAAAATTCAGGGCCACTGTGGAAGGAAGTAGGTAGAGACAGGCTGGGAAACATGACTTAACATTTAGACCATCCTGAAGGAAGGACACTTCCTTTTAGAGGTGTATGGGGTGGGACTTTTAGTGTTCCACTCGATTTGAGCGAGATATTCCCATTCACACAACACACTTCAATTCCCAGGGACATCTGAAACATACAGTATTCATATCTAGTTGACACTCACCAGCCACTAGAACGTTTTGGCAATGGAAGACTAATTGTTAAGGTACAAGGAAAAGGTCGGTGGGCTGGTGGAACCTGCTGTCATGCTTTCTTTTTTTCTTAAGTATAAAATAGTGGACGGCAGGGGTGCGGTATTCAACACACAGTGAAATCAGTTTCATTGTGCCTTAAAAGAATGCACAGATACAATTAAACACTATGATAAAAATTCTCAGTACTGTAGTCACCAGTGGTTTAAAATTAGTTTTCCAATTTTGGAAGAGAATATAATGCATTTTTTAAAGTATTGGTTTATAATGTATATGGCAGAAATGAAACCTGGTAAGAGTTAACCATATCTATCTTTAAGCATCACTTGAGGTGTGAAATCAATCAAATCAATCAATTTAGCCAATGACCATACAAAAATCATTTTTTAAAAAAAATACATGAAATTACAATGTTAAAAAGAATATTAAGCTTGACTTCTCATCTGTTCGTTTTTTAACTATAACTAATGAGCACAAATCATTCCACAAACCTTAATTTGGCCTAGATTTCAGCAATGCTTCAGACAAGCCACTCTTCTGTTCTAGATGCTATGTCTGATAGGAAGCGCTAAGGGGGATGCAGACAGGAAGGCCAAGGCCCAAAATATGACTGGGCACCCGATCTCTCAGCATCAATAACATCTGTTGTCGCAATGAAGAAATTATTCACACAGCTATTGCATCAAAGCAGCAGGGGCACCTTCTTTGTAGTCTGGCCTATCGCTGGTTGCTTTTTTCAGAGCGAGTAGTCATGCCACAGGCTGCAAAGGAAGAATGCAAAGCAGAGTTACTTCTCACTTTGGCATCTTACTTGTTGTTTTCCCACTAACACACCCATGTCAAACAGCTGGAATGGACTAGGCTACCTCCAGTGCCACAATGGCAGCATCAGAACAGACACAATTTTTATGGTTGATATAAGCATATGATCCATCTGGAGACAGACTGTCCCACGCCTCTCAGTTTTCAGGGCCAGCAAGTTTTTTTGCCAGAGAAGATGAGAGGAAAAACAAAAAGGAAATAGAAGGAGATGCTAAACAGGAACAACACTTGTTATAACTATTTAGATGTCTATATGAGTATTTCTATTTGAAATGAGTATACAGTTCTGTTTCAGCATGGGAAAAAGATACAACAGTCCATGGAAACTTACAGCAAAGAGAACCTGACAGTCTTGAAGGTGCCACAAGTTCTTTGTTGTTAATGCTGCAGAAGACTAACAAAGATGCCCTACTACCAAGCTGAAATACTCCCATAAGCCAGGCCTAACTGCTCTGGGAGCACTTACTCCAGGACAGATAGCATTTTCAGTCCTGAGAGCCATGTATGATGTCAGTTGAATGACCAAGCTGCACATGCACTCAAATATATGTTGTGTTTTTAATATCTCCCTCTATAAACACACTCAAATCTTAGAAGCAGGCTCACTGCCATTAGTTTCTAGAGACACTACTGAATATCAGGCCCACTCTCACCTAGTCCTATAGCATGAATGGGTTAAGAAAGTACAGAGCCAATCGGTGCTTCACAAAATACCATCCAGATGCACCAGTTGGTGCTGCTTCACAAAATACCATCCAGATGCACCATATACAGCAATGCCTCGCAAGACGAAATTAATTCCGCGAGCTGTGTCGTATTGCAAAATTTTCATCTTGCGAGGCGTGGTACTAATGGTTGTGCTATTTAAAACACACACACACCCAAAAAAGGGGGAAAAATTGTCTTGCGAAGCATGGCCGGTGTGGTACTAACGGTTGTGCTATTTAAAACACACACACACACCCAAAAAAGGGGGGGGGGATTGTCTTGCGAAGCATGGCCGTAGAAAAATTAGTCTTATGAGTCATCAAAAAAATCACAAAACGCTTCCGTCTTGTGAGTTTTTCGATGTGTGAGGCATTCATCTTGCAAGACATTGCTGTAAAGTACTCTGACCTTTCTAAGAGAAGATACATTTGAATAAAGGATGAGTATGTATTATACATCAAGCAACAAAACTTCAGTACTCAATTATACTTCAAATGGGATTGCAGTAAAGTAAATGCATTTGACTACAGCTACTCCAAAGATATGAAGCCAAGGAGTAACGTTCTTGAAGGGAGGGACAGTTGCACCCTATGCTTGCTGATGTTGTAACATGACGGGGAAAGCTCCATGAAATGGGGGCTAACCGTATTCCTTCTCATCCAAAACATCAAGGTGAATAAAATAGTTTTTTTTTAAATTGGCCAGTATCCTGTTCATGCTAGTGTAATGGACAGTTACACTGCCAACAAAGAGCCGTACTATGCAACTGCAGAATCAGCCACACATTCCTGGCACAACCAATTGCACCATATGCTGGCAGAACTGCTTCAGAGATAGCATTTCCATCTCTGTCCTGGTACAACTACTACCTGTACAACCTCAATTTGTGTGTGCCTAGTTGTGTAACAGGATTTTCACCACTGTTTCCCATACCTATGTTTGCTCCAAAAAAATAATTACTGTCCATTTATAATACTGTACATAAAAGCTGTTGAGAAGTACCCTATTATCTGCTTCGTACTGCCATTGCCTGCACTGGCAAAGTAACCTCAACATTCTTGTTCTTTGGAATGGCCCTCTATTTTAAAGCTCTTCTACTCAGGGAACAAGAGGGGTAGAATATGACATTTATACTGACCTGTATGTTGCAGCAGGGTCCATTTTGTACTTCAGCAGGAGCTCCCGCACAGTGATAGGTGGACTGAGACCCAATAATTCTGCTCTCTCCCAGCGCTGCAAGCGGGTGATTCCTGCCAATGAAACAAAGTAAATAATTAAGATGCTGTGCCAAGAGTAACGCTTCCTCACCACTTTCAACAAGACAGAGGTTACTGCAGTTGAGGAAATGTCAGCATAAACCATCAATCTCTTTCTCTCCAAACTATTTGACAATATCTTTATGCACACAGCTTTAAGGAGTCCATGAAGAATGACAGCTAGTGGGCACAAGAATGCATTCAGTTCAATAATGTGTGTTTAGTAACGAAAGGGCAAATGGTTCTTACCAGTGCAGGGACCATACTGCCAGCTGAGGTCAAACTGCTTAAGTAGCTCCACTTCATCTGTCTGTGCAGCATCTTGCAGGGAAGATTCTGTCTCAACTGCTGCTGCATCTGCTAAAGTATAGAGATTAGCATTACTCTGTGGTTGTACTGGCTGGTTTCTTCATATGCAATGAACGCCTGTGATGGGATCAGCATTCCTGTAACTCTCAATGACCTGCCATACAATCCAAACAACCATGGCTATGTTCTTCTGCATCTCTCGATCTGCACACTTTGATTGTGGAAAATGTATGCAAGGCTCGAGTAGCACTTTGTCAGTAAGCATTCTAGTGATAGTGCATATTTCTCTCCATGTCAAATACAAAAGTAAGATAGTTTTCCATACTTTTTTTCTCTTATTTACTGATGTATCCATTTATATTCTGAAATAATTCTGTTTGAAAAGAATTCTCAAATTCATTTTCACACCTGTTTTGTAAGATATTCCATATATACAGTATGAAACAGGGTGTGATTTGTCCACAACTACCCTGGATTTCACAATCAAGATACTTCTTCTCTTCATAAAATCATGTGAAAAAGAAAGCACACGCTCTTTGAATTTTATGGTTTTACATATCAGAACATGATAAAAACCATCTGGTTCTTAGCAAGTCTGAAAACTAGGTAAATACAACTTCATGTGAACAAAAACATATTACACTGTGCCATGATTTATTTAACAAAAATAAAGCCATAATAGGAGAAGCCATGTGTGAATAACGAAGTACACCTTTACTGCTTCCACAGAAATTGAGAGGCTAAGTAGCAGTCAGGTGCTGCTAACCAAATGCCCTTGAATAATTGATCATCAGCAAGTGTGACCACCTCTATAAAAGCCAAGGTTTTAGCAGTCTGCTGGTCTGAAGCATTTAGGTGTGTGCTAATACAATGCAAAGGAGGAAACATGTCAGCAATGTTCGTAGAGAAGCAGTTGTTGCTGCCCATCAATCTGGGAAGGGTTATAAAGCCATTTCCAAACAATTTAAACTCCATCATTTTACACTGAGGAAGATTATTCACAAGTAGAAAACATTCAAGACAGCTGCCAATCTTCCTAGGCCTGGACATCTACACAAATTCACCCCAAGGTCAGACTGTACAATGTTCAGAGAAATTGCAAAAAAGCCCAAGAGTTAAATCTCAGAATTTACAGGCCTCTATTAGCATTTTAAATGTTACAGTTCATGACAGTACAATTACAAAAGACTGAACAAGTATGGTTTGTTTAAACATTCAAGACAGCTGCCAATCTTCCTAGGCCTGGACATCTACACAAATTCACCCCAAGGTCAGACTGTACAATGTTCAGAGAAATTGCAAAAAAGCCCAAGAGTTAAATCTCAGAATTTACAGGCCTCTATTAGCATTTTAAATGTTACAGTTCATGACAGTACAATTACAAAAGACTGAACAAGTATGGTTTGTTTGGAAGGGTTGCCAGGAGAAATCCTCTTCTCTCTAAAACGAATATTGGCTGCATGGCTTAGGTTTGCCAAGTTGCATCTAGACAAACCACAAGACTTCTGGAGCAATGTCCTTTGGACAGATGAGGCCAAAGTGGTGATATTTGACCATAATGCACAGCGTCATGTTTGATGAAAACCAAACACAGCATATCGGCACAAACACCTTATACCAACTGTCAATTACAGTTGAGGGGTGTGTGTGATGATTTGGCCTTGTTTTTCAGCCACAGGGCCTGGGCAGCTTGCAGTCATTGAGTTGACCAATATACCAAAATATTCTAGAGTCAAATGTGAGGCCATCTGTCTGACAGCTAAAGCTTGGCCGAAACTGAGTCATGCAACAGGACAATGATCCTAAGCATACCAGGAAATCTATAACAGAATGGCTGAAAAAGATAAGAGTCAAAGGTGTTGCAACGGCCCAGTCAAAGTCCAGACCTCAACCTGAATGAAATGCTATGATGGGATCTTAAGACAGCTATGCATAAAAAATGTCTGCCAACCTCAATTAACTGAAGCAACACTGTAAAGAAAAATGGGCTAATATTCCACCACAACGATGTAAGAGACTGATAAAGTAATACAGAAAACAATTACTTCATGTTATTGCTCCTACAGGTAGTTCTACAAGCTACTAAATCATAACGTGTAGTTAGTATTTCACACATGCCTTCTCCATTTTGGTTGTATTTTTGTAAAACAAATCATGACACAATGTAATATGTCATATGTTGTTGTTCATCTGAGGTTTTATTTACTTAATTATCAGACCTGCTACGCACCAAATGATTTTTATTATGTCCTAATATGTAAAACCACAGAATTCAAAAAGGGTGTACTTTTTTCTACGCATAACTGTATTCCAAGATTTTAATGTTTGAATGCACCAAATCCACAACCACGCACAAACACCACGTATCTTTGCTGTGTACAGAATTTAAGCAAAATAAAGAGCCCTGTTACTGAACAGCTGGTGTTTTCAATCTCCTAATACTCTACAGGTGTTTTAGAGCACTCATTTACAACCAGTAAAATGAATAAAACAGGTGGGAGAAACAAGCAATCTTAGGTGGGTTGCAAGTTTTTCATAACAATTACTAAGAATCTGCACTCTGAATCCCTATGTCATCCTGTAAGTACCACTGATCCTATTCTTAATAGCAGTTAGTGGTACATTTGGCACAGTAATAGAAGGATAGTTGATGTTTTTCTTATGTTCCTGTTTTCCCTGACTACTATCTTTGTGACCTACAGTTAAGAGCAGGACTTGAATTTGTACTCAACAGTATCATCATAATTTTTTGCTCCTAATAGTATTCCTTTGTTACTCCCAACAATATTACTGCATTTTTCATAAGACATCTGTAAACACATGCATGTCCCTTTGGGAAAGTTGGGTTCTTTATCTCTGTCACAATGGGCTCGGTACTCTTTGGTAAAGTGACTGGTGGAACATCTTACATAAAAGGTTGGGAACCAGTGCTTTAAACTGTTACAGAACCTAGCTAGATTGAAAAGAACAGGGCTGGTGGAACTGTAGTCAGAGTCACAATCTTTTATAAAGGAATACGGTAATCAATATTCCTCCAATAGAGATTATCACAGGTGAAATACATGTCCTGTAATAACTTGATTTAGCTTAACTAGTGGTAAGAACATCAATGAACTAAAATCTGCCTTTCTTGCGTGTTCCTGATACTGAGAAAACTCAGATCCTCCAAGCAGCTTAAGAAAGAGGCAACAACACAGAACTTTTGCAAGTTATGCTCATGGCTCAATTAATGATCTACTTCCCACTTATATACTATTAACTTTTCAGATTTATTTGCAGTTCCCCTAGAGTCATGCCTAGTAACAAGTTAACAGGGCGGCATGTGCTTAGTCAGGACCCTCAATTTACTATTGAAATACTCACCATGGAGTGGGCTCTGATTATCCTTGACTTCCTTACAGTCTCTTTTTCTTTTCTTTACTACTTGGAAAGAGTCAGTGATGAGGCGCTTCCTACCCATGGCTCCATAACAGGCAGCCCTAAGTAAGAGAAAAAGGAGAAACAAAGCCCATTACTGTTTTTGATCTAAGAGACCAATATACGCATCCTCTCTGAACCTTATGAGAGAGATGGAAGAAGTTTTCTCACTCCCCATCCTAGACTTTTGAGTTCTTGTGCAGCCATGAAAGGAGCACAGCAGAGTTGGCACGCAGGTCCAACCCTCAAGAAACGTTTGCCAGGTACCCTCCACCAAGCCTGCCCCCAGCCATCCGCCCCCTTTTCAGGCCTTCCACAGAATCTTGGGTGCCTGCCTGCTTCAAAAGGAACTCCCTTCCATACCTATACTGTAAACAGACTCACACCCCTACATACATACACTCGCGTGTCAACAATGACAAGAACATAATGAACAGTGCAGGGGGAAGGGGCTTTATGGAGGAGTTCAAGCGGGAAATCAAACGCTCAACCTCTAGCTCCGCTGCCAGAGATCTAAACCACCGAGCTATCCAGCCGTTCTTATCATCTTAGAACTGCAAGGCTGGAAGAGGCATCATTTGCATCATCCACTACAAATCCTATCAAGGAAGCGGGGGGGGGGCGGAACCAGACCTCTGAACATGCTTAAAGCACTGAGTTATCCAGCAGTTTAATAAGTATATAAACATATCCACACGTGTATCTAAATACGAAGTTCTTTTGGGGCCAGGCGCGCGCTCGCCCGGGCCGAATGTTTATTTGAGGTCAGACCGCCGGCCTGCTCCCCGCCGACCCGTAAGCTCAGCCTTTCCCCCCCTCCCCAAAAAAAAACACGTCCTGGTGCCAGCTCACCCACTCGCTCTGCGTCTTTTGCCCCGGTACCCCATACAACAACCATAGGAGAGGGGATGGACACCCCCCGGCCCCGAGCCCCGCCTGCCTCGGCGAAGGGGGCGGGGAGGGAGGCCAACCCCCGGAAGAGTTGCTCCTCCAGGCGTTACTCGGAGCGAGGATGGGGGGGCCGCGCGCGCTAGAAATGCCTCCGCCCCCCCCCCAAGGAGGGCAATGCAGTGAAAGAGATGAGGGATACCGCGAGTGGGTGCCCAGGATCCCCCTTGTGTCGTCACTCGGGGGATCCGCCACACGGAAGAGCCGCCTGCGAGGGCGGGTTGGTGGCCTGTATCAACCAATGGCGGAGCTGCTTTCGTTTTGCGTCAAACTTCAAGGGGAGGGGCGGGAGAGGCGGCGGAGGCGGGCATGCCTTGGTCCGGTCCGGGCATGCCTTGGTCAGGTTTTCCTAGGGCAAGTGCCGCAAAGGGTGTTTCTTGCACGGGATGACCTTTTTTTAAAAAGCGTCACCATTTTCGCAAAGGATTGTATGTACAGAGATAAGCTGTATTTATACAGTTTTTGTTATATTTATTTATTTAAAATACTTATAGCCCCCTTTTCTCCTCAAGAGGATCTAAGGCAGTTTGCAAAAAAAATATAAAAACCTGGAGGAGGGAAACAAAGAACAAAAGAGAAGCAGCCCAACTCTTAGGCACGCGGTTATTGAGAAAAGTCTGGATTTATTTATTTAAAATATTTTTCCCCCGCCTTTCTCCTTAAAAGAACCCAAGGCGGCTGAAGACCTTGCCTGCCTGTAGAAAGATAGCATCCAGTGGAGCTATTGTAATGGTGTGTGTGTGTGTGTGTGTGTGTGTGTGTGTTTGTTTGTTTGTTTGTTTGTTTGTTTGTTTGTTTTACGTGATCCCTATAACCAGCTCCAGTTAACTATATGGCTGCTGGATTTTGGACCTTCTGTAGTTCCTGAACACTTTTTTTACATGCGCAAGCTGTTATGTTTTTGATCGGATGGACGCTGTTTTACAAAAATTCATGCCACGCTCCATTAAATTAAATAATCGGAAAGTGTCACCTTACACAGAATTGCTGTAGACAATCACTGAACATTTCCAAAAAAGAGACAGGGAGTAAACCTTGTAAAGTGTACAGTATATGCAAGCATGTAATCCCCCTCCTCACTCCAAGCAGGGAAACATTGATGCACCGTTTTTGTAATTTCCATTGGAGACACATAAGATGAACTCTTCTCTGGTTCTCTAAAAGGAAAAAAAATCTAGGGTTAGACCCATTGAACAAAAAGACTTCCCTCAAATGCAGAACAGCTGGGTTTGAATAAAAAATGTCATGCAGTTGAAGAGGATTGTGCTGTAAATGTACTAGTATATTTTGTACTGTTTGGACATCTTGGCACTGTCTACACCTCTCTTTCATTTAGGCTCTGCCACACTACTAGTGACACACTATATAGTAGCCAGAATCCTGTTACTTACTCCCATTGGTGTAGCTCAGTCTGTATAAAATCTCTGTGGCAAATTGCTGCAAGTGAAGAAGTAGGTGTAGGCATGTGCTATTGCAGTGGTCCCCAACCTTGGGCCTCCAGATGTTCTTGGACTACAACTCCCAGAAGCCTTCACCACCACCTCTACTGGCCAGGATTTCTGGGAGTTGAAGTCCAAGAACATCCACTGTGCTATTGCACTTCAGCCATGTGTCTTAGTGTGCAACAGATACATGCCTGTGAAGGTTCACCAGTTATCTCCTCCCCCGCTCCAAATAAACCAGGAGACGTTTTCAAACCAAAAGACTCGTCTGGATTTATTAAACTTGGCAACGGCACAGAAACATTACCCGAACTGGGGTTGAACTTCTCCGGTAGGAGCAACGGCTCCAACAGGGGTAACCAGGCTTCGGTTTCAAACGGGTTAGTTGACTTCAGTGCCCAGGGACCAGCCAGAACTCTTTCAGGTTCTTGGGGCATGACATCTTCTGGGTCGGGGATTAATAAAAGGGGTGGTGTCCTCATCCCCACTCCATCCCCATAACGGGGATCCTTCTCCCAGGTGGGTGTCCCAGGGCCCAGGAAGCACCCCATCTTTCTCAACTCCTCCATGCCATGCTCTCTTGGCTTCTCGCTCCCTCTCAGCGGCCTCCTTTTCCTCTCTTAACTTGCGCCGCCACTCTCGAGTCTCTGACTCACCCCAATAAGACGGACCCTGGGGTAGTCCTTTCTTTCGACGACTCTCAGCCTCCTGCTTAGGCACTCTTACTTGCTCCCACTTCCCAGTCCATGGGAGGGAAGGGACGCGGAGCGGTCTGAGTTCCCACAGTTGCCTTGGGGCGAGACGACAGTCCCACCGATGCCTCTTGTGTCTTAGTGTGCAACAGATACATGCCCACACAGACTTTTTAATTTGCAGCAGTTCACTGCTGAAATTTGTGCTGATAGAGTTGGGGTGTCATAAATATGTAATAGGATTCCATCCATTATGCTGGTAGTGGATTAATTTTTATTTTTTATTTTTTTGGATTATTTTGTAGGATTTACTTAGATTAGAATGAATGTTAGGACAGAAGAAGAAGACATCATTGTGTTCATCGTTTGATATGTCCTTAAAATGCTAATGAAATTTCATCCCTTCTGTGAACTCAAAACTGGCTCCTTAAATGCCCTTCTAATTCTACGCCCAAGCGTACATCTGAGAATCTGAAGAAGACAAAATGTTTATGTAGATGTTTTCCATGTTCTCCCTTGGTCACTGCATATCATAAGTATCTTTGGCTTTTTTTGATGTAAGGAAAGAATTATGCATTATCCTTGCATGTGAAATGCAGGCAACAAAAGGACCCTAGTGTCATGAAACATTGCAAGTATGAAGTGCATTTTGTCTCCTTTCCACTGGCTGGTGCCTGAAGACCAGGCAGAACCTGGAGAGTCCTACAGATAAAATTAATCTTGAAATGAAGAACTTCTCTCTCAGCCGTTTTTGTCAGCTTGTGGAATAGTATAGAATTGTTCTGTCCAGTCAGATCAGGATCTAAAAATGATTTTTAAAATACAAAAACATAACTTCTATTGTATTGTTTCCTCCATTGCTGTAGATATTTTCTCACACAAGAATGTTAAAATTTAAACTTCCATCACAGGGAAGAAAAATATAGGAGATTTGAGTTTAAAATATTGACTACAGTGGTGCCTCGACTTACGAATGTCCCGACATACGACCAATTTGAGTTATGACCAGCTCCAGCCGCAGAGTTTTGCTTCGACTTGCGGCTGAAGCTTCGAATTACAACAAGAAAAGGTGAGGAATTCAAATTACTAACTGTTGTTAGGCGAAGATGCTGCTTCTTTGTACCTCTTTTGCCCCAACGGTTAGAGTGAGTGCGATCGGAGGAGACTTCAGACTGCCTGATAAAGTAAGGTGCTGCTTTCTGCTTTTTAAAAACTTTTCTGGGTGGGTTTTGCAGAGTGGTTTTGGGCTGGGTGGTGGGATTATGTTTCTATGCTGTGATGGGTCTTGCAGGGTTTGTTTGCTTTTGGGCTTTTTTCCTATTTCTGATGGGCCTTGGGGGTTTGTTTGCTTTTTGCTTTGCTTTTTTTGCATTTCTGATGGGTCTTGCATGGTTTGCTTCCTTTCTGCTTTGCATTTCTGATGGGACTTGCACAGTTTGCTTGCTTTTTGCTTTGGGTTGTGCGCATTTCTGAAGGGTCTTGCACGGTTTGTTTGCTTTTCTATTTCTTTTCCCCTTCAGCCGGAACGGATTAATCACGTTTCCGATGGGTCTTCCAGTGTTTTTTGTGGGGGGTTTTGGTGTTTTTTTTCCCCTTTGGCTGGAACGGATTAATCCAGTGTTTTTTCTGGGGGGTTTTGGTGTTTTTTTTCCTTTGGCTGGAACAGATTAATTGCATTTCAATGCATTCCTATGGGAAATGGTGCTTCTACTTATGACCATTTTGAGTTACGACTGGAGTTCTGGAACCAATGAAGTTCGTAAGTCGAGGCATCATTGTAATTTAATTTTTTGGAAATTAGCATTCCTTTCTCTTCTGCTTTTAGACAACAGTTTCTACCATTAATTTGTTTCTTAATTTAGTTGATTCCTAATTAGGTTGATTCCTAGGTTCTAAAGCTCTCAGTGACTCCCTTGTAGACTGGACTACAAGTAGATCTAATCAACTTATACATGGTCAATATGTTTGTCATCAGGATCTGGCACACACTCACATGGGAGTAAGCACCACTGAACACTGTTGTTTACTTCTGAGAAGACAAATCCTTCAAATGCTAGAGCATGTGCAGCTTTGCCTGTGACAAGATAGTTAATCCAGAAGATCAAAGAGCAGAATTCTCTCTTGCTGCTTGTGGAAACTTTGCTTATGTTTCTGAGCAGCCCCTCTTCTACAGGAGATAACTGGAAAATAAAACCTGAGACCAAATTTTAACACTCCCAAGTCACATCAACAGATTAAAGATCTTCAACTCCATATAACACAAACGACCTTTGTCCTACATCTGCAATTCTACCTTGGGACCACCCTCTGACTATCCCATCCTTTCTCTGTTCCAACAGTGCTAACTGTCCCTATGCCAGCCCTCGGCTCCCCCTCACTATCTTCCTCCAAGCCTTAACCTACCTCCTCTTTAACATTTAACACCAGAGTCCAGCTCTCATGCCCTCGGGCAGTGTAGTCTTCTGAATCACTTATGCAATATATTGAGAGCTGTCCACAAGTAATGAGTATCCAGCTCACGAGGTGGGGGCGGATGCAATGTGTAGCCTGCATAATTAAATTGTAAACCATCCAGAGAGTGTTTTAAATGCTATGTGGTAGTATATAAGCAACACACTTTGCTTTTGCTTTAATGTTTGACTTGCAACTGATATCAGCATAGTTTTATTTACTTTAATATTTGACTTGCAACTGATATCAGCATAGTTTAATTCTCCCAATATTGTACTATCTCTTTGAATATTTGATAATCTGATTTAGGAGGTTAACATCCAGATGAATCAGGACCCATCATCCATCCCTCAGAAGCATACCCATTGGGTCTACATGAAAGGCCCCCACTAGTTATACTGTACCATCTGGACCCAACCCACCCTATGACTGTTATCCCAAAAAAAACCCTCTGTTAATACTTCACGGACTCTAGTTAGATATTGGCTAAGTCACTTTCCTCTCTCACAATTCAAGGAGTCTTTCCTAAAGAAAAGTCTCCTAGCTAGAGGGGACACTGACAAAGTAGGTTTCTAATTACTTCTTCAGCTTTCCATTTCTCATCTGTTCTTCTCACCAAGAAGAAGTGGTTGACTGACCGTGTGAGTAACTGATTTTGTGACAAAACATCAGTGGGTCATTTTTTAAAAAAAATCGTTTCTTTGTTGAGGTCCAAGCTGGGAGGAAGGTAGGGTCTCTTCCTATTGGCACATCAATCAGCAGCCTGTCTTGTCATGGAGTTTAGATGGGTCTGTTATGTTAATGAGAGATAAGGCTTCTCAGTTTGGGGACTGCAGGGACTAGAGATAACTGGTCTCCCTCCCTCCCTCCCTCTCTCTTCCACAGGTGCTTAGGATTCACACCCTTTCTGCTCATTCCTACCGGACAAACTCTGCCTCCCAAGCTATGTTGATTCTAACCTGTTCTTCGAAGCTGCAACTTCTGGAGGGAATGCTGAGGAAGAGCCTCCCTCAGACACTTACGGTACTCCTGAGCCATGCAATCTGAGTTAGGAACCAGAGGTGGGGGCCAGATGTCTCCTATCACCTCTCACATTCTGAGGGCAGCTTCAGACCTTACCTGCAGCATTTAGCATAACACATAGTGTGTCTGATACCTGGTGTCATACAGAAACATTCAGCCAGCTGCCGAGAGTCAATGCTTCCCCTGCTAGAAGTACTGTACAGCATGTGGCAAAACTGAGGACATTGATGTAGTATTTGTAAAACGGCCCTGTGAATTTCTTCTGTCACCTGGTAGGTAGGAACAAAGGAGCTGGGTGTGCTTTGGGTGGGAATATACAGTGACCCAGATTTAGGGTCATCTGGTTAACTGCAGTCAGATGAGCCTGAATTGGACAGTACTCTGATTCTCTTCCCACATACTTGTTTCAGGCTGCCTTCTTGAGCTGCACTTCAGCACCATCTCTAACATCTGGTTCTTGGCAGGTCCATGGGGCAGTAATGAACATAAACCGTGGAAACCCTCTTGGTTATGAGATTGTTGTGGATTCTTGGCCAGACTTCAAAGCAGTCCTCGCTCGGCCACGCAGAGAGGTAACAAGTACTTGAGTTTAATCTAATACATAGTTTGATTTGGGAGGGCCAAAATTTCTTCTGTGCCTCTAAGACCACATCTTCGAATGCAGACAGTAAAGTTTTAGGACTCCAGATGTATTTACAGTCCATATGGCTGGTTGGCTGGACAGTGCAGAGAGTTGGGCATCCAACTGCAGAGCCAGAGTTTGGGAGTTTGATCCCTCACAGTGCCTCCTGGGAGAGAAATCTTCCTGTGTTAGCCTTGTGCAACCTGCACAGTCCCAGGGTATCCCAGAAGAGACTGGTAAACCACTTCTGAGTTGTATATACACAAGAGCCCCTGGAAATGATTGCCATAAATCAGAATTGACTTGATGCCATATAATTATTATATTTATTATTATGGTTGGCAATAGGATATAGAGTTTAGACTCTTAACTTGTGGTTCACAGACCCCCAGGGAGCTGCAATGTCCTCACAGGGGGACCTCAAGAGCTTGAAGAAAGGTTATGGTCCCTTGCAGTTGAAATAGAAAGAAAGAACAAGAGGAAGAAAGCTAGGAAGAAAAGGAAACGTAGAACAACATCTTAATTCCCCTTGCTAGTTTGTGTTCAACTTGGCTTTTCTAACCAACTGTCTCCATTAAAAACAAACAAAAGTAAAAAAATCAGTTATGAAAATAGCTGTTTAATAGCAAATAACTGTTTCACATTTGTGCACCACTTGACAACATGCTGGTGAGTGCAACTGAGGGGCTGAGAGAAAGCACACGAGTTAATTCTTGGTCTGTACCAACGAAATATATTTAAAGGGTGTGTGTGGTATAAGCTTAAGAACTTCTGATATAGAGAATATAGTAAGAGCAAATTAAAAATTAAAATTAATAACTGTGGGAATTACATAAACATCATGGTACTAGGTGATATGATTGGAATCTGTACCTGATGCTATAGGTGCCTTATAGAGTAGTTCTCACTGTTTTTCTGCTTAGAAGTTATCTTAGGTTGTAAAGCAACTGAACACTGTCATGGGTATTTCTGTTTGTTCCAGAAGCCTAGTAATATACAAGACCCTTATGCTGAACACTGAATAGTCTACTAATAAATGCAGTATGCTAAAGAATCATTATCTCTGTTCACACCTTTGCACTGATTTTAGTGTGAGATCAGTTAACCATGTCAATCATGGTCACACTGCCTGTGGGATTGTGAAAACTGTAAAACTGGACTGGGTGGACCTAGGCCTATAGGGAATAGGTGGGAGACTGGGATGAGGTAGAGGCTGCATCACATCTCAACTATGACCAGCAGAAATTCCTGGGGTCTTATCTGCAATACAATACATCTCTAATGTAGTTGTCACCTCCTCTAAGGATGTGGGTTGGTGTCTACACACTCAGCTTTGAAGAGCAGGACCCAAGGTAGCTACCAATTGTTCCAACAACATTAGTCCTACAGTTTTGTCAGAGGCATGTATGGTTGGTTTTAGCCAGTGCATCACATTAGCTCCTGGGTACAGTCCTGGCTTGGGGTTTAACTGACAAAACTGGCTACAGTAAGCATCTTCCGGTAAGTTAAGCAAGCTGAGAACATCTTGCTTGATTTTTTCATAGTTTATGCCTTCAGTGGGATCCAGCATGTTGGCTTTTTCTTGTGCAAGACCAGTCAAGCAGGGCATAGAAAGTAAGATTAATTTAGATATTACTTACAGTTCTGTATCTCTCTGACTTAGATTGCTTCTGATGATTCAGATATATATGCCAATGCATATGCAGGATTTTACCGCGATCTTGAAGTGTACCGGGATTTGGTCTTGAATAAAAACGCTGTCAACTGGGCCCAGTCCTGCCGGATCCAAGGTAATTCTTTCTTGGGAAAGGATTAGGAAGATCGATTGAAGTTTACAGTGCTTTGATAAAGATGTGGCTTGGAGAAACGGAACAATGTTCCCTCTCCTGCTGCGTACAAAATGGCGTCATGATTATTAAAATGCCTTTTTTTAAAAAGTGCAATGATTTAATTCAGCTCTGATGTACCAATCCAAAATAGGAGTGGGATGAACATGAAAGGAAGAAAGTAATAGAGAATCAGAAACTGAAGGCAGGGAGGAAGCTTTGGGATAGGAAGATGATCATGCTGCTTAAACATAAGGAAGGAGGGGAAAGGGCCGATTGTTAGGAGGTCAAGAATTTCAGAGAAAATGGGAAGTAGGGAGGGAGGGGGTCAGAAGATGAAGATGTGAAGTCAAAGAAATGAAAGCCCTGAGGTTTAGTCAAGAAGAAAGTATTGGCTTAGTACAATTGACAAGAAAGCATATAAAAAGTATCAAGAAGGCATTAAAGAGTGTAGATACTGGAAGAATTTAAGAACATTTAATTTTAAAGTGTCAGGGCTGGCCCACAGTATTTTTGGTTCCTGAAGCAGACCAGCAGTTGACACTCTTTCCAGTAACAAAGCTGCAAGTTATTCTCCCCCACCCTCCCAAGGCAGAATACTCCATAAATGCCTCATCTTGGCAAAAGAATTGTAAGGATAATATGTAAAAGACTGTTTGCTGCACTTGCATGACATACACAAGAGTGTCATGACTCAACAACCTGACTAAGAGCAGAAATATCCTGCTTAAAAACAATCCTGGGGGGGTGGGGGCAAGCAAGCAAACAAGCTGCTGAAGTATAGTAAAACACAATATGATTAAAAAAAAACCCACAAACAAACAAACAAAAACCACAGGGGCATGGACACCTGATTAAAAACGAAAGATATGGCTGAATATTAAAAACCAGGAAAAAAGAAGATATTTTTCACAATATTGGAAAACAGCAACTGATAAGTTGCCTTGCCGTTGGGCAATGGTCTTTCTACACTTATGGGATTCTTCCTGTCTTTAAAACAGCTGCTTATTTCTAGTCCATGTACAGAAGGAGTAAGGGAGCATTTATATTTTCAAGTACTCTTTTTTATGGTTTTTAAAAATGGTATGTAAAAGGTATCTAGCCACGTGATGCAACCATGACTGTTTCTGTATTTGATTTTTACCTGGGCAAGAAGGTCACCTGGGATGGTTTGGCATCCACATCCAAAACCCATAAGGTTCATGAGGTCATTCTGGCTATTCTCTTCAAGAATCACCCAAGATTGTTTGGCTACTGGTATGTGATGTCATTGTCAGCCCAACTACTATGGCCCCTGTACCTGTTTATCTGAAAATATACCTGTCATGGTTCCCACGTGGCCCCTGATTGTTTCACCAGATTAAGAGCTCACGCTGCGTGCCCCTCAGCTGCCACCAGTTGATTATATCAACAATACCTATTATTAATAATCGAGGTCCAGGCCATATGTCATTTTAAAAGAACCAAACAGAAATTGTTGATTGTTACAGATCATGATAGGACAAGCAATGTTGTTAACTCTTAAACAAACACCCTATTTTATCCACTCTCAACCACCACTCTCTCGCCCAAACTCCCAAAACCACACCAAAATCTTCAACCTCCTCTAACTCCCTATCTAAACTCCCCCTCCTCCAACTGAGTCTCTTATATCTTGTGACTCCGCCTCTCCAGCACTTCCATTGGTCTATGCAGATAGCATATGAATATTCATGACCTGGGCAGACACTACAATCCCTGTCTGTTGCTTTACAGTAGTACCTCGCTAGACGATGACCTCGTAAAACAATGAATCCGCATGATGATGAGGTTTTGCGATTGCTATAGCAATTCACAAAACAGTGATTCCAATGGGCGATTTTCGCTGGACGATGATTTGGTCCGTGCTTCGTGGACCGTTTTTCCGCAAGACGATATTTACAGCTGATCAGCGGCTTCGCAAAATGTCTTCTCTATGTTTTCGGGACCTATGCTTCACAGGACAGCCATTTTAACAGCTGATCGGCGCTCGCAAAATGGCTTCCCTATGGGCGATCTTCGCAGGACAACGATGTATTTTCCCCATTAGAACACATTAAACAGGTTTAAGTGCATTCCAATGGGGAAACGGTTTTCGCATAACGATGATTTAGTTAAACAGCTATTTCTAGGGAACGGATTATCATTGTCATGCGGGGCACCACTGTATTCTCTGATGAACTGTTGAGCGGCAGCACTGAGATTTATGCCTCTGTGAAAATGGTGCTGATTTCCTCAGCACAGACACAGACCTTTCTCATGGTAATTGCATGTTTCATTGCTCCCTGTAGGAATCCAGGATGGGATATATGAAGTCTCCCGAGATGCTGCTGCCATCAAGCAAGTGCCGTTGTCAGCAACTTCCTATATCAGTTACATGCATCCTGACCCTTATAAAATCCCTGAACGTCAGTGAGTATTCTGACCATCCTTACTCCATACACATAGGTTAGTGTTCTCTTCTGGAGCGCAACCAGTGGTAGCAGCATACTCCTGCTAATTAAGGAGAGCAGTTTCAGAGAGCATGTGACTTTGCCTGAAATCCAGTAGTAAATCACAACTAGAGTAGGAAGACTGAATTAATAAAACTTACAACAGACTTCATCCACCAAATCCCCATTGATTCAATGGACCTACTCTTATTGCAATTTCCTACTGGATTTCAGCCTTTCTCTCATTGTGTGTGAGCCGCACACATTCCGACATAGAAACAGAACTCTTTAATGAACAGCAATCTGCCACTGCCAGTGACATCACTCCCAGTGAACCTACAGAGCTTCGCAAGAGGGTGGTAGCCATAGTTCTGCTATAGGTGGTGCTGGGATACCAGGTAAAGTCAGGTGCTTCCAGTCTGAGAAGCATCGTGGCAGGGTGCCTGGGAGTAAACCTAATATATGCCCTTTAATCTACCATTTCTCATGGCTCTGACCAGGACAGAAGCATCATTTATGATGCTCCTGACCCATACATTGCACACTCTCCACCCTTATGTGGAAGCAAAGAGATTTGCTCAGATTTTGGCTCAATAAATCAACAGAATTGGCTCTCACTGTTCCTGGGATCAATATCTTTTCCATTTAATTATGAATAATTGTCCCACCTACTAACCGGCTCTCCCTTATGCCTATATGCACAAAAACCTTTGGGATTCATAGTTTGTGAGGATCATGTCACCCAGGGAAGCACACATTCCTTAATGTTTCTTAAAATACAACTGCACAAAAGTTGCTTAGCATTGTTCCTTTTATTTTGAATAAATAAAAGCTGAGCAAGAAGAGCTCATCCAGTAAACAGGAAAGAGTGACTTCTCTTCCTGCTCTCTGCTCCAGTGGCCAAAGGTAGTTTGGCATAGCAAGACAGGCACCAATCTTCCAAACACCAGGAGAAGGAAAGTAACACTCATTGAGTATCTTCATTATGGGGAAGAAGTGTCTTTCTAGCTCTCTGTAGTATAAGCCAGTAATTTTTGTAATCTGGTCATCAGTTCTTAAAGTTTTTTTATGATTAGTTTGAGGATTTTGACACCACAGCAAAAGCGAAAGCAGCGTCTCTGGAGAAAAGCAGAATACCTCCAGTATAATGCTTGGATCAACAAACTGAGCACGTTGGAAGCAGCTCATGGCTGCCCATTGTTAAAATGCTGAACTCGAAAGCTTTTTGCTCTGAGCCAGAATGTAAGTCCTTACGTCCAGCTCTCTTTGACTGTATTCTCATTGCCTCCCTCCTCTTCTAGGCTAGATCCCGGTTTCACGCTTTCCTCCCTGAATAGCTCCCATGCTGACCTGCTGAATGAAGCATGGCCCTATGGGGGCAACAAACAAAGCCATAGATACCTGGTCAATATGTTGCAGTACTTCCCCACAATGTGCCTTCTGGACACTCAAGGTCAACCAGTCAGCTGGGTCATAATGGACACTTTTGCGGCAATGGGACATGGCTACACCCTTCCCTCATTCCGTGGAAAGGGTTATATACATGTGGTGCAAAAGGCACTGGCCATAAAAATTCATGCAGCTGGCTTCCCGATATATGGCCACGTTGCCCAAGATAATGTCGTCATGCATAAGTTGCAAGATCGTAATGGCCACCAGAGATTGCCTGGCTTGTATCATATCTGTGTCCATTCTGAAATATAGGATAAGAAGAGGGGGAAAGACCCATCTCCATCAGCCTGCCTGGTTCCTTCACCTTTTGGCCAAATAAATCTTGCTAGTCTTTAAGATGTCACAAGATTTTTCTAATTTTTTGCTGCAACAGACTAAGAGGGATTACATCTGCAGGCATTTGCTCTCCAAAATATATCTGCTTCATCACATCAGTTATCTGTATTTGTGTCAGTGCCCAGATAAGGCTTTTCTTTGTATGTTGAGCTACAAAATCCACGTCTTTCCAGGCTGTCCTCTCCCCTCCTGAAGGCTAGTTTGTTTTTATTGTGATTGGTTCCATGGGGCAGAGTTTTGCTCTCTGGTCCTTTAAATTCATTTCAGAGGCCTCAGCTTTCAATCTACTGTACAATCACTAGTGAGGGAGACTGAAAGGAAGAGAAATTGAGGAGAAGCTACAATGGAAAATTGGTGTGTATGTGTGTGTGTGTCATACTTTTATTTACAGATTTGAAGGATTTACTGCCGTAGCTTAGGTCTGAGCACAAATACTGGTAAACCCCATCCCCCTCCATAATGGAAGGGGTCAAACTAGGAGAAAAAAGGGTGCAAACACCACCACCCATAGAAGATCCTTAACATGACTATTCCCCTGCTATTTTTTTTTCACAATACTGTGTAATTTTAGGTAGAATGCAAACCATTTACCATACTGTCTACCATTCATCTGGTCCCATCAACCATTTTTCCCCTTTATCCTGTCTTTTATACATTTGTCTCTTTGTACATCATTTCAGATAAATTACACACCACTGCCAAAGCAGAGACTGACATGATATTAAAAGTTAATATACCTGTACTTATGTGTGCTTTGTTATGCATTGTAAAGCATAGCCATTTTAGGAAGGAAAAAGCCACAAAATTTTATGTTAAGAGTCATAATAACTTGGGAACAATTTGACTGCATGAAAAAGCAATAAGTGTACATACAACATGTTTTCTGGCTGATTGTATATTTTTCTTACTATAATACATTAGCTCAAAATCTCAAATCCTGGCATTGTGTAGGAATTTTTTTTTCATTTCTTCATGTGAAGCCATCTTGAGTAGGCATCCTTCAGTCTCAAGAGACTATGATAACGTGCTCTGAAGAGAGGACTTGGAACAGCATCTAGTATGTCCGAGAAGGCCAATTCGAGAGTGACAATCTCTTCCACATTGAAGACAAATACAATTTGTCCCCTGTCCAGCTCTCTGATTTTGCCAATTTCGGGACTGCCTCTTTGCCTCGGCCTGCTGAACAAGTGTCTCTTCAAATTCGGAGAGGCTGTGATGCACCGCCTGCCTCCAGGCTGAACACTCAGATGTCAATGTTTCCCATCTGTTCCATTCCTAAGGCCTTCAGATCCTGCTTACAGATATCCTTGTATCGCAGCTGTGGTCTCCCTCTGGGGCGCTTTCCCTGTACTAATTCTCCATACAGGAGATCTTTTGGAATCCGACCATCAGCCATTCTCACAACATGCCCAAGCCAACGTAGACTTCGCTGTTTCAGTAATGTATTGTTGTTGTTGTTGTTTAGTCCTTTAATCATGTCCGACTCTTTGTGACCCCATGGACCAGAGCACGCCAGGCCCTCCTGTCGTCCGCTGCCCTCCCGGAGCTGGGTCAAATTCATGTTGGTAGCTTCGATGACACTGTCCAAATATCTCTCCCTCTGTCATCCCCTTCTTCTCTTGACTTCACTCTTTCCCAACATCAGGGTCTTTTCCAGGGAGTCTTCTCTTCTCATGAGATGGCCAAAGCCTCCATTGGAGCCTCAGCTTCAGGATCTGTCCTTCCAGTGAGCACTCAGGGTTGATTTCCTGCAAAATGGATAGATTTGTAATGTATGCATGCTAAAAATTCCAGCTCATTCCTGGACTACTCTATTTGGAACTTCCTCCTGCCAGGTGATGGCAAAAATCCGTCAGAGACAACACATATGGAACGTGTTCAGCTTCCTCTCCTGCCATGCACAAAGGGTCCAGGTATCTTCATCCTTCACTCACTTCTTCCATCTTTTTCCTTCCAATAAACATTTCATTAAAGAGAAAAAAATGGAAGACTTGGAGACTGTGTTCTAATTACTACCACAAGAAGTCCCCCACTTGGAAATCCTCAAAGCTTTTACAACCACACTGCCTCATAAACAAAATGTTATAGGAGGTTCAGCCAACAACTAGTTTCATTTCCATCCCTATCTTGTTTTGCCACCACTTCCTCCATGTTTCTTCTTGTCAGGAAGAAAACCGCACGCATTTAAGTGTTAGCAGAAAGGGTCCCACACACTGCCCATAGCTTGGACTTTATGTCTTGAGTATTATTATTATTATTATTATTCTTTGAAACTCAAACTTATTTATTTGATCAGTAATATATACAGTGGTGCCCCGCATAGCGAGGTTAATCCGTTCCGGATTAACCGTCGTTATGGCAAAACATCGCTGTACGGGAAGTAAAAACCCATTGAAACGCATTAAACTTCGTTTAATGCATTCCATTAGGCCCCAAACGTACCGTTCAGCGAAATTTCTCCATAGTGCAGGCATTTTCACGCCCTCAGTAAGTGAGGGCAGGGCGCGAAAACACTGCGCGTGGCCATTTTGGGGCTTCCGGTGGCCATTTTGGAACCGCCGATCAGCTGATTCCCGGGCATCGCAATGCGAAGATCGGTAAGCGAAACGCTTACTGATCATCGCAGAGCAATTTTCGCCCATAGGGGCCATCGGTATGCGATCACGTTTGTGATCGCAAAAACCTCCTCGGTATGCGGATTCGTTTTTCAACGGTGCGCTCGTTAAGCGAGGCACCACTGTACTGTAATAGGTAAATCACAAGTTGCTAATCAATCTCTCTCACTCACTGAACTCACTGACACACAGAACCCTACTCTCACTGACTTACTGGCTCACAGGCCCACAGACTCACAAATCTATTTTTCTCATACTCCATACACCCCCCTTTATATCCCAGCCCCTCCACTTTTAGCACCACCTTCCGTTCCCTCATTGGCTCCCTTTCCACTGCTTAGCTGTGACGGACAGGTGAGGGCAGGGCTGAACGCTACAGTGCTCATCCCCATTTCCAAGCCGTAGAGTCAGCGTTTGTCTGAAGACAGTTTCCGTGGTCACGTGGCCTGCGCAACTAGACACAGAACGCCATTACCTTCCCACCGAGGTGGTACCTGTTTATCTACTCGCATTTACATGCTTTCGAACTGCTAGGTTGGCAGGAGCTGGGACAAGAGACGGGAGCTCACTCTGTCACATGGATTCGATCTTATGACTGCTGGTCTTCTGACCTTGCAGTACAGAGGTTTCTGCAGTTTAACCTGCAGCGCCACCACGTCCCCTACCAATTCAGCAACTAGCTGAGCCCAATAAGCTTTGTGCACTTAAGAATAAATTAGAATGGCGCTTGGGAGCCAAGAAGGAATCATTTTTTGAATTAAAGGGATGGGAGAGTGAGAAGGACATAGGATGTGGTTGAGCTTGTGGGTTCCAACTCACTCAAGAAACAGACTTGGAAAGAGAGAATTCCCCCTCCCCCATCACAACAAATGACTGCTATATTCCTTCAAAATGCAAAACAATAAACAACAGAGGACAAAGCAGTGAAAAATCTTTTGGGGGTGAATGAAGAAAGCCTCCCCCCTCCATCCTAAGGATGTAATCTCCTTATGATGGGAGAAAGAGCTGGTGGCTAGTGGGCAAAAGACCAGCTCTGGAGACTCCAAAATATTTTACTTCAAAAAGTGTTGCTCTTGCTGCCATCTAGTGCTAAACTGCAACATTTGAAAACATTTAATTTTCTCTCTGGGTGTTTGGTAACCAGGTTTAACCTCAGGATGTACCCATACATCCTGCTTTGATTACTTGTCTTTTTGCACTCACCCATCCTTATATGTGACAAATGCAATTTATTACCCATTTCCAATGCCATGAAATATCCTCAGTGGAATGTGAAGGGGGTGGCAACCCATCAGAAACACAGTGAACTTTGACATTAAATTGGACATTTAAATTGCTTAAATCCAGATGTTGGAGGAGACTTACTTATTAGTAATTGAGCAGCAACCAGAATAAGAAAATATGGGTTGAGTCAAACATTTGCAGTGGCAATTCAATTGCTAGTGTTGCTAGAGCACTGGTCTGCAGCAATAGACTCATCTCAGCAAATGTCAACTGTCTCAAATACTCCGTATTTCTATGATTCTTATAACAAAGACTTAATAACTCAGTAAAATTTTGTTTATATGGTTGGCTTTGTGCCCTGGAACATGTTGCTCAAGCTAACAACAAAAAGAATTTTAAAACTGCAATTAATATATATATAAAACAGATCAATTGCATCATAAGATACATTTAAAAGCTACCAAAATACACCAGTGGGGGGGGGGGTTTGAGGTAGGGTGGCATACACACACCAATATAGTTAAAAGCCTCTTTTATAACAACACAACTTAGTAGATAAAATGCTCTTGCATTTTTAAAGAAAAATCTGCTTGTCAATGGAAGGACAACAGGGAGTGAACCAGCTCAGTCTTCTTGGAAAGGTGACCCACAGGCAAGGGGCGATCACTGAGAACGTTCTTTCTTGTGTGTCCATCAAATGTAACTTTGGATATTGTAGGCTGGTGAGCAGGGTCTACTGTCAGAACCTCAAAGCTCAGGCAGGCACAGGGTCATATAGAGAATATGGACCTTCAGAAGGATAGCTTAGTGGCTTAGGTATCTAGCTGCGGAGCCAGAGGCTGGGAGTTCCCTATCAAGTCCACAGGGAGTGGACTTGATGATCCATAGGGTCCCATCCAGACCACACTTCCAAGATTATTATTATTAAACCTGGAGCCAAATCATACAAGGCTTCATAAATCATTGCTATTTCCACCAGTGAAGCTGTCCTCACACGGGAAATGCCTGTTCGTTGTAATAACTAGCCCTGGCCAGCCATCCAACATGCATTCCAAAGTTGCTTCATCTTAGGTGACTTATGATAACATCATCTCCACCATGGCAAACAGAGAGGTGTCTCACGTGCAGACCAATGAGAAAGATGAGGAAAGGGTGGTAGCAGGCTTTGCTGACTGCATACAGTAAAGAGGTTTTAAAAGGTAAGAGGACAAGGAGTTCTGGGATGGGGATACATTCTCACACAAGGTTTCACGAGCTATTTGCTTTGGGTTATTACCATTGTTTTGGTGTGATTTGATTTTACCACAGCAATTTCACAGGGGTCAGCCACTACCTCACCCAGGCCTTCCTATTGGCGTCAACGTCCACAATGGTATCTAAAAAGCCTTTATTCTTCTATCCTAAAAACAGAATCCACTCCTGGTAAGAATGTCACACTGGCTATAGGCAGGAGGATGTGGCCAGAACGATGACTGGGTACCAACTGGGAGGCCTTGGCATCTTTCCAAGGCCCTGATCTCCCAACACAGAAAACGTCCACTGATGGAATGAAGAAATTATCCACACTGCTATCACACCAAAGCAACAGAGGCTCCTTCATTGCCTGAGATACCACCAGTTGCTCTTCTCAGACGGAATGTTCATGCCACAGGCTGCAAGGGGGCTGTGGAAATGTGGATTATGGTGACTCTCTGGGGGATCCTACATTGGCATCTTACATGCCCTCTTCCTGCCCAATGTCAAACAGCTGGAATGGGCTAGCCTCTGCCCAGCGCCACAATGCCGGCCTCAGAGCAGACACAATTTTATGGTTGATATAAGGAAAGGATCCATCTGGAGACAGACTGTCCCACGACTCTCAGTTTTCAAGGCCAGTGAGTTCTTGGCCAGAGAGTGGGAGGAGATGAGGAGGGGTGGAATATGCAGAAGGGGAACAGAGGGAGATGATAAAGAGGAATAATTCTACTTGAATTGATGTACATTTCTCTCACTGCAGCCTTTCAAAATTCACATTGTCCCTTCATACTGGTTACTGATTCCTCTGGGAATACTTAGCCCTCTGTTAATGATGGAGC